GTGCTCGTGTGATCTCTGCGTTCGTTGGTCCTTAGTCGTTTTCCTAGTGCACACACTGCTTGCTAGTTCACGGGGCAAGTTGGCAAGAGTTTCACTAGAGAAAGTTGACAACAATGGTACAATGAAGTTAGCATGGCAAGACTACATCAGAGCTAGCATTCAGGTCGGTCGACTGCCAGCGCAGCACGGTCGACCGCGTTCCAACACGACTTGGTCGACCGCGCTCCAGCAGTGCAAAGTTGACGGCGTGCCAACGTCGCAGGTTGACGGCGTGCCAGCGTTGCTCCCGCAGTACAGCATCGCACCAGCTTCGCAGGTGCTAGCAGATGATTGTCGTGCTGAGCCTCGTCACCTGCACAGCGCACACGCGAAGTCAACATGGCGCTGAAGTCTGCATCTGATCAGCCACGTCGACCTCGGGATACCACCACCGAGGTCGGGCTCGCCAACTTCGCCTGGGCGACCGTCGCAATCCTCCGCAGGACTTCGTCACCCAGGTAACCTGGTCGACCGGGCAACTACGTCGACCAGCTGCTCCTGCATGTGCCCGTCGACCTCCCAAGTCGACGACCACCCCAAGTCGACCTCACCGGGTCGACCACACCCCTGGTCGACCAGCTCCACGTCGACCAGCACAGCTGTCAGCCGACCACCCAAGTCGGCTACCCGAAGTCGGCATCACCAAGTTGACGCCCTGCTACTCGACGCCCAGCTGCTCGGCGTCCTGAGTCGAGGTCGACGTCGGCCCCTCCTCCGTCGACCACCAGGTCAGGTCGACCACCAGGTCGACATCATGCCTGGTCGACCACCACCAAGTCGACCAGCAGGCCTGGTCGACCAACCACCAGGTCGACCAGCAGTCCTGTCAGCCGACCACCCAAGTCGGCTGCCCCAAGTTGACGTCCTCCGCAGGTCGACTTCCCAGGTCGACCTCCCCGAAGTCGGCGCCACCCTGAAGTCGGCGCCCGTGCAGTGGCCCCCGTGCAGGTCGACCTCCTCGTCAACCAGCTCGCCCACTGCTGCAGGTCGGTTGCTCCCCTCACACCCGACCACGAAGTCGGCTCCGCCCAGGCGAGGACGGGGCCAACACACAACTCCCGTTGACAGGCGGTACTGCTGCCAACAGTTTCTTGAAATCGCTCGGCTGTTCTGCTTCCTCTACCACTGCGATGTCCACTGCGTACACGTCAGCTCCAGCAGCGACTGCCCGTTTGATTGTGATAGCGTCGACGTGGACCGTTGAAGACTCAGGCGACTGCCAGCGAGGTAGTTCAACCCAGTTACCGCTACTTCGCACAGTGCAGCTACCTGTCATCCAGTCGATTCGCGGGTTATATCGTCGCAGCCAATCACGTCCCAGTAAAATGTCGTGCCCATCCAATATCGTCGCGAGCATTTCCTGCGTAAACCCAAAGTTCCCCCCGCAGCGGACCTTTACTCTCTCCACCTTCTCCTGTATGGCCAGCGGCGTTCCGTCAACTAAGCGTGCGTCTATTTCCGGTAAACACCGACTAAGTGCCAGTTGCAGCTTCCGGGCGGTCGCGGTATTAACTAAACTGTGACTTGCTCCTCCGTCTATAAAAATCTTCACTGCTACTCCCTGTATTTTCCCGTTGATCAGTTTGGGGCAATCCGTCGCTGTACCCTCCTTATTCGTCCGAGCCCGATCGATAGCATGAATCGGTACTGTGACTCGGTGAGGGTCGGTGAGGTTGGGCGAGCAGGCAGTCTCGTCAGTAGTTGGCCCGATTCCTACTGACTGCTGGCGTTTCCCTGCCTTGGAGACTCCCTCCCCTGCTCTGCTTCGCGGCGCCTCAGCTCCTCTGGGCACTCACTCTTGCGATGGCCCGGCCTATTGCAAGCAAAGCAGCGCCCCTTAAACGGCGCGGCAGCTGCATTGGTCGCAACGGCATGTACAGTGGCGTGCTCGATTGGTCCCCGAGGGCGATGTCCATAGTTGGACCCCGGTCTCGGACGGCGTCAGATATCGATTTTCTCGGCGAGCACGAGAATCTCGTTGAAATTCGAGAGTCCGCGTAGCATGATTTCGTGCGAGATGTCCGGCTTCAGCCCTCCGACGTAACGGTCCACGCGCTCTGCTTCGTGCATGTAGCCGACTTGCTCGCATAATGCGAGAAAACCACTCGTGTAGTCTTGAACCGACCCGAGCTGCCGCCAAGTACGCAGTCTCTGACGCGCCGAAATAGAAGCCGCGATTGGCTCGAAGCGCGCCCGAAGCCCTGCGCACCACGCATCCCACGTGCTGTACTGGGGTGTTTCGCAGAATGAACTCCAGGTGACGGCTGGACCCGTGGGCCCTTCCTCTTGCGACGGTGGCTCGTAGGCGCGTGGCGACGTCACGATGACTCGCCACCAGTCCATAGCGGGGCCCCTCTGCAGCGAGACGGCGTATCGGATCTTCGCTGCGTCCGACTCGACGTAGTTCGCGTCGAAAAACACGTTCATCGTGAAGACCCACGATTGAACCGTCGGACCTCCACGCTGGCTCGGGTCGAAGCAGGGCGGGCGCCGCGGCTTGAGTGGCATCGGTGCCATGATGGTGTGATCGCCACTTGTCGCCGCAAACTCCACATGCCGACGGGCTTCACGGGGCTCCCGTGGGCTTGGCGCGGCCCTGTTCCTTTCCATGCCAGGCATCGATTGAGCGGCGCCATCACTGGCTGCGCCTGAGCGCTGTCCCACGCTGTCGTTTTGTGTCGGTGTGCCTGATGAAATGACGATCGGTTCCTCTGATTGTGCGGGTACATTTGCAGGTGCGTGTGGTGGCGCTGGAGCATTCACCGTGGATTGCTGACGAGCGGAGTCACGTTCCGCCATGAGTGTTGCAATTTCGAGCGCCGATTCTTCGAGTTGGCGCACGAGACGATCGAGGTGCTCCTGTGTCAGTGTCGCGAGATTAATTTCAGCCATGGTGGGGGTGTCGGGCAAGCCCAGCGAGAGCCTCGGTCGTGGCCGTGCGTGCTTACGAGAGAGCACTTCGAGCGGCGGTGCTTGTTCGCTGAGAGACGTCTACCCCCCCCAAAAATTGAGATAATGGGGAAGCGAAGGTGTGGGTGCGGTCCGAGAAGAGATCGTAGGCTCTGAATACCAAGTGTTACGAATGCAATTGAATGAGCGAGTGAGAGTTGCACTATCGAAGCAAGAGTACAATGAGCGAAGAATATATAGCGAAACTACAGTGGTAACGGTCATGCGTAAAGTGGGGTGCGCGACGGGCCTAGCGCCGAGGTTGGGAAAATGTCGAGGCGGAGGTCCGGAGCGCGGGTTACCAACCGAACCGTTAGGTTGGGTCGCGTCGTGAACAGTGGCGGGAGTCGTTGTCGAGGCGAGTGTCGTGAACGGGTAACGTTCATGGATGGGTGCTGATGGCGGGAACGGTCATGTACGCGGTAGGCAGGGGCGCGAAGTAAGGAAAAGGAATTTTCCTTAGAGTGCTTCACGAATCACAATGACTTGTCCCCATGAATTTTCCAATTTTCTTGTCTAACGGCTCATTCTCAAACACCAACCATCTTCTGCCCCTGCGGACAGTTTCGGCAAACTGCCGGGCTCTGCGCGCTTCGTTCATGTGCTTGGTGCAGCAGTGCAGCTGCTCCCATTCGTACAGATGGAAGTTCAGCCCGTTTGTCGGATGTTGCTTGGGATTTTTGTTGCAGCAAATCGCCTGCTTTGACAAGGTAGGTGAACCGGAGGGTGACATGGAAGTTCCAAGCAAATTAAAAATGGAACCACCTCCTTTTACAAACCCCCTCCCCGTCCCCCCACCCCTTCTGGAAACCCTCTGGAGCTCATGTTCGGGGTTGCTTGGAAGAGAGGTAGAGAGAAGAAAAATTCACACTTTCGTGGAGTTGCACAAAAGAATTTACAATGTAGAATCAACAGTGACCGAACAATGAGCGAAAATGGCCATGTCTGCTGCGACCTGGACAATTCGGAGCACAAAGCAAAGTCTCCATGCCAGTTTCCGCAACGTACCACCAGCAAATCCGAGCCGAGCCAATTTTGAGCCAATCAGGAGTATTTAGTTTTCCACGGCACACTCCTCCTACCCTTTCCCAGATTCTCCCATCCCATCACTCACTCACATACGCAGTGCGCCGTGCTGGTTGGGGCAGGACGAGAGAGAGCCTATCTATTCGCCTCGGCCTGGAGCTTGCCTAGCCACTCTCCGTTGTCCGTACCAACCACAGCCTCTAGCCCTTTCCGAACCAGCCGCCTCGCTCCGAACCTCCTTGCGAACAAACCAGCACACCGAACCTGCCACACTATTCTCTCTCCGACTGTCTTCCACCACCACTATCTAAACACAAACCACAACCAGTATCAACTATTCCCCCACCTGCTTCTTCCTCTTTCTGTACTGGTTTTGCTGTGTATCTAGAGACTGTCGTGCCCAGTTCTTTTTATCCACCACTGTCAGTATTTGCTCACTCCCAGCCGCACTGCCTAATCCGCAGTTGACGCAATTCCGGTTGTGGAAGCCTCCTTGGTATGGAGCTCCACCGCTCCTCCTTGGAGTTCTGTGACTGTCGCATTTCCCTAGTAGCAACTTCAACGTTCAGAAGAGCCTCTCTCTAAAACATTTCTCCTCCGCGACACGAGTTGATAGTTCCTAAGCTATATATTTCTCCTTTGATTTATATATTTACTTCGTCGCCCTTTAGACTAACTTAACTGACGTACTCCACCTCGTTCCGTCAAGTTCTGAAAGTTGTAGGCCCCTTTTCTCTAGTTTCTCCAATTACTTGCGGATAGGTGCAAGCTCTTTTAGCGGACCTAGTAATCGCGCTGAGATTGCAGCAACCCTCTAACGCTCGTGTTAAGCAATCCTTTCTGCAGCAGCAGGAACAGCAACAGCAGCAGCATCAGAAACAGAAACAACTTCTTTCGAAACAAGTTCTTCCGCTAGCACCATGGGCTCGATGGGCTTACCTCCCACCTCCTCCTTCTCCCGCTCCGGCTCCAACTCTCGCCGGCAAATGGACCGGAGCGTTTCGCCGTTACCCAACCGGACACGTGTCGACATGGACCCGCTCGTGGACACGCTTACCGACGACGCCGTCGACGTCGACAAGAAGCGCGAGGCCGTTGCCACCATCCGCTCGTCGCTAAAGAACAACCCGGAGAACAAGGCGAGGCTGCTCGCCGCCGGCGGGATCGACGCGCTCATCGCGCTTCTCCCGTCCAGCGATCCGGCCACCGTGGAGCACGCCGTCACGTCGCTGCTCAACATGTCTTTAACGGAAGGCGTCGAGCCGTTGATTACCTCCGCCGGGGGGATAGAGGCCATCGTGCCGGTTCTCGGCACCGGGTCACCCGCTGCTCGGGAAAACTCAGCCGCAGCTCTGTTCTCGTTATCGGGACCCATGGAGAACAAGGTCAAGGTGCGCGACGCGGGAGCGATCCCGTTCTTAATCTCCCTGCTGCAAACCGGCAGCCTGCGCGGGAAAAAGGACGCGTCGCTCGCGCTTTTCAATCTCTCCCTGGAGTCTTCCTGCGTACGCGATATAATCGCCGCGGGGACCGTGAAAGTCCTCGTACAGCTCTTAACGGACGCGGAGCCGGGCATGGAGGACAAAGTCATGGCTGTCATTGCGAATCTGTGCAAATCGGCGGAGGGGCGGCAGTCGGTGCACACGGAGGGCGGCATCGCCGCCATGGTGGACGTGATCGACGGCGGATCGTCGCGCGCGAAGGAGGACGCGGCGGTCGCGCTGCACCTGCTGGCGACGAACAGCGAGGCGTCGTTCCAGCTGCTGCTGGAGGAGGGAGCCATGCCCGCGCTGGTGAAGCTCGCGCAGTCGGGCTCCGGGCGCGGCAAGGCCAAGGTGCGTTGTGAGATTGTATCCAGGTGTGTTTTGAGTCTAGGTGTGTTTTGAGTCGACTCAGAACGTTCCAGCTGCTGCTGGAGGAGGGCGCCATGCCCGCGCTCGTGAAGCTCGCGCAGTCGGGCTCGGGGCGCGGCAAGGCCAAGGTGCGTTGTTGTTGGGTGGATGGATGGGACGGGCCTATTCGGCAAGCGCCTCGAAGCAGACGCTTGAAAGCGGAAGCGCGATTTGATATGTGGGACGGGTTTGATTTAGAGGCGCCAAAAAATATATGCTTAATAATAAAGTGATGCGCTTCAAGAATTATATTATGACCGAGGCAAGGCCAAGCACCGTTGGATGGTGGGACGGGTCTGTTTGTGAGGCGCCTCTAAAATAGACGCTTTTAAACGAAAGCGCCTTTCGAGAAAAAAATGCTCTAGGGACGAGGCAATGCTAAGGTGAAGCAGCAGCCAAACACTGGAACTCCTCCCGTCTGTCCTCAAGGACGTCCGTGCCAAGGGCACACTCACCCCCGACGGACGGAGGACAGACAGACTCAGACGCAGCAACAAGACTAGCAGCGTAGTCTAGACGACAGCGAGCAGCAAAGTCGACGAGCTCAGCAACTAGGGCAGACGCAGCAGTGGACTCAAAGGAAGGGTCAGTGACAACAGTAGCAAGGAGACGCGTGACAGTCGGACTGGCAGCACGAAGGGAGTCCGACTCCGGGTCAGCAAGAGCAGGAAGAGAGGACTCAGGAGGAGAAGGCAAAGGGGCACGCAGAGGAGCAGTGGACGGACGGAGAGACATCCGGTGCGTGCCGGGCAAAGGGGGAGGACGCTGACGCGAACCACGACCACTAGCGCGAGCAGCACGGACAGGCGATGCAGGACGAGACGCAGGCTCACGACGCTCAGCAAGACCTCCAGTAGGACCAGTGTAGGGAGAAGGAGCAGGCAGTGTGGAGGCCGGCTGTAACTGTAACTGTGACGGGACAGGCTGTGGACACTCTAAGGGAGGAGGAGGACCAGTAGAAGGCGGGAGACCAAGAACCTGCTCAAGAAGCGGAACGAAGTACGGCCGAGGCCGCGCAGCGACTCCAGACACAGCAGGGACAGCACCAGTACCCCCAGTGGTAGCACCAGCGCCAGCAGCACCTCCAGCTCCAGTACCCCCAGCAGCTCCAGTAGCTCCAGGACCTCCAGCAGCACCAGTAGCACCCCCAGCAGGACCGCCTCCAGTACCGCCAGCAGTACCCTCAGCGCCAATACCCTCAGCAGCTCCAGCTCCAGTAGTACCCGCAGGCCCAGCAGCTCCAGTACTCCCAGTACGAGCACCTCCGGGACCCGTGGCACCAGCACCCTCAGCAGCCGAAGAACCTCCAGCTCCAGCAGTACGCCTCCAGCGCCGGGCAAACCACTCACGCACCTCCTGTGGAGAGAGTGGCTCCCGTCGAGATGGAGCACCCAGAGAACCTCCAGGCCCAGCACCGCCAGACGCCACACGAGCAGGCCCAGCTCCCTCAGGCTCCGCACCCCCAGGCTCAGCACCTCCAGGCGTAGCACCCCCAGGCTCAGCACCCCCAGTCGTAGCACCCCCAGATGGATGGGACGAGCGGATGCTGCTGTTGATAGGGCGTTGTGGGGTGATTGGAATGGGGCGTGGAAGTCTCGTAAGGGACCACTGGGAAGGTGCGCGGTGACAGAATAGGTGATGAGGATGAAACGGACGATACGAGGGAGCGAAAGAAAAGTTGGGGAAGAAAAATAGTTTTTAGCGACTTGTGTAGATGCTTGGGCTCATTTCCCCTTTATTTCTTCTCCAGGGACTATGAAGTGAATTGCAAGCAGAGTGAAAGTACTAGCCAGAGGCTTAACTGGTTTTGCCCTCCTTCCATTTTATCTTAGCTGGTTTTGCTCTGGTCACCCCTGCCTGGCCAATCCTCCCTTGAACAACCCGCTCTTGTGTTATTGTCCTCTCCTCAATGTCTCATGGTCACCCCCAAACCCAATGCTTGCTCGCCTGGCATAGACTATAGCAGAGTACTGTTTTTTCTCTCCTTTTTTATGCTTTCATGTGAAGGCTTTCACGTTGCGAAATAGCTCTAAGGTGTCGAGCGGCCGTGTTCCCATGGTTTTGTGCTTCCGCGTGTCGCATGGCTGTGTGCTTGAATCGGCTCTATCTCTCCACCATCACTTCCGTTCATGTTTCCCCCTCCACTCTCTCTCCATCTGTTTCCACATATATTTCTTTCCCCCGATTCCCTCCCTCACTTATTGAGTCTTCAACCTGGTCAGTGGAGTTTCAAAAGCAATGTACTAGCCTTCTAGCCCTCTGCTCGTTTCACCACATGTCCCTTGTCTCTCTTCCCCCCTGGCCTCCTCCCTCAGTCTATCCTCAGTCTATTCCATCCTGGTCTCCTCCCTCAGTCTCTCAGTCTTACCCACTATGGCTACACATAAGTCAACGTGCCTAGCCTTTCGAAGCAAACTCAAAGCACGTTCTCCCATCCATCTCATCACCTACCCATCCCCACCCCCATCCACTCTCCCCTCCAGGCAAAAGCCCTGCTGGATCTGCTGCGTGGCTATGCATCGGCCAACTCACAGAGCTTCCGCCACTCGGGGTCCTTCAATGGGTCGTACTCGCAGACGTTTGACAAGCGCCCGCCCATGCAGGCTGGCGAGATCAGGGACAGGGGGCTCACAGGCGAGCTTAGGTGAGGGAGGGCAGGGTTGCTGGACGGCAGAGGCGAGGTGGGAGGGGGATGGGGCCTACTTTTGAGGCGCCTCAAAGGTAGGCTGGGGAGATCAGGGACAGGGGGCTCGCGGGCGAGCTTAGGTGAGGGCAGGGTTGCTGGACGGCAGAGGCGAGGAGGGAGGGGGGCGGGGAGGGGTGGGGTTATAGTGAATAAGTGGAATTTAGTATTGTTCAAGTGCACAGACAGACGGGGGAGGGAGGGGGAGAGGGGGGAAGGAGGGGGCGGGAGGGGGGTGCGGGAGAGGGGAGGGGGGTTGGTTGTGGGGTGGGGGGGGGAGGGGAGTTGGGTTTGTTGTTCACCTGCTGGGCTATCTATGAGAGTCAGAGAGGTGGTTCAGAGGGAGTGGGGTAACCGGTCTATTTCCTGTGAGAGCTGTAGTGGGGAGGGGGAAAATGGGGGAGGGGGGAAGGGGAGCAAGAGCAGGTGCATGGGAAATTGCTGCTTAAACAAGGCTGTATGTAATAAGGCTGTTGGTGGCTATGAAATGGTCAAAGGCGTGTGGAAGAATGGGGAACAGAATGAAGCTGCAACGCAGCTGGTGCAGTTTCTTGGAGAGGTGTGATGGGGAGCGTTTTCTGGGCATTGAGGTAATCACATTACAGAAGCCATAGCAGTTGGGACTGAATGCAGGAGTGTCAGTGCCATGGAGTCTGTAGAGCTGCAATCAACGGCTGCCTTGGGGCAGGCATATGTGGGGAAAGGGAGGTGTCTGTTCTGCATGATTCATGTGGGTTTTAATCTCTATGGCCTGTATTGGGCACCTTGGCCAACATTCATTATTTGTTAAACTGTAGGATGACTCTGCTGACTGCTCCCTCACTGTAACACTTTGAGTACTGACTCTGCAATGCGGAAATTTGATTTCGAAGGTATTGCAGATGAAGATGTGTTTACAGTGATGGTTCTAAAGAAAGGCAGAAATGTTTGTGCAGCACCTTATAATGAGGGGAGTGCATCAAACGTGCAGTTTGCGGGGGGCACAACACCGCCGACTTCCACTGGCCCAAGCCAGCCAACCAAAGCAGACGTTGTGGTTCTGGTCTGGAAGAGTGCTGAGACGAGCCGCGCGCGAGCGTTTCAAGTTGGAGACGGTTCGCGGGAAATCGGAGACAAGGGAACCGCTGGTTCGGTTGAGTCGGTTCGGGTGAAATGAAATCGAAGCACGTAGCAAAACAACACGAGGCTAAGCCGAGCCGGCGCCTTGGTGTCATCGTCTCCTCACGTCAGTTCACTCGGCAGCGCCCCCCCCACCATTCCAGGCAGGGCGGAAGTCCGTCAGTCACAAAAACTGCACCTGCTGCTCCCTCCCGAGCCAAAGTCACCCAGCAAAAATCTACAACACACTCTCGAGTCGATACCAGACCAACGGAACCTCCAAGGCTACAACTCCGAGAACCACACGAACGACTACACTTCCCCGCAGGCTGAACCTGCTCAGTTGCTCGTTTGCTTTGCCTTCATGATTCTACCTGCTAGCTTATTGCGTGGCTTCTGACAATAGAGCAGTAGCAGGAGTCTATTTCCTCGCGTCCCAATTCTCCGCAATTGGAGCTCTGACGTGCCTGGAGAACGCTTTGCTGAGTCATTCTTAGTCAAGTGACACGCCTTGCCAGGATAAAGCGGGGTGAACAATATCTTTCACGGCTAGAGCCGACTCGAGATTTCACCTCCTTAGTATTGTCCACCTCTTTAGAATCGCCCACGTCTTAAGGTATCCTCCAGCTGCCCGTAGGTCGCGCTGGTGAAGGCAATACCTAAGCGCGCTCACGTTCCGAGGCGCGTGAAAACAAGCGGCGCTCAGTACGCGAATTCCTGCATAGCCCGATCGTCCGCGCGGCCGGTTCGTGATGGGATGCTCGTGCTCGTGCCTTGCGTTCGACGATGACGTTCCCGATCCTGGCGCTCCTTCCGGTGCAGGTATGTTCCGCAAGTACGGTTTGCAGGTGCGTCCTTGCCGAACCACCCCCACCAGCTTCCGTCGCCGCGACAGGTGCGTTTCTGAGTCGACTCGACTCAAAAGTTTTTGAATTATATGCGGTTCTGGATCCTGATGCTCCTATCATCTCAGTCAATGATGCTATTCATGGCTCCTTACGATAGTGCTTCTTCCCAGCCGCAGCCGCCTTCCCCCCACCCCCCCTTCCATCCACGTGTTGCCCTTCGCTGTCCGTTCGGTCCGTGTTTCACTCCTCTCTCCCGTTTACCTTTTCCTAACTACTCAGCCAACTCCCCACACCCCCCCGTCCCCCCTTCCCCCTCCCTTTTCCCCGTTTTCCCTCATCATCCCCCCCCCCCCCCCCCCCCCCCCCCCGTCCAACTTGCGTTTCGCGCGCAGCTATCCCCGCCTTTCAGCCACAATCTCAACCCGCGACCGCGGCGGGCCCGCAACGGTCGTCGAAAATAGCCGTGCCGCGGCAGTCAATAGACGATTTCAAGGCGGCGACGGACAACTTCTCGCCGGGGAACATGCTAGGCGAGGGGTCGTTCGGGCGCGTGTACCAGGGCTCGCTCAACGGCCGCACCGTCGCGGTGAAAAAGCTCGAAGCGAGCTCGCAACCCGACAACGAGTTCCTCGAAGGGGTACGTTTGTTTTTTAGAGTTTCCAAAAGTATCACCAATAGAGCTCGAAGCCAGCTCGCAGCCCGGCGACGAGTTCCTCGAACGGGTGCGTTTGTCAGGGGGGAGGGAGGGGTGGTGGGGAGGGATGGAGGCGAGTTTTCGTCACCTCACAAGTACTTCTTTGGGATGTTTATTTTTTCCTCTCTCTTTCTCTTCCAGTCGATTCGAAAAAGAGTTGACTTGGAAGTGGTCCTCTTGCACAATTGCGCAGCCGCTTGCCCATCCCCTTGCGCATCCCCTTGCGCATCCCCTTGCGCATCCCCTTGCGCATCCCCTTGCGCATCCCCTTGCGCATCCCCTTGCGCATCCCCTTGCGCATCCCCTTGCGTATCCCCTTGCGTATCCCCTTGCGTATCCCCTTCCGCATCCCCTTGCGCATCCCCTTGCGCATCCCCTTGCGCGACTCCGCGTCCAACGTCTTAAAAAAACGCGTGTCAACTTCCCTCACTCCTCACCCCCCACCGTAACCCACCACTCCTCACCCCTCACCGCACCCCGCCACACCTGTCACCTCTCCCCTCTCCCCTCTCCCCTCACCCCTCACCCCTCACCCCTCACCCCTCACCACGCGCAGGTGGCGACGGTGAGTCAGCTGCAGCACGACAACGTGACGCAGATGATCGCCTTCTGCGCCGACTGCCATCAGCGCGCGCTGGCCTTTGAGTATGCTACTCACGGCAGCGTGCACGACATACTGCACGGTGCGTGGCTTTCCAGTGAATCCGGACACGGACTAGGCCTGCCACGGACTAGGCCTGCCACGGACTAGGCCTGCCACGGACTAGGCCTGCAACAGAGCCAGCTCTTCACTGTTTTTGTACCACGTTCAGCCTTTCCATTCGTCGTTTCCCTCGTTCCGTCCGTCCTCCCTCCCTTCCTCGGCCCCTCCCTCCCTCCCCCTTCTCCCTCTCTCCCCCACTCCCTCTCTCCCTCTCTCCCTCCCACCCTCCCTCCCTCCCTCCCTCCCCATCTCCCTCCCACCCTCCCTCCCTCCCTCCCTCCCCATCTCCCTCTCTCTCTCCCTCCTCCCTCCCTCCCTCCCTCCCTCCCTCCCTCCCTCCCTCCCTCCCTCCCTCCCTCCCTCCCTCCCTCCCTCCCTCCCTCCCTCCCTGCCTCCCTCCCTCCCTCCGTCCCTCCCTCCCTCCCTCCCTCTCTCCCTCCCTCCCTCCCTCTCTCCCTTCCTCCCTCCCTTCCTCCCTCCCGCCATTTATCACCTCCCGCCGCCCCTTACCACCTTCCCGGCATTTATCACCCTAAACACCCTCACCCGCCTTACTTCCCTCCCTCCCTCCTGTCCCCCTCGCCGCCTGTGCGCCCAGGCCGCAAGATACCGCGCAAGACAGACGACCCGCCCATAACGCTCACATGGCACCAGCGAGTGAAGGTAGCCCTGGGAGCAGCCAAGGGCCTCGAGTACCTCCACGAGAAGGCCAACCCGTCTCTCGTGCACAAATCCGTCAAGTCTGCCAACGTGCTGGTGTTTGAGGGGTTTGAGGGCAAGATCGCGGATTTCAATGTGGCGAACGAGGCCCCGGATCAAGGGTCACGCATGGTGTCCACGCGTGTGCTCGGCACATTCGGATACAACGCACCGGAGTGAGTTTTGGTTTGACCTGCGGTCAACTTTCAGCTGGGTCAGACTCCTGTCCGCAGCATCGTGGTCTGGACCAACTCGACCAACTCCTAGTGTACCCGACACACTGCCTTTGCTCACTCCCAGTGTCTCTTCCCATCTTCTCTCGCTCTCACCCCTCTCACTTGTCACTCGTCCACATGCATCCACTGGTGCTGCTTGGCAGGTACGCCACATTGGGTCGGCTAACACAGAAGAGTGACGTGTACAGCTTTGGCGTGGTGCTGCTAGAGCTCCTCACAGGCCGCAAGCCGGTAGACCCCAACATGCCCCGAGGCCAACAGTCGCTCGTCACATGGGTGCGTGCGTGGGTGGGTGGGTGTGCGCGTGTGCAGTTGTGCGGGTGCTAGCTCGTGTGTGTGGATATATGCCTGAGTGTGCTTGACAACGCCCCTCTTCCCGTCACTCATCTGCTTGCCTCCTTCTTCGCAGTACCACCCTCCCTCACTCCCCCTTTTTTGTTGGGGGGGCGGAGTGGTGGTTATCTGATCAACATCTCGATTTTTTTGCTGTCTTAAGATACCAACTTGGCGTGGGATTTTCTACATGCTGTGAACCGCTGGATGGCATGGTTGTGCACGTGAGCAGGCAACGCAAGGGCGACTGGCGGAGGATAGAGTCAAGTCATGTGTGGACCCCAAGCTCAAAGGCAACTTCCCAGAAAAATCCGTTGCCAAGGTTGGTTGGTGGGAAATGCTGTTGGATTTATTTAGTCTTTCTGAGAAGCCACTGCTGCTTGGAAGTTGTACCTGTCTTTTCCAAGGGTCAAAGGGTGTGTGCCCCATTCACAAGCCTCTTGCTCGCTGTCACCACCACTCCCTGAATCACACTTTTTTTTTTCTCCCTGTGTACCCCTTTCATTCCCCTTTTGCAGTTTGCGGCGCTAGCTGCCTTGTGTGTGCAATATGATGGTGACTTCCGTCCTAGCATGAACATTGTGGTTCGATCACTTACACCACTTGTAAAGGACTCTGCTCCGCAGGATGTATAGATGTATAGCAGATGAGTGGGATGCGCACTTACTGATTTACCAGAAGCAAATGCAGAGGTGGTATAGGAGTAGCGTAGCATAAACAGCAGATTAGACGGCGTATAGCATGCACAAGTAGTCTGATGATAGTAACATTTATTCCTCGGTTTATTCATCACCCCTTGTGGTATGTGTTATTTCAAATTCCTAGTGTTCTGCATGCGAGCCAAGTGCATTTTGGTGAGGAAGAGCTGTTAGATAAAACTAGTAGTGTGAAACTACCACGATAGAAACTGAAAATACCCTGCATCCTTACTGACTGCAATGTTTCCAATAAAAGTGCACACTGTACAACATTATCTTTACGCTCTATGTAGCAGCTCCAGCCCCACTCGGCCGTTCGGTACCCATCCATACACGTTGGCGCACAGCAGTCCCTCACAGTTGCAGGCGGGCACTCAATACTTTTTTCTCCCACCAAGTGTTTGGTTCCCGTACAAACAGACCGTTGCCGCCTCTTGCCAAATTTGCATCGTCCGCCTGTATGCTGACACAAAACGGCACTGAGGAGAAAAAAACTGTCGGAAAGGCGTCGCGATTTTGAACGGATTGGCCTCGCTCATTTGCGAAGGCCGTATGACACACAAGCAAAACAAGCCAAATGTTTCATTTGCGATTCGCCTTGGCGAAACGAAGAGGTGCCAAACACCACGAGCGACCAGACGAATTGTTGGGCGGGTACCTTTCCACGCTTGCTAACAAAATTTGGGAGACGGCGGGCGTCGCATTCGCATCGCATCAACCAAATGTTTCGCAGGCTAGTCGCATTCGAGGGCCACAATGTTGGGAATTTCTCAACACATTCACCACCTTGCACTCCCTCTTCCCCCTCCCATGCGTCGATGCAACACCATTCAAATTCAGCTTGAAACCAAACATTCAGCTGAAGACAGCTGATCCACCTCGGTTCTACTTCAACTCTTCGTTGAAGCTTTTGAACACCAGCGCTCCTAACTGCATTGTCTCCTCGTTTGAACTCGATTCAGTTCATAGCCATACTCACTTTCAGGACGACAAAGCCAAGTTGCACAACCTCCCAGCCAGAATGACGCCACTGCTATCAAGATGCTATTCTATATCCCAAATCCGTGTAGGAGCTCTCCTCTTGCTCCAGATGTTCGTCTCCTCCACCCTACGCGCCTCCGCGCAGTACAAGTTCGACAGCTTGCCAACACAGGACGCGCCGATTAAAGACAAAAGCTGGCACTTTGGCAGCGCCACGTTTTACGGAAACGACATGCTCGTAGGCAACTCCGGGAACTGCGGGTATCCATACAGCTTCGTGAACAACCGCACGCAAGTCGCGGTGCCGGATCCGCGCTGGTCCAACACACTCACGTCGGGCATCGGAAACTTCAAGGGTGCGGCGTGCGGGCAGTGTTTCATGGTGAAGTGTCTTTCGAAGCCGCGGTACGCCGGAAAGGTCTTCTGCCGAAGCAAGAAAGCGGTGATGGTGACGATAACAAACTTCGACACGCCGCGGTCTGAGGGCTGGCCGAACAACCACTTCGACTTCCACCGCACGGGATTCGAGAAGATCGCGGACCCGGACTCGGGCATTGTGAACGTAATGTGGCGCAGAACGCGCTGCCCGAAAACCGCGCCGAAGTACACGGTAAAGGGCAATCCCTACTGGCATGACATAACCGTTTACGATGTGCCCGGGGTTGGCGCCATCACGGGCGTATGGGTGAAGCGGGCGGGGGGGTCGGATTGGGAAGCCGCGCGGCACTCGTGGGGAGCGCATTGGGTGGTGACGGGGAAGGTCGATTGGGACAGCAGTAAGACGAAGGTGCGGGCGCAGGTTGCGGAGTCGCGGCGATTCATCTATCCTGCTCGAAAGCAGGCGTATTGAGATTTCAGTGACATGACCTAGGTAGTTCCATGATACTATTAGTTTGCCTCTCAAGATTGCTTGAGATTTGATATAGTTAGGGTGCTGAACATGTAATTGTTGCATATGTAAATGCAGACATCTTACGTTTCCGTAATAGCTAGCAAGTCAATCATCCCTGCCCACCACGTGGCGCGCCAGTTGAGAACCATGAACACTGACCACTGAAGAACTAACCGAAGCGAACTGCTTTCTACGAAAGAGGTACCGCCATGATCCCAAGGCCAACTTTAACCTGTCCCCAAGGATCCACGAAAGCACCCTGAGCTCCACCTGGCCAAACAACCAACCCCTTAGGAAAGGAGAGACGCTGAAATTATATTGATTGCTGAAATAGCGCGCCCCGACAATGCCAGAATATGTAGTAGCTTTGCTTCCACAAGACACTATCCTGGATAACTCTACTAGGCTTGGTGTTGGCTTCGTGCAAAAAAAACTACTAGGCTTGGTGTTGGCACCACCTGATCACGAATATGAGGCTACTCTGCAGAGTAGCAACATGTTTCTCTTTGAATGATTAACCACTCCCCTCCTATCTAGAAGCAAATAAAAAACATGTTACCTCTGTTGCTCTACATTAAGTGTTAGTGTTAAATGCAACATGACATGCCACAAATAACTAGTCTCGCACATAATCACGCAACAGCAGCAGTACTTGTAGAAGAGAAGAGGATGAAGTATAGCTGGTGCCTTGAAAAAATCAAGCGTATTTGCCCAGAAAAGATGGTGACTCAGAACGTAACACACAATAACAAAGGCCCTGATCTGTGTAATAGTGCAAAGAAACGCTAACTGAAGCGTCCAAACCTTTGTGAATCTACCTAGTACCTATGATTTTATAGTGTGATTGAATCGTTAGGCGAAGTGGTTGAGGAACAGTAAAACACCCTGTAACATCACAGCCTATGACAATTCAGCTGTCGTTTCCCTCGAGCAGGAGCCAACCAAGGCCCTCGATATGTCCGATGAAGGGGGAAAGTTAGGGGACTGGGGAGGGGGGAAGGTGTTCTGGCGGTAGCGGGGAGGTTGATGCGGCTGGATGCAGGCCACGTACAGACCCTCCACTGCAGCTCATAAGATGCCAAACCTGCCATATTTGCCCCCCAGTTGCACCAGACCTGGTCTGGTTTGGTTTGGATGGATGTCCGGCGGAGCTCAAGCAGAATCACATACTCCCTCCGCTTCCCCATACGCCCTCCCCCTTCCGCCTATTCCTTCTCTTCCTTCCCCCTTTCCTTTCCCAACCTGTCCACACACCCACATTGGTCACAAACTCGCAGACAAACCAGAACCAAGGGAAGCAAACCAACTTCCAGGGTGGTGGTGGGGTGGTGGTGGGGTGGTATGGGGGGGAGACGACAAGGCTGGAGTCGAAACACGGAAACATGTGGGTGAGATGAGATATGTGCGGCTGGTGCATCACCTCCCCTTACCCTGAAATAAAATAAACAGCCTTGATACTTCACCTGTTGATGAGAGAGCACCCAACAAACTGGACGGGCGTAGGACCCAAGTCCACTGCGCAACCAGTGATCCGTCAACCCTAAAGTGTTCCTTCTTGTCCTGCTGGATGGACGTCGGTGGTTGTGGTCAGCAATAGCGAAGGTGCTTGTGTTTGCGCACTTGTGTTTTGTGTTCGCGTTGCGCGTGTTAGCCGATCTTACTCCGTCATTTGTAGACTTCAGAGATTCGCGCTTCGCGTAAGCATTCATGCAAACCATGTTGCACGCGCGGCTCGCTCTTAAAGCTCTTGCTCTCCCACGTATGATTATCTATTCCACCCCCCTTTAGTTTTCGTAAAACGCCCGCGTTTCTGCATCTTCTCATTTTGAACCAGTTGTTCGTCGTTACACTCCCATAGCCCTCCCGACTTCTAAAAAATTATACTTACCCGGAACCGGGTCAAGGCGCCTCGTGAAGTCCGCCCGCCACCCTGCTTCCGCACGTCCATCGCCCTCTACCCGCACATCCGATTTAATCCCCGCGATGTCTGGCATATCATCTGAAAGCGGTGGCGGCGGCGGCGGCGGCGGAGTATCAAGTCGCGTCGCGCGGTTCCTTCCATGGACGAAACGAGACGGCGTCAGGTCTCCGTCCAGCCCCGAAGGCGGCGTGCCGACCGCTTCCACGGGAGCTACTGGCGGCTCCGCGGCCGGCCGTCCCTCTTCCGGCGCCGGCGCGAGCGGAGCTGGCAGCAGTTTAATAGCTCCGGCAATGAAGCTGGTGGGAGGACGCTTATTGGACGGCGTTACTGGCGAGGGCGCGGTGAATAGCAGCCCTAAGCGGACACCTCACGGGGAAAAATCGCGTGGCTCTTCGGGTTCCGCCACTTCCGGAGACTCCCGCCGGTCCAGAGGCGGAGGAGTCTTAGGCAGATCGGTTCCCGCCCCGCTCGTCCTGCCGTTCGCGAATCGCCTGTCCGCATCCGCCTCCCCGTCCCGCCATCCTCCCGCGTCCCCTTCCTCCGCCACCCTCCCCTTCCCGACTTCCGCAACAACGTCCGTTTCCGCCCCATCCTCCGCCTCCGCTTCCCCATCGCTGCTCTTCACCTCCTCCCCGCCCAACGGCCTTCCGCCAGCCTCACCCTCCACCGGTGCCGTCGCCGCGATTGCGCCCGCGGTCGCAAATCCGGCGGCGAATCTCCCCCCGAGGTCATGCTCCCCAGCGTCAGGATCAACATCGCCAAGCACGCGGCTTTCGTCTTCCTCCTTCGCCTCTTCCTCTGCGACTTTCTCGTCGTCCTCCATTCCTCTCTCCTCGCTCTCCGCTTCTTCCCTTACCGGACCGTCGAGCCTCTCCCCGCGGCCGTTAACGGCGCCCACGCTGTCGAGTAGTCGGTCGGATGAGGCGCCGGTGAGCTCCTCCCGCGGGCTGCGGCTAGCGTCGTTTATCACAGGCACTGGGGGTAGCATTAAGGAGAGAAGCGTTTCTTCATCCTCCGCCGCCACAATCGCCGCCGCCTCTGCTGCGGCGGCGGCTCTGCCCGTAGACACAAGCAGTGGGGCGGGGGCCTTAGAATCCCGACAGAATTCCCACAGCAACCATCACCAACAGCAGTCGCAGCAGGCACAGCAACAGCAGCAGAGTTTATCGCCTAGTGGTCGTCAGTCAGTCCCGTTCCAAATCGACCAGTCGCGCTTGTCCCCGCGGCCTCTCTCCGCCGTTCCGCTTCCTGAAGCCGCAAATTCCCCCTCTGGCGGGGCTGCCGCAGTTGGAGCTTCGGTTAATAATGTCGGCTCTGGTGTTAGTGGCGGTACTAGTGGTAGCTTGGCCGCTAAGACTCTTCCGAGTATTCCGTCAGTCTCTGATTTGTTAGTCATTTCTTCCGCCTCATCCTCCTCCTCTCCCACCGTTTCCTCCTCAGCAATCCCCTTGTCCTCCTCGTCCTCCTCCTCTGCCTCCTCCTCGTCCTCGTCCTCTTCCTCCTCCTCTTCCTCCTCCGCTTCCTCCTCTTCCTCTTCCTCTTCTTCCTCTTCCTCCTCCTCTTCTTCCTCCTCCTCCTCTTCCTCATCCTCCTCTTCCTCCTCTTTCTCGTCCTCCTCTTCCTCCTCTTCCTCGTCATCTTCCTCCTCTTCCTCCTCTTCCGCTCCCTCTTCATCCTCGTCCTCTTCTTCCTCCTCGTCCTCATCCTCCTCTCTTCGCCGTAAGCCAACGGGTAGCTCCACCGACATCGCCACATTAGGGTTCGACGCACGTGCAGCCGCAGCTGCAGCCGCCGCAGCCGCGCACGCCCTCCCCACTCCCCCGACCGCGTCCACTCTCCCCGCACCACCTCCCCCTACTGCCCTCCCCGCCGCTCCCCCAGCTAGCGCCACCAGCAGCGGAGCCAGCGCGAGCGGGTTAAAATCGGGGGGAAGTCAGGGGGGCTTGTCCACTGGAGGGGAAGCCGCCAAAGCGGACGAGGGTGGAAGTCGTTCCGTTTTATCCCGCTCACGCGTTCGTACAGCGCAACCTCTTTCCCTCCCCCCGCCGCTGCTCTCCTCCTCCTCGCTCCCGGCCCAAGCCAGCCGCCCAGGCGGACCAGAAGTGTCAGGATTAAGTAGTACTCTGGCCGCATTAGGTGCGGGGCCCGGGGCGTCGATACTTAAGTCGTCGCAGCAGCACGCGCAGCCGCTGCCCGCGGCGCTGCCAGCCGCGTCCCCCTCCGCCATCCCGTCCGCGCTCCCCTCCGCACTCCCCTCCGCGCTCCCCTCACCCTCCGCGCTCCCCTCTTCTGCGGTTCCGTCCGCGCTCCCCTCCGTTCCGCTCAGTAGCGCCTCTGCAGCGTCCGACGCGCAGGGAGGAGCGGGGGGAGCAGGGGGAGCGGGGGGGTCAGGAGCAGCGCCGTCAGCGCGATCGTCCGGGTCAGGGGTTGCAAGCGGTTCAAGTGGGGGACAGAAGGATTCGAGGTCGTGCCCCGTGAAATGGGCCAAGGGGCAGGAGCTTGGGCGCGGCAGCTATGGCACCGTGTATGAAGGGCTCAACCTGTGAGTCGCCTTGCATTGCATGTGACTGACGCATTGCTGAGAAGCTTTTGAGAAAGTTCATTCTTAATAGCGACTCAGGAGCTTGGGCGCGGCAGCTACGGCACTGTCTATGAAGGGCTTTTAACCTGTGAGTCGCCCGTGACGCATGTGACACACGCATGTGACGCCCACATGTGACACTCGCATGTGACGCATGCGACACTCGCATGTGACGTATTGCTGAGAAACAGCAAGAATCTCTACTCTGGTGGCTTGGCTGGCTGGCAGCTTTAGGTTTGTGTTCTTCGCTTTAGGAAGGAATATTTTGACAGGCGGCTCGAGGGTAGGGTTTCGAGTCGGGTTGGTAACCTTAGATTTTGTTTTTGAGTGTGCGAAGGTGGTTTGTGTAAAGCAAGGGCGCAACTTGTGAGCTGGTAGAGCGCTTCTTTACTTGAGAGACAAACTCGCTCTTGCTCACTCTCCTGCTCGCCACAGCTCGATACTGTCCTGTGGAATATATATGCTCCGCGGTTGAAGTATCATATCAGTACTTGTCCTGGGTCTCGTCCTTGCCCTCGCTTCCCCCTCCCTTCTTCTCCCTTTCCCAACCCCTCCGCCCTTATTCACCCTCCTTCCCCCTATCCCCCTTTCCCCGTGACCGCCTGTTCCCCCTTTCTGTTCCCCCTTCTTCCCGGGAACTTGCTATGGCCAACTTGTTCTGATATGTGTGCTGCAGGGACGATGGGAGCTTCTTTGCCTTGAAGGAGGTCCCACTGAATGGGGATCCGGCTCTTGCTCAGGAGATAGAGCAGGTTCGTCTTCTCTTACCTCTTACCTCTTACCCGTTGCTGCCTTTTGCTTCGGCATCTACAAGCGGGTATCCAATGCGTTTAGCTCTCTGAAAGCTCCTTTGAATCATACTCAAGAAGAAGTCACAGCTCGCTTGATTTCTAGTGTTTTGTTTTCTAGCTCCCTGAAGCACAAGCAGGGATAGGGAGTATGAATTGCGTCCCAGCTTCGCGGCTCAATGTTTCTGACACAGGCTGGATGATGAGAAATCCTCCTGGGGTTTTCCAGGTGACTTTTGAGTCGACTCAAAAGTCAATGTTTCTGCCACGGGCTGGATGATGTGAAATCCTCCTGGGGTTTTCCAGGTTACGCTGTGGCTGGAATTTCTGGGCAAGCACAGAGCTTTCGATTCTCTCTCAATAACTTCCCTCCTGCTCCCTCCACCCCCTCCTCTCCCAACATCATGTGGTACCTCTGGTTGTGCTCATGCTCATGCTCATGCTCATGCTCATTCATTTAATGCTCTTGTCTAACATAAGCCTGCCATCCATTCTCTTCCCTGCCCTCACACGCCACCAGGAGGTGGAGCTGATGAGTCGCCTGCAGCACCCCAACATCGTGCGCTACCTACCTGGGCACGTGTCACATTGTCTTGAATTCACCCCCATGCATCCTTCCACCCTAACTCCTACCCACTTTCCCTCCACTGGCCCCTCCGCCTCCCCGCTCTCCGAACAGGAGGTGGAGCTGATGAGTCGCCTGCAGCACCCCAACATTGTGCGCTACCTGGGCACGTGTCACCGCAGTGGAACGCTCTACATCTTTCTGGACCTGGCCAAGGCGTCGCTGGCGTCCATGCTCAAGAAATACGAGCGCTTTGGCGACGCGCTCATACGCACGTACACGCGCCAGATCCTGCACGGGCTCGCGTACCTGCACTTGCAGAACACCATGCACAGGTGGGCGGAAAGGGGTGAGGGAAGGGGTTGAGGGAAAGGGGAGGGGAGGGGGAGGGGAGGGGTGTACACGAGAGGGCGAGAGGGGGTGGGACGCGCCCTTATGCACGTACAAGCTCGCCCCAGATCCTGCATGGGCTTGCGTACCTGCACCTGCAGAACACCATGCACAGGTGGGTGGGCGGGAGGGTGTGGGGGAGGGGAGGGGTATAGAAGGAGGAGCGAGAGGGGGTGGGACGCGCTCATACGCACGTACACGCGCCGGATCCTGCGCGGGCTCGCGTACCTGCACTTGCAGAACACCATGCACAGGTGGGCGGGCGGGAGTGAGGGAAGGTGGGGTGGGGGGGAAGAGTGGGAGCGTACATGGCAAGGAAGTGGGGAAGTAGGAGCAGTTGAGAATGTCAGACTTGCCAAAACAACTTTTGAGGCGTCTCAAAACAAGGCAGAGGGGGATGCGCGCTGCACTAGACTGCCTGGTTTGCTGTTGGAATAGCTGCGATACTGCCACTGCGTACATACACATGGCTGGACGGGTATACTATGTTCAAGTCTCTAGAGGAAGAGAAGAGAAGCAAATTTCTGAAATAAATAGCTGTTGAAGAAATACAGAAATTATTAGAGCCCTTTGTTACCCTTTCCTCTCCCTACCCTCTCCTCCCCTGGCCCACCCCCACCTCCTCCTCTATACACCCTTCCCAATGTTGTCTCGCTCCCCCGTGCTTTGCTGGTATGTCTCGCTGTTTCATAAATGGCAACATATTGTGGGTTCGCATGCGTGGCCGATAGGTAAATGATCAATTGATGTCAGGAGCTTGACTGGTCACTCATTTCCCTCCCACATCTGCGTGTGTGCATGCGTCCATGCGTGCATGTGTGCATGTGTCGATGCGAGCATACATCCATGTGTGTATGTGTCCATGCATGCATGCATATATACATGTGTGCATGTGTCCATCTGTCCATGCCTGCATGTGTGTATGGTGGCATGTGTGTATGTCTATGGACGACACGGCACACCACAGGGACATCAAGTGCGCCAATGTGCTTGTGGACTCTCTGGGTCAAGTCAAGCTCGCGGACTTTGGCATGGCCAAGAATGTAGGGCCGCCGCTCACCACCGCACACCACCGCGCACCACACATCACGATGCACCGCAAACCACCGTGCACCACACACCTTGCACCACCCTCATCCCTTCCAACCACTATTTTCTGAGCCGCGCCATGCCCCATGTCCCTTCCATTGCCTCTTGCGCCCAATCCCACTCATCCTCTTACACTCTCCCCTTCCTTTTTCACCACCTCCTTTCCCGGCACGCCTCTTCCCCACCTCTCTCCATCTATCCCTCTATTGAACTCCCTCACCCCCCTCTCTCACCCATCCACTCTTCACCCCTCTCCGCTGCTGCTTGCTATGTGTATATGTGTCTGTGTGGGATCCATGGCATATCAGTTGGACCGCAGCATGATGGCACGCTCCACCAAGGGCAGCCCCGACTGGATGGTTTTTCAGATTCCTAACAAGGGTCTCAATATGCCTTCTCCCGCCCCTCTCCCGTCCCTCTCCCCTGCTACTTGCAATGTGTGTGTGGGTGGCATGGCATATCAGTTGGACCGCAGCATGATGGCATGCTCCACCAAGGGCAGCCCCTATTGGATGGCTCCAGAGGTACCTACCCAACGCTGCTCCTGCCCTTCCATCCATCTCCTGCCTCTCCTGTCGCTCCTGCTGCTCGTTCCTCTCCTCCCTTTTGCTTTCCTATAGACCCTCACAAGCCACGTCAATGGTAATTTTACTCCATCCTCTCTCCAGTCCCCCCCCTCCCCCCCACTTCCTCCACTTCCCCTCATCCTGCCTTCCCGCGTTCCATTTCCCCGTCCTTATTCCGCTGCTGTGATTTTCTGAACCGCCCAAGAATGGTGATGATCACCAACCCTGGTCTTCCTCACTCACTCCCCACTTCTCAGCAGGGCCCTTCCTTACGACTCTTTGCATGTATTGCTGTCTCCTCATCGTCCTCCTCCCCTTTCCCCGCCTCGCCCCTTCCTGTCGTCGCAGTTACTTGGGGGCTATATTTGAGACCGTAAAGAGATGTTAACCCATCCTCGCACGTCCATGTGTTTTGTCAGGTGCTGGGAGCAGTGTCAGGTGGATACGGCCTACCTGCAGATATCTGGAGCCTGGGTTGCACAGTGCTGGAAATGGCACAGGGGAAACCGCCCTGGAGCCACTTGGAGGGGGTGAGTTGGGAGAGAGTGAGAGCGAGAGAATTGAGTCTGAGGGAGAGGGTGAGGAGAGAGGGTGGGGGGTGGGGGGGGGGGGGGGGGGGGTTAGGGGGAGGTTCACGGAAAGAGTTGGGAGAGGGCCGGGATGGCATGGGGAGAGTTAGGGAGAAGGTTGGGAAGCGGATCAGGGAGAGGGTGAGAGAGTGGTGGGAAGTGCAGGAGAGCATGAAAGAGAGGTTGAAGGATGGCACGGGGGAGAGTTAGGGAGAATGCTTGACATATTGGTTGGGGTGGCAGGGACAGTCGAGTACACCAATTGGGCTTCATGCATCTCTCGTTCGCATGACCCCAATTTTTTCTAATGGTTCACATGCTTTATGTAAAAGCTGCAAGCACCTTGCTTCCTCCCATGTCTGCCTCCCCATGTCTGCCACCCTCTCTCCACACCTTCCCTTCCCTTCCTCCCTCATTCTCTCCCTGACACGCCCATACTGCTCTCCTCCTCGGGTCTCTGTCTCTCCCCCGCCAGTTCTCCTTTGTGTTCAAGCTCAAGAACGGAGATCTGCCTGCCATCCCAGACACCCTCTCCCACGAGGGCAAGGACTTTGTGCTGCGCTGCCTGCGCCACACCCCCTCCCAGCGCCCCTCCGCTACAGAGCTGCTCGCTCACCCGTTTGTGGCCGAGGAGGGTGGAGGAGGAGGAGGAGGAGGGGGAGTGGGAGTGGCAGGGGTGCCTGTTCCTGTTCCTGCTCCGAACTCCTGGCAAGCGCAGGCGCACGAACAGCAGCACCAGCAGCAGTCGCCGCTGCAACAACAGCCCCAGCAGCAGCAGCAGCAGCAAGGGTTAGGGTTTGCTCGTCCTGCTGCGTCTGGTCGGTGGTCGCCGCAGCAAGGGCACACATTAGGTCCGCATCCTGGCTTGGCACCAGCACAACAGGTTGGTGCGGTGCTGGCCGGTGCAGGTGTGTCGGGTTCGGTACGGGGTGGGTCTTTTGCCACACCGTCTGCTACAGGAGGGGTAACAATGCTGGACTACTCTCAGCAGCAGCAGCAACAGCAGCAGCAGCAACAACAGCAGCAACAGCAACAGCAGCAGCAGCAGCAACAGCAACAACAGCAACAACAACAGCAGCAGCAGCAGCAGCAGCAGCGGCACCAACATCAGCAGCAGCAGCAGCAACAGCATCAGCAGCACATGCAGCAGAGATTGGGCGGAGTGGCAGGCTTCCCGCGTAGCATGTCGAGTTCTGCTGTAAGTCCCAACCACATGCACATGCCATTGCCATACCAGAGGGGGCGCATGGGTGTGGCGGCAGATTTTGAGTGGATGGGCGGGGCAGCAACAGGGGCAGGAGGAGTACCCATGGGGCACTCGCCTGGGCCTGTGAGACATAGAATGTCTAGTGACATGGCTGTGGGACCGTCAGGGTCTGGCATGCAGGGCTCTGTTATGATCCAACCCATGCACATGCAACATGGTGATTTGGATGGGTTTGGTGGCATGGGAATGGGGGGCGCAGCTGCTTCGATGCATGTGCAGCAGCATCAGCATCAGCAGCAGCAGCAGGTTCAGTTTCAACAGCAGCATTTATCGCAGCCGCAGCAGCAGCAGCAGCAGCAGCAGCAGCAGCAGCAGCAGCAGCAGCAGCAGCAGCAGCAGCAGCAGCAGCAGCAGCAGCAGCAGCAGCAGCAGCAGCAGCAGCAGCAGCAGCAGCAGCAGCAGCAGCAGCAGCAGCAGCAGCAGCAGCAGCAGCAGCAGCAACAGCAGCAGCAGCAACGGTCAGGATTCATGCACCCCCAGAGCAACATGACACTACCAGTTTCAAGCTTACAAAACCACACAAGACAGTGAGGCTTCGGACAGAATAAACTATTGAAGGGCTGTTGAGCCCTGGGTTCTCGTTACAATCACTTCGTGGTTGTCGTCCTTGGGTAGTGGTAGGGTCATGCACTCCCCGCGCATGTTTTCATGCCTTGAGCAGCCCGTTTCGAGGTAGACGAGGGTGCTTTCGTTCGGATTGGGTGTAAAACTGCTGTGATATACATTTGGGGTAGAGCAGCTGGAGGTAGGCTGTGACCGAGCTGGGTGACTCCGTTGACCTAGCTTGGTCCAATGTATTGGAATCGCAGGCATGAAAATAGGAAGAAACGAAGTGTCTTTGGTTTGGGTCACTTGGTTGTTTATTTTGCCAAGCATTTCTAGCTTAGTGATCCAATTATGTAGGAATCCAAATCTGGTGGGAACACGAATAAAAATGATCCACGCATATTTTGCATTGCATTGTATTGTCCAGAAACGCGCATGGGAACCCTCCCGTTGTGGTTACACGAGATCGCAGAGCTTCGCGTACCAATCGTGGTTACTCATAAGGTAACGACTATCTCGAGATTCCTTCTCTATGTGCGCACAGTTGCAGGTTTTGGCTTCGCGACATCGCATGCACCTTGCTCTCTCACGCCCCACTCACGACAGTCGCAAGGATCACCAGTGCTTCTTACGACAGCCCGTGCGAGTCTGCGACGGGCACATCGAAAGAATGCCAACCAAGGGAATACAGCACCAACTGGGGTGAGGGGGGAGTGAGGTAGGGCCACAGGGGGCAGCGGAACGAATATCGAACTGAACAGATACAAACGGCAAACGCCCCCGATTTGACGACAGTCCTTCGCAGGCTGCCCTGCCGTTACTTTTAGAACTCAACCTTTCGAACGGCACTGGGAAATACATTACAGTACAGTATTTTAACCTTGATAACTGGGAGCGCCTGCCAGTGCGAGTGTCCACTGTACTATATGACTGCTCAACTCCCTCCCCACTCCTTCCCCTCCCCTCGTGTGGCCTTTTTGCCTCGCCTACTAGGTTCCACTCGAGCAGGTTATGGTTTTCGAACACAAGTTTTAGAGATTAGTTGGAACCAGTTGATTTTCGATGTCAAAAGCTACGTGGCGGGTCGGATAGGTTAAGTGATGATCAAACGTCCAGGATTATGCTGTTCGTACCGAAGCAGGCAACGCAACGCAGAGTCTCGTTCACTTGCAATAACGCGATGTGTGGGTGGACTACACCGAATTAATAATCAAAAGCTCGCTTTTCATGTTCGCCTTTCGATTTTGACTTGGCTGGAGCGTCGAAATGACGCAAGTAGGGCCGAACCGAGATAATAGATGAGATGTCCGATGAGATGCGATGCGATGCGATGAGGTTATTCCAGCGAGAACTGCGCAGAGCTGCTGTAGACTAGAGCAGCGGTCGCACGCGACGTCATATTCGCCACCATTCGCTAGCGGCTCGCGAAACGATGGGTACTACTCGCGGGCCTGCGACGCCTTGCGACGGTCGGGTTGAGGAGGGCGGCACGCGTGTCTGTAAGCCATACCCGGAGGATACGGACTGTCGGACAGGCAGCAACAATAGCAATCTGGGGAACGAAGAGACTTTGGGAGTGATGGGCCAACAGGGAGGTGTTGAGCCGGAGCGAGAGGTAAGGGAGAGGGGAACACGCCAAGATTCAGAGTGTGGGGTGAAGGAAGCGGTCGGGGGAGGGGGAAGGCGGAAAGGAGGGGAGGGGAGGGGAAAGGATAAGGGGAGAGAGGGACGCGCAGGAAGCATAGGGGGGAAGGCGAGAGAGTTGGAGGTGCAGGAGAGAGTTTTGGACTCGCCTCGGCCGCACAACACGCTCTCACAAGTTTCCGATATGTCTCACAAGGTTGCTCACTCACCTCGCGTGCAAAACACGCGCTCACACGTTGCAGATTTGTCTCACAAGGTTGCTCACTCGCCTGGAAGGGAAGGGACCGCACAAGGCACGCCTCGTAGGAAGGGAGTCGCGGGGGAAACTCCACTTGGCCCGGGAACGGAGGGGGGTGGGGGGACGAAGGTGAGAGTGGGGTTGGAAGAGCGGAGGGAGCAGGAAGGGATGGAGGCGACGGGGAGGAAGGATAGGGAGTGCAAGAGCAGGAAAGGGGTGTCTAGAGGAGGAAGGAATGGTATTAGCAGTACCAGCATTGGCACCAGCACCGGCACCAGCACCGGCACCAGCACAGGAAGCACCACTGGCATTATCAATAACAGCAGCAGCAGCAACGTGATTGATAATGTAACGAGCGGCACTAGCAGCAGCAATCCTGAGAGAAGCAGCAAGAGCAGGAGCGGCAGCAGAAGCAGCATGGGTAGGAGTAAGAGCTGCGCGGTTGGGATGATAAACGGTGATGGGGAGGGGAATCGAGAAACGCAGAGGCGCGTGCAGCCCTTACTGCAGGAGGCGGCAGGAGAGGGAGCAGGGGTGGGAGCAGGAGAAGGAGCAGGAGGAGCAGGAGAGGAGTCAGAGGAGCCTCGAAGGGAAGGGAGTGCTGGAGGTAGAGTAGAAAGAGCAGGAGGTCAGGCGGAGAGGACGGACCAGGAGTGGCAGCAGCAGCAGTATCAGTGCGTTGATGATCATTTGCCTAATGTCACTGCTCCCCAGCTACTGAGAAGCGCTCCTGTGCGGTCCTCTCTCCTCTCTTCCTCCTCCCTCTCCTCCCCTCTTCCTTCCCATGCTCTCTTGCTGCCCGCGGATTCAGCTTCCCCGCTCGCTTCTCCTGCTGCAGCAGCGGTGACTAAAGCAGGAGTGAGTAAGGGGGGAGTGACTAAAGGCGGAGTGACCAAAGCGAAAGTGACCAAATCAGGAGCCACTGCGGCTGGTACTGCCAGTCGTTTAAGTCAATCCCCCCTTGTGACCAGCGACGGCCTTTCAACAGGAAACAGCACCACCATGCACCCACGTGCCGCTAATCCCCACATCCAAGCCCTCTCGCATCCCCATTCCCCATCACGGAACGTCAGCAGCAGCAGGAGCAGGAGCGGGAGGGGAGGGAGGGGCGGGAGCAAGGCAGAGGGTGAACGGCGTGTGAAGACAGCGAGCAGCGGCAGCAGCAGCAGCAAAAGAGCAGGCAGTCAGAAGCAAAGGCGCGGCGCAACATCCTTCTCTGCCTCCACTGCTAGTGCCGCAACAGCAGCTGCTGATGCTGCTCCTGCTGCTGCCACTGCTGCTGGTGTGGGCAGGGAATCTGGGGTTGGGAGCATGGGTCGAACGAACCAGGTGCATGCGGAAGAGAATGAGAAAGAAGGGATGGACTGGATAGAGGCCCCTTGGGGAGGAGGCCGGTGGGATGCTGCTGCTGCTGCTGCTGCTGCTGCTGGTGATTATGCCGCTGCTGAGGATTATTATGCTGCTCCTGGTGCTTCTCCTGGTGCTGCTGCTGCTGCTGCTGCTGCTGCTGCTGCTGATGAGGATGCATTCAGTGATGTGTTTGATGATGGCGTGGTGGAGAAAGGCCGTGTGGTGGTGCGAGGTGATGCGGACGTGCTCATTCTGGACTCATGCAGTGAATGGGGCGACGGGGATGGGGACAGGGATGGGTATGGGGCTGGGTATGGGGCTATTGGGTATGGGGATGGGTATGGACATGGGAATGGGGTTGTGGGATGGACTGTTGGGCCGGTACAAGAGGAGTCACCTTCCTGTGTGGTAGCTCCAGGCATTGCCGACGTGCTCCTTGTAGACTGCTGCGGTGACGGGGAGGATTGCAGTGAGGGAAGGGGAAGGGGTCGCAGCAGCACGGGAGGAGTTTGTGGAGATTGGGAGCGCTCCGGTGCGGTGAGCAGCGGTCGGGATGGTTGCGACGATGGCGGCAGGGAGGAGGAGGAGGAGGAGGAGGAAGGGGGGTTGGGAGGAGGGGTGGCGCGGGGGAAGGGGAATGGGATGTGCATGGAGGTAGGTATGGAGGCAGGTATGGAGGCAGGTATGGAGGCAGGTATGGGGGCAGGTACAGACCAAGGCACGGAAGCAGACTGGGAGGAACACAGGGACACATGCTGGGATGCAGGGATTCATGGAGATGCAGTGTTAGAGGGTGGGAATGTGAGGACCCTTGTGGCACGATATGGACAGATAGGAACGCGTGGGGAAGAAGCAGCAACACCACCAGAAGCAGCAGCAGCACTGGCACCAGCACCAGCAGCAGCAGCAGCAGCAGCAGCAGCAGCAGCAGCATCACACAAGGCTCTAGCCCAGCGGTGGCAGTCGCTTCGCATTCATGTTCCAAGCATGTCTAGCATCGCTCCTTCCTCCCTCGCCTCCCCGTCCCCTTCGCCTTCCCCCTCCTCTCGCTCCACTGCGGCTGCTGCTCCTCCCTTTCCTCATTCCACCTCTATCGCTGCCTCTTCCCCCCTCCCTCCCTCCGCTTACTACCCCTCCTCACCCTCCTCCTCCATGCTTCTCCCCTCGCCCATCATCTCACCTTCCTCCCACACCTCCTACTCTGCCAATTTCTCCTCCCCTTCGTCTGCCCTATCCACATCCTGCCACCGCCCCAAGTCGTCTTCTCTTGCTGCCGCCGCCACAATTGCTTCAGCAAAGGCCGCAGCGGCGGCAGCAGCAAGAGGAGAAGCAGCAAGACACGAAGACCTATCAGCAGCGCCTATCCCAACCACCAAGACAGGTCCTTTCTCCCCAGACGTCTTCTCTCCTGCATCCTCTGCCAGCTGTCGCGCCGTGGTTGGTGGCAGGAGTGCATTCGCAGGTGCAGGTGCAAGTGGTGCTGATTCTTCTTTTTCTGCTGGTGGTGTTGGTGTTGGTGCTGCACGTGGTGGTGGTGAGGCAGGCCGGTCTAGGTCCAGCTGTAGCCAGGATGTAGCCGGATGGGAAGACATTCTGTCAGAAGAACCGGCAGTGCCTGGGGAAATGGGGGGCGTGGGGGAGGTTTATTTGGGGGAGGCTGGTCTGGAAGAGGTGTTATCTGCAGGCAATACGGGCAGGAGCGAGTGCAACGACTGCAGCGTTGAGATCGCGGGAGAGAAGAGCAACAGTAAGGAGAAGGGCAGCAAGAGCAAGGGAAAGAGCAGTAGCAAGAGTAGCAGCGGCAAGAGCAAGAGCGGCGCGAGCAACAGCGAAGGCAGCAAGAGCAAGGGCAAGAGCAGCAGCAGTAGGAGCAAGACACGGTGGTTGTCCAAGGCTAAGAGTGAGCCTGAGAGGAAGTTGGACGCTGTGCCTATCCCCAGGCACCCAGCAGGACGGTCCCCTCTTGGGCTGCGCCCTGCTGGCTTTGCCTCGTCCATGCTTGCTGCTCCCATTGCTGCTGCTATAGGTGCTGCTGGTGGTGCTGGTGCTGGTGCTGGTGGTGGTGCTGGTGGTGGTGCTGGTGGTGGTGCGGGTGGTGGTGGTGGTGCTAGTGGTGTGCTAGGCAGAGCGAGCAGCACTGGTGTGTCGCCGTCTCTGTCACAGAAGAGTCGACACGGCATCGGTTTGTCGCAGTACATGCACATGCCCCACCACCAACGCCAGCGGCAACAGGAACAGCAACAGCAACAGCAACAGCAACAGCAACAGCAACTGCAACTGCAACTGCAACTGCAACTGCAACTGCAACTGCAACAGGAACATCTACAGCAACAGCAACACTACCATAACCAATATCAGCAACAACACCTGCAACAGCAGCAGCAGCAACAGCAGTACCAGAATCCTAACGTCACCTCCCTCCTCCCTTACAAAAGTGCCGGCCCCTCATGCTTCCAACCATCGGCCCTCTCCCCTGCCGCCTCCCCTTCCCCCTCCTCCCCCTGTTCTCCCTGTCGCCCCTTCCCCCCAAGCGCATGGAGCAACACCATTTCCCCTCGTTCCCGCCTCGCCTCCTCTTCCTCTTCTGCCATGTCCCCAGCAACCGTAGTGGCAGCAGCAGCAGCTGCTGCTGCGTTTGAAGCCGCAGCAGCAGGGGGGAGAGGCACGCGGGGTGTGATGCCTCCCTCGCCTCTTTCGCTCCCGTCTCTCTCGTCCATCTCCTCCCTTTCCCTCGGAAACAGCCGGGGTTTGACGTGGCGTCAGGGTATGCCGAGTCTGGTGCTGGAAGAAATGGAAGAGGAGGAGGAGAAGGAGCAGAGCAAGGATGGGAGTGCAAAGAAGGCAAAGAAAGGCAAGAAGCGTAAGGAGGAAAAGAAGAAGGCGAAGGAGAAGGAGAAGGAGAAGGGAAAAAAGCCAACGCAGCAGGAGCTTTTAGACTCGAGTTCTGAGTTCCGAAAAATCCACCACCACCATCACCACCACCACCACCACAACAACCAGAAGCAGCCGCAGAAGTCACAGCACGAGGATTTGTCTCCCCGTAGGCTGTTACGCAAAGCGCAGAGCGCTCCACGTGCGGTGATAGAGGATGAAGAGGAGGCGGTGAGACTGCTGGCTGAGGGTCAGCTTCCCTGGGTGCACAGCACTCTCGCCTTTGCCCCTCCCTCCGCCCTCCCACCTGCTGATTACAACCGTTCCTCCGCTTACCCGCACTCCCTTTCGCACCCTCATGCGAGTCAACCACCAGCAGCAGCAGCAGCAGCAGAAGGTTATCGAAGCTCCCTTCCGGGTTCGCTGCGTACCAATAGCAGCAGCAGCAGCAGCAGCAGCAGCAGCAGCAGTTGCAGCAGCAACAGCAGCAGCAGCTGCGACTTTGGTTCTCCTTCTTTTCCAGGCCGCGAACCCGAGAGTGCTGTGGATTCGGGCCCAAGGGCAGCACGGCAGGAGCAGCGGATGCAGGAAGGTGGGGAGGGGGAGTCACTGAGTCCTGTGCCAGTCCTGGACCGTCGCCCTCCTCTTTCTCGCACCTGGACCGCCCCCGCCGAGCGAGATCGAGAGCGAGGAGTATCATCAGGAGGTAGAAGCGGTGCAGGTGCGGGAATCGGCAAATCCCCCGGTGCTGTTGGTTACAAAGGTGGTGAGTACCGCGGTTACCACGGGAACCGCGGCAATTCTCTTGGGTGTGGTGGGCTGGAGGTAGCTGTTGGGGACGATGGTAGGGCAGGGAAGGAAAAGAGGGAGGGGAAAGGGAGGAAGGGGGATGGGCCTGGGACGGCAGATGGGAAGAGAGGGGGGAAGAGGGCGGAAGGGAGTGAGGCTGAGAGGATTGGTGGGGGTATCGGGGGCGTTGGCAGCAGTGGCGGCGGCGGCATTGGCGGCGGTGGGGTAGGTGGTTTTCGTGGTGGTGGTGGTGATGGTGGTGGTAAGGGGAAGGAAAAGGTGAGGGTGTTGCGACGAGGGGTAACTGAGCCAGCAGAGAGGAGTGGTGGGGGAGGGAAGGGGAGAGAGGTGGGGAGGAGGGACGGGACTGGTGATGGCAGGGAAGCAGTGGGAATGAGAGCAGGTGATCTCAGAGTCGCTGTGCTGAGGGGTTTGGATAAGGATCGAGATAAAGATAGGGAACGGGAACGGGATAGGGATAAGGATGGTGATAGGGATAGGGATAGGGATGGTGATAAGGATAGGGATAGGAATAAGGGTAAGGATAGGGTTAGGAACAGGGACGAGGAGGGATTCAATTCGGGCATGCAGACGGGTAGAAGTGACCGTCTTGTTTTGCCTGCGGGAGCAGGGCCAGCAGCAAAGACAGGCAAAACCGCAGCGGCAGAACCACCAGCAGCAGCAGCGGGTGGAGCAGCAGGAGCAGCGGCAGCGGCAGCGGCGGCAGAGAGGCGAGCCAGTTTCCGCAAGGCAAAGAGTGTGCCGAAGCGAGAGCTGGACTCGTTGGCTGTGCCGCGCAGTGGTAGTGCGGGCCTGAGAGGCGATCGGGCTACTCGTCTCCACAGCGCTTCTGCTGGTCGCGGCAGTGCTGGTGGTGGTGGTGGTGGTGCTGCTGCTGCTGCTGGCGGCGGCGGCGGCGGTGGTGGTGAGAGTAGTGACGATGGAGATTGTGATCTGACAGAGGATGCGATGCATCGTGACGAGCACATGCGCTTGAAGCAGCTTGCCCGAGGCAAGTCTCTCCCTGCCTCCAAGCATAGAAGTCACTCACATCAACACCAAAACCAACACCAACACCAGCAACACCAACCGCAGCAGCAGCAGCAGCAGCAGCAGCAGCAACTGCAGCTGCTACAGGAGCTGGCCCTACCTTCTTACTTTGATGACCACCGGCCAGTGCAGCTGCAGCGGGTAGCAGCAGCAGCAGCAGCAGCAGGTGGTAGTGCTGCTCTGCTGGTGGGCAATAGACAGGGATCCCTATCCATAAAGAAGAGCCCTGTCAAGATGAAAACAGCAGCCAGCACAACCCCGCTCTCCTCCTCTCCTGCTACCACTTCCGCTGCTACAGCTGCTGCTAGTACCACTCCCACCACTGCTGCTGCAGCAGCTGCTGCTGCCACTGCTGTGGGGCTAGCCAGGCCGCTGGCACATCGGTTGCTCCGAACCCATAACTTCCCTCTAGCCGCCAATGCCCCTGCCGTGGCCCTGGATGGGTTTCCCTCCCCCACGTCCTCCCCGCTTGCCTCCCCTGCCCTTGCTGGCAACTCCGCACTGAACGCGCTGCTCACACCCTCTCGAACAGTATCCATGTTTCCTCGGGTGGCCGCTTCTGCTCGCTTGCCTGTTTCTGCTTCTCTGCCCGCCGAACCTCCTGCAACTCTTGCTGCTAGTATTGCTGCTGCGGCTGCTGCTGCTGCTGCTGCTGCTGATGATACTACTGATACTGGCGCTTCTGTTATTGTTACTGCTGCTGGCGAGGCTGCAAGGCTCGGAGTACCACCAGGCAGCAGCAGCAGCAGCAGCATTGCAAGAGGAAAAGGAAAGGACACCACAGGCCATGAGACATCGGTGAAGAGCAGTAGTAAGGGTAGGCAACAGCAGCAGGACAAGTCGCGGCAGCTGCGGCGGGGCTATTCTGAGTCAGCAGGCAGGCTGGACCGCTGCTGGGTTGACTCCCCCTCGCATTCTATGCGGGGAAAATCTAGAGGTGGCTCTGATGCAGCTGCAGCTTTTGCTGCATCTGCGGCTGTGGCTTCTGCCGGTGATGGTGGTGAATCGGCTGTTGCTGTTGATGCTGCTCAGTCCGCCAGTGCAACCACTGGTGCAACAAGCACTCGTGGAGGCAAAGTTGGTAGTGCTGCTGCTGCTGCTGCTCCTGGTGCTACTGCTGTGGCTGCGGGTGCGACCACTCGTGGTGCTAGTGCTGCGGTTGTTGCAGGTGGCAGTGTGTCTTTCAGCAAAGCTGTCTCTTCTTTTGCCACCTCCTCAACCTCTCATGCACACTCAAAGACTCGTCGCTCTCGATCCGCTCACTCCTCTCGCGCTTCCAACCCCAGCCTAGCCGCTCCTGAACCTGCTCCTATTCCTGAAGCTGCTCCTATTCCTGAACCTGCTCCTATTCCTGAAGCTGCTACTCCTGAGCCTGTTGCAGCAGCTGCGGCTGCTGCTGCCCCTTCACTTGCCGCGGCAGCAGCTATTGCTACTATCCCTCCTCCTCCTCCTTCTGGTACCGTTGCTGTTTCTCTCCATGTCACCACTCCTGCATCGAGCAGCAAGGGTGCATCAGGCACACACGAGGAGCAGCCCACCCACCTGGTACACGAGACAATCAACGACCAGCAGCAACAGCAGCAACAGCAGCAACAGCAGCAACAGCAGCAACAGCAGCAGCAGCAGCAGCAGCAGCAGCAGCAGGAACGGCAGTCAGAACAGGTAGATTCGATACAGACAAGCCTAGTGCAGGCACGCCTAGGGCAGGCAGATCTAGAGCAGGCACAACTGGATCAGTCCCAAGTGACTCAGGCCGACCTGTCCCAGTCACACCTGGATCCGTCGTCACACCCGGATACAGCAGAGCAGCAGCAGGTTCCGTTCGATCCAGACTTGCTGTCGCCTCAAGACTCGGCCCTGCTCTGCTCCTCCACCTCCATCTCCTCCATCTCATCCGTCTCCTCTTTTGACGACGACTTCAGCATGACCAGCGGCGCGTATGCAGGCACCCGTGCTGCAGCTGCAGCAGCCAATGGCAAGGCCAGGAGCGGCTCGGGTAGTGCGGTAGCGGGTGAGCTTGTAGAGGGTACAGAAGCTGCTGCCGGTGCTGCTGCTGCTGCTGGTGGTGGTGGTGGTGGTGGTGGTGCTGCCGGTGCTTCTGCTGCTGCTGCTGCTGCTGCTGCTGCTGCTGCTGCTGCTGCTGCTCCTGCTGCTCCTGCTGCTGCTGGCGCTGCTGGCGCTGTTGTTCACGCTCCAAGGAAGCCGCTACCAGCAACGATGAACATCCTGGTGCGGGACAAGCCCGAGGGGGACGTGGTGCGGCGGGTGTGTGCAGCAGGCAAGGGCGCATCAATGGTTCTGGAAGATGATGGAATCGTACGGTCTGAGATTCTCGTACTAGATTACTCTCCTCCTGCTGGTGCTGGTGGTGGTGGTGGTGATGGTGATGCTGGGGGAGGGCGGATGGATGGTTTTGGTGACTGTGACTGTGAGGGTGATAGTGATGGTGATGGTAGGATGGTGGGGGGGAGAGAGGGTGGATTAGGAGGAAGGAGAGGAGGCGATGGGGGTGCAGGGGTGGATAGAGGAGGAGGGAGAGGAGTGGGATCAATGAGAGGAGTGGGTGGTGATGTGACGGACTGCGAGTCGTGCATGTCGTATGACACGCCGAGAGGGAGCAGGCCAGGTGCCCCCCCTCCATGCACGCCTGCCAGCCGCTCCCCCTCTTCGTCGTTCAACAGCATAGCAGTGAACTTTTGCGGATCAGGGAGGGAAGGAGAAGGGGAAGAGAACGTGGGGGACGTGGTTGGGACGACAGCAAGTGAAGCAGGTGCAGCAGGTGGAGAAGTTGCAGCAGGCCCGGCGGCGGCAGCAGCAGCAGCAGCATCAGCGGCGGCAACGGTTCTTGCAACGGTGCAAGAAGGGGAACCGGCCTCCGTCTCTCCTTCCTCTTTGTCTCAACCATTGCGCTCCTCTCAGCCTCTCCCTGTCCCGTGGTTTGGTCAGGAGCTCTCCTTTGCACTGCGGCCAGCACACGAGTTAGGGGTGGAGGCAGCAAGAGCAGCGGCGATAGAGGCAGCAGCAGCTGCTGCAGTAGCTGCAGCAGACGCAGCAGCAGCAGCAGGAGGAGGAGGAGAGGTTTGGGATGAAGGAGAGGGAAGCATCCAGGCAGCGCGACGAGCAGAGCTTCGGGCACGGTTGCGAGTGGATGTGGCTGGAGAGAGTGGCTGTGGTGTGGGCACTCCAGACCAACAGCAGTTGCAGCAGCAGCACATTTTAAACGGGCAATCCGAGCAGTCCCAGCAAAACCTCCAGTTTCAGTTCCAGCAGCAAGAGCAGCAGCAGCAGCTGAGTGGTGAGCGTGGCATGGCTGTAGTGCTGATAGGGTCTGCACGAGGGGAGGCAGGGGCAGATGGGGGTGCTGGGGGGACTGCAGTGGGGGTGTGGCCGGGACAGGTCGTGCCTTGCAGCGCGGGCAGTGGCAGCAGGGGCAGCAGCATTGGCCGCAGTGTATCGGAAGGAGAGGTGCACAAGAGCGGCAAGGGAGCAAAGGGAGCAGGCAAGGGGGGAGGCGAAGGGAGGGGAGGAGGGAGAGGAGGTGGAAAAGGGTACGGGGAGGAGGATGAGGAGGAAGAGGAGGGGGTGGAGTCGCCGCTCGCACATGGTCGAATGCTTCGGGCGTGTGGCGCTCCTTTCTTCTCCTCCATGCGCCCCTCCTCAGCCTCCACCTTTTCACCTGCAACTGCTGCTGGTCGTGCTTCCACTGCAATCACTCCCGCCGCCACTGCTGCTGCTGCCTCTGCTGCCTCTGAGTTGACCCCTCCCAGTGTATCAGTGTCCAGAGGTGGAATGGGGAGCACGGATCAGGAGGGGCCCATGTATAGCACTCACGGAAGCATCAACAGCACCAGCAGCAGCAGCAGCAGTGTGCCGAACGGAGGGCTGGGGAGTGGCAAGTCTCAGCAGCCGCGGTCTGCAAGGCAGTCGATGCTGGAGGGGATGTTCAACCGGCAGTGGGGCAAAGCTAAGGTATGTGCGTGCCCACTTGAAACTGTTGCACATTGCTATTGGGCACGCACTGAGATGCCGCATGAATTGAGATGCTGGCAGCTTGCAGCAGCCGCGGTCTGCAAGGCAGTCGATGCTGGAGGGGATGTTCAACCGCCAGTGGGGCAAAGCCAAGGTATGTGCAAACCTTCATGCGACTGAAGCTGTTCCCGTATAAGAACCGCATGCATTGTGATGCTGGTAGAGCGAAGCAGCCGCGCTCTGCAAGGCAGTCGATGCTGGAAGGGATGTTCAACCGCCAGTGGGGCAAAGCTAAGGTACGTGCGTGCGTGGATTGCCTTGTGGCGATTTTGACATGACAGTCGCTTAAAAAACCAAGGTACTTGCGTGCATGGATTGCCAAGCGTCTCAGCTGCTATTGCTTCGGGGTTGACTCAATCCGGCAATGCATCAAGCTCGGAGGATAAAAATCAGGTAATGGATTTCTGGGAGTCTTGAAACCAGGCAGTGGGGCAAAGCCAGGGTGTCCGCGCGGGTAAGCACAAAGTCTCTCTCTCTCTGCTAGAACGCAACTCTTCTAGTCAACCTTGGGATTGTGTTGTGTCGGCCACACACCCAACCTCGGTGAGGGATGCCTTTCAGCGTGAGAGCAAATGTTCTCTGCTGGGATTTGCCTTCCCGTACGTAACTGACTAGTTGCAAACTTGCAACTGCTGCATAGACTCACCTCAGCTCCCCGCCCCGCCTCCTCCCTCTCATCTTTCCCTTCCCACAGCACTGATTGAGACTCTTACGAGGTTACCAGGGTCTGCAGCAATAATTCAAGCCAAGGCGGACCAGGGCGCGCGGCACTTGTAAAGTTAGAACAGAGCTCTAGGGAACTGTCTTTCAGGAGACCAAACCAAACGCTACGTACGGAGGGCTTCGGTCAGAGCTTCCTTGTAAGTTATCGGTACCCATATATATGGATAAGGAACCCGTCATATCATGTACCGCATGTAATAAACAGGTTGCCTTGTAGGTATTGCCTAGAAATCATTGTAGTGAGTTTTGTGGGAGTGTGCGCGGGAAAGTTAACCCAAGTGAGTCAGCAGTGGGTATGGCTTGGGATGGGAAGCGCCATGGCTGGTAGAGGTCTCGTAGGTGAAGTGGCATTTTGAGGACAAAATTCATTGTTAATCTATTTCCACAGTAGTTATACATACATAATTATACCTACGGCTTCCAAATTCCACCACTGCACATGGCCAATTGACCCCTATCGTATGTATATTGCTGCCAGTATGCTGGTACGGTATCCGATCGGCAAACCTGGTACCAGTGCCTCCAAACAGGGTTCTTCCCTTGCATTCACTTGACTCCTAGCTGAAAGAGTGCCATGATGCCATCCCACTCCACTCCTTGCATTCTTCCATAGCCAAGCCAGTTAGTCAGCCCGCCACCTCAGTTCTTCCAACGGCCTGTACTCCCACCAACAAATCCGAGACTCTGTCCTCCTGTCGGTCCTCCTCTTCCTCCATCATCCCACCATCAACCTGAGACTCCTCCCTCCCCCTGCACCTTATGCCTGGCAGCTACCGTCGTCGAACGACCCAACGTAGTAGGAGTACCCATTTGCACTCCTCAGAACAGCAGTACCATTGCTACACGCTCCGTCCGTATGCCGCATCACACAGAAACCCCCACACTCACTCTCCCATTCCGCCACACCCTTTTTCTTCCCTCCACTGCCACCACCACCACTGCTGCCACTTCCGCTGCTCTTGCTGCTCTTGCTCTTAGCAGCGGCAGGCGAGCCCTTGGGAATCCACACCCAGCTCTCGCAAGACAGCTTATCCCCCTCGTACGTTTGGATATTCCGACTCGACGCACACATGTCCGCGCATGCACCCTGGGTCGACACACGCGCACCGCCAATAATCCGGTACACGTCCAGGTCACTAATCGCCTTGAGGGCCGGACACGTCTTGCACTTCATATCCGCGTTAGTAGCGGCTCCCTTCTTTGCAAACGCGGCAGCGGACGTGGTGGAGGAAGAGGAGGAGGAGGAGCGAGACGAGGTAGTGACAGGAATGAAACCCGCCATGCAGAGAGTGCAGCTGGAAGCAAGGCTGTAGCCGAGCTCGCATGTAGCACAGGAGGCGGCCTTCGAGTAGCTCCCTTGGCACTTGCACGAGGGAGTCCCATCCACCTGGATAGACAAGAGGGGCGCGTAGGGGACGACCGAAGGAATGGGTAAATTGGACGGAACGGGAGCGACGAAGGACACCGAACGCAGGGGACGTGTACCGGAGGGACGCGGGCATGATGAACACGGACAGAAACCATGACGGACGGATGGACGGACGGGCGGACGGACTACGGGTGTATTGACGAGCGCTAGAAGTTTTAAGCGGCTCACCCTATCGTAGATGCATTTGCCCTTGCCGTTGCAGTCGTTGCCGTCACCGCAGCCAGAGCACCCCTTACACGACTGGACCACTGCCACATAGGGGTGGGGGGGGAGGGGGTGCGATGGAGGAAGCGGACATGAGATGCGAACGGGGCACGATGGCCGGCGGGCAGGAAGCAGCGGTTCGAATCGAACGGGTGTGCGCCTGTGGCACGGGTGCGTGTTTACAAAGGACTGGCGTTCACACGTGCATGTTTGCGCGCAGGCGTGCGTGCGTGTGAAAATAGGAACTGCTGGACCCACCTTGGGCGTTGGGTTGCTGAGCTACCATGTCCGGCTTCTGGTTACCACACAGCTGTAGCACGTTCCCTCCGCCCTCCACGCCATCCACCAGAATGTCATCGCTAGCCGTTGGCGAAACAGCACTGTTCTTCGCGAACGACGAATAGCACACACGGGTTACCAGCTTCGCGCTCCCACCACCCTCCACACCCACGAACAGCGCACCACCGCCACCCGTCCTCGCGACATTCGCCTGAAACGACGTCCGCATTATACTAGGCGACTGCCCGGCGATCGCGGTCGAGTAGATCGCGCCGCCATCTAGCTTCGCCGAGTTTCCCTCGAACCGGCTCCTCTGCACGTAGTTAACCTGGCCGGCCACTGCGCCGCCATATCCGCCGGTCGCCACGTTGTTCACGAACGTCGAGTTGAAAATCGCGAGAAACCCGCTTCGCAGCAGCGAGATCGCGCCGCCATCCAACGACGCCTGGTTGTTCTCAAACAGGCACTCCGAGATCTGGATCGTCGCGAGCTCCTGCGAAATCGCTCCGCCTCGCGTGTTGCTGTTACCACGGAAAGTAACACGGCGAGCGATGAGCGGTTTCGCAAGGCCCACGCCGCTACATTCGCCGATGATCGCGCCGCCGGTAAAGCCTTCCATGTGGAGGTCTTCGAGCTGTAGCGCGGCGCCAGGATCGCAGTTGAAGCCTTTAAAGCCGTTACCCTTGATGACGCAGCGCTTGCCTCCGCATTTGCCTTGGATATGGAGAATGGCGTTGTACTCAAGCTGAGGGAGGTTTGACGTGAGTGTCACGTCAGCAGACAGCACCACCTTGACGGTACTGCATAGGTTGACCAGTGAGAATCGATCACGCCGGGGAGAGAGATAGAAAGGGGAGGAGGGGAGGGGAGGGGAGGAGGGGGGAGAAATCCAAAGAACGGAAACAGAGGCAGGAAGCATGAAATTAGTAACTTCAGGACGATGATTGATCATAAGCTTCGTGAGACTGGTGAACCCTCGATAACGATATGGCTGGAATTATAGCTAGCAATGATCATAACTGCGTCGGCAAGCACTCCTCACCTTCCCGCCTTCTCGTTGGCACTCGCAATCGCTTCATGCAGGAACGAGTCGCCCTGGCCAGCCTGCGCTTTTCCTCGCAACCCCGTGTTCTTCTTCGCCACCAATGATGTTGCTGCAGTCGCCCCGACCGCGTTCGTGTACCTCCTCGACTTCTTCGTCTTTTTCGCCTTCTTCGTCTTCTTCGTCTTCTTCTTTTTCTTTCCGTTGCTGCTGCTGCTGCTGCTGGACGAGCTGGTTTCGCTCGTGACTCGTCGGATGGAGCCAACGCCGCCGTTAGCACCGTCGATTTCATCGGCCATTGGCAGCGGCATGAGCGACCGCCGGAACGTGTCCGACGCTTGTAAGTCGGGGCGGAAAATCTGTAGCGGGTATGGGAGGATGGACTGCGGGGGAGTGGCCAGGCATCCTGCCGTTGCAAACGCGACAACGGCGATTAGGGGGAGGAGGACGGTTGAAGGCACGCAGGATTGCGAGAAGCTACGATGCAGCATGGTCATTGTGCCTGGATTTAGAAGGGCAGAGACGATTGGTGACACTGGGATTGCTGGATACAGTCGAGTATTGCACGGCTCAAATGCTTCAGTGATGATTGAAGGATTCGCTTGCTCGTGTACCTAAAAGCGACTCTAGACGCATGCAGAGGTTGAGAACGGGTCCGAAGAAGACTAGACTCTATTGATCCTGCTGTCAGCTAATGACCCTCTTGTACTCAATCCATTTTCTGGAGGAAGGGAGTAGTACGGCACGGCTTGACTTGTGCCAGTTCTCAGTCCCCTTCACGCGCCTGACGACCACCACAACTCGTCATTACCGTGGTGGCTTGGGTTGGGTCAGCTGGTTGGAGTAGAATTGGGGTAGGCTACGAGATTGCAAGGTGGCGCAAACACGGCAAGCCGTCGATTTGTTTTCCCTAGCACATCGGCCGTCCATTGATGCACACAATTTCCAGCATTCACAATTTTCGACATTTCCGCGCTTCGGTTCTGAGGGCTGTCAGGAAATGCTGCAGTCCACTTCCCCAGCGGGTTGGATTTCGTTGAACAAGGCTGACTGGTGGATCCCGTTTCGCAGTGGCGTGCTTCCGCATGCACAGGGTCGCTCTGCGACTCCTGCCACCAGTGCGCGACGCGCTGTCAAAAACAAAATGTTAGGCGGGGAATTTGAGCCGACAGTTTTAGCGTCCGTTGGATGACGACGGCAACAGCAATCGCACAGCTCCCAAACCAGACCGAAAGTCGCCCACGTCGATCTGGTCGCATGCTCTTCCGTTTTAGGGAGGCAGCGGTATGATGAGAGAACCATTCCATAACTACCACATTGATACGAACGCAATTATAAAACAAGACTAACAAATCTGCTCGTCTGAACGTCGACTAATAAAGTATTTTATGCATCATGCATTACTCTCGTTAATTGGTTCGACTGGTTGCTGTTTGAAACATGTGGATTTTTTGCTAGATTATGGGAAATTTGTTCTCTTCCATTTGTAACTGCACTATTTCATGCTTTACGGGGACATTCCTTTTGGGCTGCATACCAATGTGCCCTATGATTGTATTGTTTGGTAATGCCAACCTTCACGAGGACCAATTTTTATCGCTCTCGATTACCACTGAGTTTGACATAGCGAAACCCGCTTTGTTGGAGACGCCTGCATTCCACAGTACAAATACCCTCGATTTCTCCTGACCAACCCCTATGTGCTGCAACGGCTGCTACCTCCTAGATGTCTCGCAGTGTTCGTACGCAGCAAGCTCTATCAGTCCTCTCGCTCAGAAGGCTGTTACTACAGACTTTCAGACGACTATAGACCCGCATTTCATGGTATTCGTTCTGCTCTAGACTGCGACAAAAGTTTAAGGGCATTCGGATACGCTAGGACCAATACCTTTCACATTAGGTTGCAGAAATTCAAGCTGTTGGGACTCGGAACTTAAAACTTTCAGTAGTTTTATCTTTATGGCGTTCTCCCCGACGCGACCATCGGTATGCTTACAATCACAACCTTAACAAATGCGGATGATGGTAGCTTGTGTGTGGCCGCAGCAGAAGCTGCCGCATTAGTGCTTGCAGCAGCGCAGCCGCGTCCGCAATCCGACCGTAGCTGCTAGCGCCAGCGGAAGTGACGCGCGCGCGCAACCGCATCGCGGTCGAAACTGCTGCATCAGAAGTGAAATCCGCGTTCCTTGAAACCATTGCGTCTATCCTGCAAAAATGATGGACTTACAGCAGCAGCAACAACAGCAGCAGCAGCAACAACAACAGCAACAGCAGCAACAACAGCAACAGCAGCAGCAACAGCAGCAGGAGCAGCAGCAGCAGCAGAAAATGATGTATACGCAGGATAACAACCACCTATACGACCCTAACCACAATGACCTGATGACTATGTTAGGCGGGGGATTCGGTCAGCCGGGGGGGGGCGCGGGCATGCGCGGGGGCCGTCCGCCGTCCGAGCACATCGTGGAGGCGCTGCTTCAGCGGTTCGTTCCGCTGGCGCGCGCAAGGATAGACGCGGCTGCGCAGGTAAGCGGGGGGAAGGTGTGCGGGGAGAGGATGTGCGGGGTAAGGGTGTGCGGGGGATGGGTCTAACTCAGGTAGTGGGACCACTTTTAAGGCACCTCAAAAGGCATGAGGCGACTACGCAGGTAGGCAGGGGGAGGGTATGCGGGGGGGGGGCGGACGGGCGCGGCGGAGGCGGAAAGGGATGGAGAGGTGGAGGTCGGGGGGAAAGGGGGGACGAAACGCGACTTGGTCTGGCTGTGGAGGTAGGGGGACGCTGGAGCAGCTGTAGCAAGCTGTCGCAAGCTGTCGCAGGCTGTTGCTGGCTGGAGCAAGTGTGGCAAGCTGGGGCAAAGCGAGCAAGCTGTAAAACCTGAATCTGGAGGACGGAGCCTGTGAGAGAGAAGGTGCTCGACTCGCTGGTTATGGCAAGATGGAGCTTGAGCTTCATGATCCCGTTCCTCTGACCGTCCTTCCCCGCCCAATCCCGTCCACCCCCGTCCACTTCCTTCCACCTCCCTCCACCACCCTCCACCGCTCTCCACCCCCGGCAGGACGGGCAGGGCTTGAAGCTGGAGGACGGGGCGTACGAGAAGGTGCTGGACTCGCTGGCTATGGTGGCCGCGCACATGCCCCGCCCGCTGCTGGATGCGCTGCTCAAGTGGCGCGAAGGGTGAGAGAGGGGTTGGGGCGGGGGAAGGGGAGCTGGTGGGCGGGCGTGTCAATGAGGGGAAAATGGGGGATAGCCGCGCACGTGCCCCGCCCGCTGCTGGATGCGCTGCTCAAGTGGCGCGAAGGGTGAGAGAAGAAGGGGAGGGGGAGGGGGAGGGGGAGGAGAGGGGAGGGGAGGGGAGGGGAGGGGAGGGGAGGGGAGGGGAGGGGAGGGGAGGGGAGGGGTATGGGGGAGGCGGATGAGGGGGTAGAAAGTGAGGAAATCAACGAAAATATTGCGGGGAAATGTGTAGGTGATGGGAGAGGGGAGACGGGTTCTGACATGCCTCGGTGGCTGTTAGACATGCTGTATGGTGTGGGGTAGGGGGAAGGGGGGAAGCGGGAAAGGGGACTGTTGTGAAGGGCAGGGAGAACGGGGGAAGGGGGATTGTGAAGGGCAGGGAGATGGAACGGTTTGGTGGGGGGAGTGTGTGGTGTGGGGTGATGCTGATCCTGCTCATGTTAATATCGAGCATAAGATTTTGCGTTGTGACGCCTTTCACTGTTTTCTGGCATGCTCATGCCCGCCTGTGTGTTTCTTGCCGTTGGCTGTGCTGCTGTGCTGGTGCTGTGAACCTTCCCGTGCCGAGTCTCCCTGCAGGGAGTCACCGAAGCTGATGGACGATGCTAAGTTCGGACCGGGTCAAGGCTTGCACACACTGCACCGCAAGGTACATGCCCGCCACGCCCTGCCATGCCGTCCTGTGCTCTGCCATGCCATGCCATGCCATGCCATGCCATGCCATACCCTGCCTGCCATGCCATGCCAGTCGGCACCTTGACTGATGGGAGAACGATGCTGGACTCTCTCTCTCTCCCCTGCACGCACGTTGCTGTTATCTGCTACTCGTCTCCTCTTGCTGGTAATGCATGGAGGCTGGAGCACCACACCAGAATCAAAAGCGTGCAATGTGTGCATGTGCTCTTGCCGTGCCCTACCAACATTCTTCCTCCCTCCTCATCCCGTTCCATCTCGTCCGTCCCATTCCGTCCCGTGTCGTCCCGTGTCCCCCGCAGCTGCTAGTGGAGTGTGTGTTCATCTCTGCCGCTGTTCGCTTTGTTGACTGCTGCCCTGCTGACGGCCTCACAGGTGCCACTCAACTTCTTCCGCTCTCCACCCTGCATCTCTACTGTCACATGCTGTCTACTGTCACGCTCTGTCTAGTGTCACGCTCTGTCTAGTGTCACGCTCTGTCTAGTGTCACGGCCACGTTTCACTTCTCAAATCGTGAAACTGTGCCCGTCACTGCCACACCCCCCTTTCATCTGCCACATTCCCTTTTGAATGCTACACTCCCTTCTTCTTGCCCCCAATGGTTCGTGCAGATGGGACCCCCACTCGACTTGACCCTCTTCTCCCTTTCCCTGCCCAATTCTGTGTCTCTTTCATTAACACCTTCCTTGCCCAACAATTCTTCTCCCCCCTTTCTCAGAGGAGCTATGGAGTGGCTTAGAGGACTTCATATTCGACTGGTTCGTGCATGCAGAGAGGTAAGGCCGTTTCACACGCCTCGCCCCTTCCTTCCCACTTTTCCCCCTCCTGCGTGCATGCCCTTCAAAGCTCTCTGTATCTGAACTTGTACATTCCCATGCGCTTCTTCCGAACAGCTCTTGTGACATTCCTCCCTCCTTCCCTTTACAGCTCTTGCGATCGTAGCTCTTGCTCTCCTTGCCTCCTCCACAGCTACAATCTGTCTGTTTTTCGTCGTCCAAGTCCTGCCAGCTATATCTTGATCCATCCCAATCCCAATCGTATCTTTAAGGTCCCTAAGTAACATTCCACGCTGAATCCTAACTGCCACATCTTGAATAATCCCTGTTTGCTGCGTCTGATCTTGCCCTGTCAAACTCCCCCCTTCTCTCTGCTCCAGGCTCATTCCCCAGTCGGAGTTCCCAGGGTTGATGGAGCTGCGCGCCAAGCTCCTGGACTATGTTGCCGATCTTGCAGGGGTGCTCTCGGTCAAGCGGTGCGTGCTCTTCCTTCTCTGCCTTCTGCCCTCTGCTCTCTGTCTTCTGCTCCCTGTTGTCTGCTGTTTCCTGCTCTCTGCGCTCCCTCCCCCCCCCTTCTCCCTGCTCTCTGTTCTCTGTGCTTTCTAGGTTAGAGACCCCCCTCTTTCCCCTCCCATTCCCCCCCCCCCTTCCCAACCCCCCTCCCGTCCCCCTCTTCCCTCCCCCCCCTCTGTGCAGCTTTGACAGCATGGCGGCGCGGTTCTTTGTGGAGCTGGACACGCGGGCACTGTTCGACCCCCTCTCCCCTTCCCTTTCCCCTTCCCCCCCACCCTCTGCCCCACGCCCCCTTTCCCTTCCCCTCTGTGCAGCTTTGACAGCATGGCGGCGCGCTTCTTTGTGGAGCTGGACACGAGGGCCATGGAGCAGCCGATGCGCCTGGAGGGGCTGTCCGCCACGGGCAGCCTGCGCGTCGTGCCGGTGGTGGACGTGTTTGCGCGCGGCAGCGAACGGCTGAAGGGGCTCTGAATGAACCACCGTCCGAGTCGACCCGTAACCCTCTTTCTCCTGCTCTCTCCCCTCCTCTCCCTCCCGCTCCCCCTCCTCCCCCTTCCTCTCCCCCCTTTCCCTCTCACCCCCCCCGCCCTCTCTCTCCCCCTCGCCCCCTGCAGCTTTGACAGCATGGCGGCGCGCTTCTTTGTGGAGCTGGACACGAGGGCCATGGAGCAGCCCATGCGGCTGGAGGGGCTGTCGGCCACGGGCAGCCTGCGCGTCGTGCCCGTCGTGGACGCGTTTGCGCGCGGCAGCGAGCGGTCGCTGGCGATGGAGTTCAGCGTGCGGCGCTACGACGCCACCTCCAACCGCAACGAGCTGCTTAGTGTCGTCCACGGCATGCGCTTCCTCCGCCTCGACGTGCGTTCTGGGGAGGGAGGGGGGGAGGGGGAGGAAGGAGGGTTGGGGGGGGTGGGAAGGGGAGGGCAGGACAGGGTAGTGTAGGGAACGGGGGGCGAAATGGGTTAGGAGGGAGGGTGCTGGGCAGCTGGCCTGCAGCAGGAAGGTTCGTGTGTTGTGTTGGCAAGGGGCGGTGGTGGACGTGTTTGCGCGCGGCAGCGAGCGGTCGCTGGCCATGGAGTTCAGCGTGCGGCGCTACGACGCCACCTCCAACCGCAACGAGCTGCTCAGCGTTGTCCACGGCATGCGCTTCCTCCGCCTGGATGTAAGTCTGTCTGTCTGGGGGGCGGGGGGTTGGGGGGAATGGGGTGGGGAGGGGTGAGCAGGGGAGGGATGGACGGGGGCAGTGGAGGGCAGGGCAGGGGAGCAAAGGGCGGAATGGAGTGGGAGGGAAGGTGCAAAGGTATGTGTTGGCAAGGGGCGGTGGTGGCGGTGGTGGACGTGTTTGCGCGCTACGACGCCACCTCCAACCGCAACGAGCTGCTTAGTGTCGTCCACGGCATGCGCTTCCTCCGCCTGGATGTGCGTCTGTCTGGGGGGGGGGGGGGGGGGAGAAAGGGCGAGGGGGGTTGGGGGGGATGGGGAAGGGAAGCCAGGGCAGGGGAGCGAAGGGCAGGCAGGGGATGGCAGGGCAGGGGAGCGAAGGGCGGAAGGGGTCGGATCGGAGGGGAGGGTGGGTGGTGGGTAGTGGAAGTAAGGTATGTGTGCTGTGTGTTGGAAAGGGGCGTGCGTGCGGCGCTATGTACGACGCCACGTCCAACCGCAACGAGCTGCTCAGCGTTGTCCACCTCCACGGCATGCGCTTCCTCCGCTCCGCCTTGATGTATGTAAGGCTTGATGGAAGGGAGGGAGGGGGCGGGGAGGAACGGGAGGGGGAGGGAGGGGGGAAGGGGGGAAGGAAAGGAATGTGAGTGACTGCAGGGCTCGCGCTTCATGCACGGCACGGGCTTCATGCAGGGCTCGCGCTTGATGCACGGCATGCAACGCGCTGCTCAACTCAACCAACCAGATGTCCACCCACGCCAGCAGCAATAATGGCCTCCCCCAAATCCCTCCTCAAGGCAAATCTTCTCAGCGGTGTGGTGCACTGCACGCCTCATACCGCTCTCAACCCAAACCAACCCCACCCAACCCCTCCCCGCATCCCACCTCATCCAGATGTCCACGCCAGCCGCAGTCATGGCCTCCCGCAACTTCCTTCTCAAGGCGAATCCTCTCAGCTTTACGGTGCCACCACCGCTCTCAACCCAACCCCACCCAACCCCTCCTCGCTCCCCGCCCCAACCAGATGTCCACGCCAGCCGCAGTCATGGCCTCCCGCAACTTCCTGCTCAAGGCGAACCCTCTCAGCCGCGCGCCCTCCAAGAAAAAAACCGAGCTGCAGCACGCACTCTGCGCCATGCTCACCTCCATCCTCGCCCCTCTCACTGAAAACCCGCGCTCCCACTGGCCCCCACTCAAGCACATGATGGGCGGTGCCGGGGGAGGGGGAGTGGGGGGAGTGGGGGGAGTGGGGGGAGTGGGGGGAGTGGGGGGAGTGGGGCCTGCTGGCTCTGCTGCGGCTGCTGATGCTCTGACTGCGTGGAACTCCGCGGTGCTGCATTTGCGGGGGCAGCTGTCGGGGTGGGTGGCGCCGCAGTCGACGCTGTCGCTGCAGATGGACAAGCAGTCGAGGCACATCCAGGTGGGTGGGTGGGTGGATGGATCATGGAGGTGCTTTGCTTTTAGGAGCATGGGGGGAGGAGGGATGGGGAAGCGTTGCTGTCGTAGCAGATGACAAACACTCGAGGCACATCCAGGTGGATGGGATGGGCCGGATGGCGGCGCTTGCGTGTGGCCGGCGGCGCAAGGTGAGAGGAACGTGGGGAAAAGGAGGGGGAGGCCTGGGAAAGTTGATCGATTGTTGAGATGTCTAAAAAAGCTCGGGATGTGAGGGGAGGGAGTAGTGTGTGTTGTGAGGAGTGTGTTGTGGGGGTGGAAGTGACTTGTCTTCTTACACTTGTTCTCACCTCTTCCGATTCCATTCGTGTGTGTGTGTGTGTGTGTGTGTGTGTGTGTGAGTGTGTGTGTGTGTGTGAGTGTGTGTGTGTGTGTGCATGTGTGTGTGTGTGTGTGTGCATGTATGCATGTGCATGCAGGTGGCATATCCCCTGAACACACTGCTGCTGTGCCTGGGCGATCAGCACTCCTTCGACTCTCTCTTCAACAGCTTCGTTGAAATGCTCTACAAACACCTCAGGGTAAGTAACTGTCAGCAAACGATTCATGGTAGAGAGATGAACAAACACCCTCGGTAAACATTAGTAGATACCTCAGGGTAGGCATGATGAGCACAGTACCGAACTGAACCGGTTCGTTTGTATACCATTAAAAACCGAACCGGTTCACTACCGAATCGAACCGGTTCGTTCACGAACCGGTTTGCATGGTGTGAAAGTAGCAAATTGAACAAGTCATCAGATTAGAGGAACAACCTAGCATACATAGTTCGAAGGGAAGGTTGGAAGGGAAGGATGAAAGTGACCATAGGTTGGGTTGACCTCACTTGGGGAAGTGAGGGAACCATAGGTCAAGTGGGTTGGGTTGCCCACACTTTGTAGAAGTGAGGCAACCCTAGGCCCACTTGGCTTGGGGTAACCTCAATTGTGGGAAGTGAGGTACCCACAAGTCAAGAGGGTTGCATTTGGGGGCTCCACCACAATTGGGTGGATTGGCACCCCAAAGTGCAAGACTACACCCAAAGTTGGGTGTAGTCCCAACCCAACTGTACACCACAATTGGTGTACAGTCACATGTGTTGGCATGCTACACAATATATATTTTAACACAACCCCTTAGCATGCTAACACAAGAAGAGAACAACCCCTGAATCAAGGGGCGCCCGGGCGAGCAAGGCCAATGAGGCGGAGGAAGGCAGAGTGCGCGGGGCGAAGGAGGGCCTTAGTGAAGATGTCGGCCAAGTTGGCCTCGGTTGCAATCTTGCGAACGTCAATGAGGCCCTTCTGGACGAGCTCGCGAACGAAGAAGTAGCGGAGTTCGATGTGCTTGGAGCGGGCGTGATAGACGGGGTCCTGAGTGAGATGGATGCTGGCGTTGTCGCACCAGAGAGTGGGGCACGTCTGGGGGGCGCCAAGCTCCGCAAGAAGGAAGCAGAGCCAGCGCGACTCCTGGGCGGCCATGGTGCCAGCGTAGAGCTCGGCTTCGCAGGTGGAGAGAGAGATGGCGGAGGAGCGGGTGGAGCGCCAGCTGATGAGGCCGCTGCCAAGGGTGAAGCCGTAGCCCTGGGAGGAGCGGCGGTCCGGCTGCGTGTCAGCCCATGAGGAGTCACTGAAGCCCGAGAGAAGGGGACGGGAAGGGCCGCCGAGGGTGAGGGCAAGGTCCCTGGTCCCGCGAAGGTAGCGGAGGACCCGCTTGGCAGCTTTCCAGTGCTCCTCAGAGTGACGACCGGTGCCGACAAAGCGAGCGAGCACGCTGATGGGGTAGGCGAGGTCGGGGCGGGTGCACATCATTGCGTACATCAAGGACCCAACGAGCTCGGCATAGGGGTGGGGGGAGGAGGTGGGGGAGGTGGGTGGAGCGAGTTGGTGACCGAAGGGGAGCGGGGTGGAAACAGGCTTGGCTTGCGCCATGTCGAACTTCTCCAAGACCTGGCCGATGTAATGGGACTGGGAGAGGGTGATTGTGCGAGCAGGGCGGTTGCGCGTGATGGTCATGCCGAGGTAGTGAGTGAGGGCGCCAAGGTCCTTGCACTTGAGCCGCTGCTGCAGGGACAGCTTCACCTGCTCCATGTCGGCCTTGGTGTCAGAGAGCAGGATCATGTCGTCGACATATACCAGAATGAAGAAGCTGCGGGGGGAGGAGCGGATGAAGAGGCTGGCGTCGGAGTGGGAAGCAGAGAAGCCGAGGGACCCCAAGGTGGCAGCCAGCTTCGCATGCCACTCACGCGGTGCCTGCTTCAAGCCGTAGACGGGGCGACGCAGCTGCCAGACAGTGTTCTCAGGAAAGGCTGCGTGGAACCCGGGGGTTCGCCGGAGGAAAATGCGCTCATGCAGGTCGCCCTGCAGGAACGCATTGGAGACGTCCATGGAGTCGATTTCCATGTCGTCACGTGCACCAATGTCCATGGCGGCGCGAAGGGTGGGTTGTTTGGCGGTGGGGGCGTAGGTGAACCAGTAGTCCTCAGCCCAAGTCTGCGTGAACCCCTTGGCGCAGTAGCGGGCCTTGTACACTGGTTCCTCGCCCGGCAGCTGCTTCACCCGAAAGACCCATTTGCCGTCAACGAGATTAGCGCCAGCAGGGAGGGGGACATCGACAAAGGAGTCGTTGCGAATGAAAGCCTCACACTCCAGGAAGATCGCTGCTATCCATTTATCCGCATCAGGGCAGGTGATGGCTTCCTGGAAGGTGGAGGGAGTGAAGATGGTGGGGGTAGTAGTGGCGCCAAGGACAGGAAAGCCCAGGAAGTCAAGGTAGAGGGCGGCAAGGAATGGAGTGTGCTCCCGAATGTTGAGGAACTCCTCATGGGAGTCCTCAAGGAGCTGAATGGAGGCAGGAGGAGGAGCCCCAAGGATTTTGTCCACCGAGCGGGTATGGATGTAAGGGAGGAGGAAGGGGGAGGAGCGGGAAGTGGCACGGCGCCGCTGCTGCTGCTGGTGCTGCTGCTGCTGATGCTGCTGCTGCTGCTGCTGTCCCGGCTGCTGCTGCTGCTGCTGCTGCTCCGGCTGCTGCTGCTGCTGCTGCTGCTGCTGCTGCCCCGGCTGCTGCTGCTGCTGCCCCTGCTGCCGTTGCTAGTGTTGCTCCCGCTGCTGCTGCTGCTGCTGCTGCTGGTGCTGCTGCTGCCCCTGCTGTTGCTGATCCGGCTGCTGCTGCCCCTGCTGTTGCTGATCCGGCTGCTGGAAAGGAGGAGAATGAGAGGAGGAGGGAGAGGGGGGAGGGGGTGCAGCTGAGTGAGCGGGGGAGGCGGGTGCGGCAGGGTCGTAGACGTCGGCAGAGGAGGAAGGCGGGAGTGGGGCGGCGACAGGTGGGAGGAGAGGCGCTGGAGGGATAAGAGGCGGGAGGATGGTGTCGGTCCAAGCGAGGGGGCGAGTGGGAGGAGGGAGGGGGTCAGGAGGAGGGGTGGAGTAGTAGGGAGTGGACTCGTCGAAGACGACGTCAATGCTGCGGATGAGGCGATTGGTGGGAGGGTGGAGGAATAGGTAGCCTGGGGAATCACGATTGTGCCCAAGGTAGACGCACTCCAGAGCGCGAGGAGCGAGCTTGCCAGCAGCGCGGGAGCGGTCGGCCGGTGGAATGAGGACGAACGCCTTGCAGCCCCAAACACGAAGGCCTGCGGCGTCAGGCTTGGCCTTGGACCAGACTTCTGTGGGGGAGGAGGAGGGATGCTGAGGGTGGGAGCGGAGATTGAGGAGGAGGGCGGCATGAATGAGGGCATAGCTCCAGAGGGAGGGAGGGGTGGAGGCGTGAGCAATGAGGCAGCGCGCAATCTTGGTGATCTCACGGATGCGACTCTCAGCGATGCCGTTTTGCTGAGGGGAGTGGGGAAGGGTGGTGGTCTGCTGAATGCCGTATGTTTTGCAGTAAGTGAAGAGAGTATGATTGATGAACTCACCCCCACCGTCAGAGTGAAGGCGGCCTATGGGACGTTTGAAGTGGTTGCGGCACTGCTCAGCCCAGTGGATGACCACAGCCGGCACCTGGTCTTTCGTGTGAAGAAAGAAGACGGTGGAGTACCGACTGTGGTCGTCGACGAGCACGAGCATGTACCTGTGCCCCTGACGGGAGCGGATGGGATAAGGGCCCCAGAGATCCATGTGAACAAGGTCAATGGGGGCGGGAGCGAAGGTGGGATGACTGTGATGGGGGGACTGTTTGAGCTTGCCATGAATGCATGATGGGCATGGGGGAGCAGGGGAGGAGGGGAGGGGAGGTAAGGTGGGAGGAAGGCTGTTAAGGAGGCGAGAGGTGACGGTGGAGCGAAGTGCGGCGAAGTTGGGATGGCCGAGTCTGTGATGTAGGAGCACTGCAGGATGGGAGAGGGCAGTAGAGGAGGAGGGGGATGGGGTGGGGGAAAAGTTGGGGGGGGAGGAGGAGGCGGATGGAGTAAAGGAGGAGGATATCGGAGGAGGGGGAGGGGGAGGGTGAGGGGGAGGGAGAAGGGGACCGGTGGAAGTACCAGCACGAGTGGTGACGTGACAAAAGGAGGGACGGGGTGTGCGGAGCGTGTAAAGGCGAGTGCGAGGGCAAAGGGGAATGCGCAGGAGGAAACGACCAGAGGCGGTGTGGTAGAGATCGCAGTAGGAAGCAAAGCCAGGGTATATGGCGGTAATGCCAACGCCTTGGAGTTCACGGTGGGAGAGGAGGTTATTGCGAAGGGTAGGGATGTGGAGACCGGTGACTGTACCGGATGGGAAGGCGGTGCAAGGAAGGGTGGAGAGGTGAGTGCAGAGGATGGAAAAGCTGGAGTCGGCACCATGAACCTGGGTGGGAAGTGGAAGGGGGGTGAGGGTGCCAGCGTCTTTTAGTGCGGTTTCGGTGGCCCCACTGTCAAGGACAAAGTCCAGGGTGGGGGGGGAAGGAGAGGGAGGGAACACAGAGTACTGGAGAGTTGTTTCATGGATAGAAGAGGGAGAGAGCGGCGGGTGCTGCTGCTGTAAGTACTGTTGCTGCCGCGGCTGCTGCGGTGGGAGAGACTGTGACGGTTGCGGCTGGAGAGATTGGGCTGCTGCTGCTGCTGGAAGCACCGCAGATGCTGCCGCGGTTGCTGCGGCTGGAGAGATTGTGGTGGCTGCTGCTGCTGGAAGCACTGCTGCTGCTGCGGATGGAGAGAACTGTGGCTGGTGCTGCTGCTGGAAGCACTGCTGCTGCTGCGGCTGAAGAAACTGTGGCTGCCGCTGCTGCTGGAAGGACTGCTGCTGCTGCGGCGGAAGGAACCGTGGCAGCTGCTGCTGCTGGAAGCACTGCTGCTGCTGCGGCTGGAGAGACTGTGGCTGCTGCTGCTGCAGGAAGGACTGCTGCTGCTGCGGTGGAAGGAACTGTGGCAGCTGCTGCTGCTGGAAGGACTGCCGCTGCTGCGGCTGGAAGGACTGCTGCTGCTGGGGATGGAGAAACTGTGGCGGGTGAGGCTGGAGAGATTGCGGCTGCTGTTGGTGTTGGAAGAACTGCTGCTGCTGCGATTGCCGCGGCTGGAGGAGATGTGGGGGGTGCGGCTGGAGAAATTGTGGTTGCTGCCGCTGCTGGAAGTCCTGCTGCTGCTGATGCTGGAGCTGCTGGAAACGCCGCAGATGGGGAGGGGGGGAGGGGGTGAGCAGGCGGAGATAAGGGGGGGGGGAGGAGTGGAGGGTCGGAGTGTTGAGAAGGGAGGGGCGAGGAGTAACACTGCTCCAGTGAGGAGGGGGGAGAGGGGCAGGGGGGGGTAGCAGTCATGATGGGCGACGGCGGGTGGACCCGCGGCGGCCAAGGGTGAAGTTGCTGCTGCAGAGGCTGCTGCACTTCCCCTGCTGCCGCTGCTGCTGCCGCTGGCAGGAGGAGGGAGGGGGGGGGGGGGGGGGGGGGTAAAGGAGGGAGACAGCGGTGGAGGGCAGAGGCGTTCAAGGTGCAGGGAGCGACGGTGACAAGGGCGCAGGCGGCTGTGCGAACGTGCGGCGGCGGGAAGGGGAGGCGGTGGCAAAGTCGGGGGCGGCGGCGGCGAGCAGGCCGCGACGACGAGGGGCGCAGGCGACGGCGGAAGGGCCGCGGCGGCGAAACGAGGGACGGCGGCGGCAGGCAGGCCGCGGCAACGAGGGGCGCAGGGGGAGGGGGAGGGGGGGGGAGAGGAGTAGGGAGAGGAGGAAGGGAGGGTGCAGTTGCGGCTGAATCTGCAGGCGGCGACGGGGCAGTCACGGCGGCAGGAAGTGTGGGCGGGGATGGCGCGGTCGCGGTGGAGGATGGGCAGGCGGCGCCGAAGCAGTCGCGGCGGTAGGGCGGCGGCGGCGCAGTGGCGTTAACGGGAACCGCGGGGCGACGATGTTGCAGTTGCGGCGGGGGAAATTGCGGGAGGGTGGCGATGCAGAAGGGGCAGCGAGATGCGTGGGTGACGCGGAAGCAGGTGCGGCGGTGGGAGGGGAGGCGGCAATGCGAAATCGCGGCGGGGGGGGGGGGGGGGGGTTGGGGGCGGGGAGGTGACGACGAGCAGTCGCGGCGGCGGAATGCGCAGGCGGCGATGTTAGGTCGCGGCGGCGGGACGGGCAGGGGGCGACGAGCTGTCGCGGCGGCGGGACGGGCAGACGGCGCCGAAGCAGGCGCGGCGGCGGGAAGGGGAGGCGGCGACGTGACGTCGCGGCGGAGGGACGGGCAGGCGGCGACGAGGCGTCGCGGCGGCGGGATGCGCAGGCGGCGCCGAAGCAGGCGCGGCGGCGGGAACGCGGCGACGAGACGTCGCGGCGGAGGGACGGGCAGGCGGCGACGAGGTGTCGCGGCGGCAGGATGCGCAGGCGGCGCCGTAGCAGGCGCGGCGGCGGGAACGCGGCGACGAGACGTCGCGGCGGAGGGACGGGCAGGCGGCGACGAGGCGTCGCGGCGGCAGGATGCGCAGGCGGCGCCGTAGCAGGCGCGGCGGCGGGAACGCGGCGACGTGACGTCGCGGCGGAGGGACGGGCAGCGGGCAGGCGGCGACGAGGCGTCGCGGCGGCAGGATGCGCAGGCGGCGTCGAATCAGGCGCGGCGGCGAGAAGGGGAGGCGGCGACAGGGGGTCGCGGCGGGGGGGAGGAGGGGACAGCGGCGTTGCGCTCGCGGCGGTGGAATCCGCAGGCGAGGAAGGGGGGGGGAACGGCGGCGCGCCTGCTACGGCGTAGGTCGCGGCGAGAGTATGCTAGTGATGGCTAGTTGAGCCACGCGTAGGAAAGGGTTTGTAGCTGTGGGGTGGGCCCATGGGAGAAAAAAAAAAAAACTGAAGGGAGGGAGAGGGAAGGCCTAGGAACAAGTAGCTCTATACCATGTGAAAGTAGCAAATTGAACAAGTCATCAGATTAGAGGAACAACCTAGCATACATAGTTCGAAGGGAAGGTTGGAAGGGAAGGATGAAAGTGACCATAGGTTTGGTTGACCTCACTTGGGGAAGTGAGGGAACCATAGGTCAAGTGGGTTGGGTTGCCCACACTTTGTAGAAGTGAGGCAACCCTAGGCCCACTTGGCTTGGGGTAACCTCAATTGTGGGAAGTGAGGTACCCACAAGTCAAGAGGGTTGCATTTGGGGGCTCCACCACAATTGGGTGGATTGGCACCCCAAAGTGCAAGACTACACCCAAAGTTGGGTGTAGTCCCAACCCAACTGTACACCACAATTGGTGTACAGTCACATGTGTTGGCATGCTACACAATATATATTTTAACACATGGTGCCGGTTCGTGGTTCGTTAAAATAGCTAACGAACCGAACCGGTTTGGCCGAACCGGCCCGGTTCGGTACGGAACCTAAGCGGTTCGTTTTTCCAGTGATCTTTGAATATGGTCATACCAGCTGAAAACTAATAAAGAACCATAGGAAACACACAGATATTAGGTGGAAGGGAGATTTTGTAAGACTATGACAGAGTTGAAGCTCGAAATGAGCTCCAACTCTTTGTTTTTCGGGTTATATTCGAACTTGCATGACCAAGGTCGGTATGTCGCGCCTCGGGAATTTGGCAAAAACGAACCGCACGAACCGACAACCGGTTCGGTTCGTTGACGAACCGGAAGCCAAAAAACCCGTTTCGGTTCGGTTAAAAACGAACCGAACCGCACCGAACCGAACCGCAGTTTGGTTTTTTGCTCATGCCTACCTCAGGGTAAGTATCAACATGTCTTTCAACAAGAATCTCAGGCTAAGTTTCAACGAACTGAATTCCCCATCTAATCCCTCATCCTCCTCCTCACTGCCTTTCCTCCCATTGCTCCCCTTCTCCACTCCTCCTCCCCTCCCGTTCCCCCTGCCTGCCCTGTGCCATGCCACACCACGCCACGCCACCCCATGCCATGTGTGTGGGGAGCACAGGAGAAGAGCTATCGGGCAGTGGCGCTGGACTGCCTGCACCGCCTCGTGCACTTCTACCTCAGCGTGTATGCCGATGGCCAGCCCAAGAGCCGCGTCTGGGAGAAACTCGAGGTACCTTCCTACCTACCCGCCTGCATGCCCGCATGACCGCATGCCCGCATGACTGCATGCCCGCATGCCTATGTGGCCCCTATGTCATGGCAGCATCGTCCCATGTCCACATGCCTGCATGTTATAGTGAGGTCCACTCCACGCCCTCTACTACTACTGCCTTTCTCTCTCTACTGTTCCTCCCTGGCCTTGCACTTCCCTGCGTCCCCCTACTAATACTGCCGCGCTCTTGGTGTGCCTGTGCTGTGCTGCGTGTATATGAGGGCGAGCAGTGCCTTCTATTCTTGTGCTGCATGCTGCTGGATCCGCTCTTCCCTACTGCCCTTCCCCTTTCCCTCTCCTTCCGTTAACCTGTCTCCGCCTCCCGCCCTCTTGCCCCCTGCCTCCGCCTCCCGCTCCCCCCTGCCCCATCCTCCTCCCGCCACCCATTTCCCTCTCCCCCACCCCTCCCGCAGGGCATAACGAAGCAGCTGATGACGAGTCTGAAGAAGGGCGTGCTATCGCAGGACATGCAGCACGACCGCCTCGTGGACCTGTGCGTCACCGTGGCCGCCACGGACCTCGAGTTCGCCATGAACCACATGGTCATCGAGCTGCTGCGCACTGACGGGCTGGGGGAGGCCAAGGTGGGTGGAGTGCCGGGGCAGGGTGGGTGGGTGGGTGGGTGAAGTGAAGTTACGTACGTGTGGCCGTGGTGTGGCGCTGGAAATGGAGTGCAATCACTGCCTCGAGTTCGCCATGAACCACATGGTCATCGAGCTGCTGCGCACCGATGGGCTCGGGGAGGCCAAGGTGGGTGAAGGGTGCCAGGCAGGCACGCAGGTTGGGTGGGTGAAGACTGGTGAGTAATCTTGCTCAACGTCGTTGCCTTTTCACCTCTAGTTATGATAGTAATCTTGGATGGGGATTGTTGCGAGCCACATGGTCGTATAGTATTCTTGGACATAGCAGCTGGAGCTAAGGTCGCGTAACCATTTTGACGGTTGCGGTTCATTTAACGAACCCTCCATGCGAATCTGAGGTTACTGCTTTCGTTAACATTCGCCATCCAGTTTGTGAATATCCATGCAACGTCGCACACGAAACGGAACCGTATGGAACTTTTTGAAAAACAGGCGATATGAAACCGTTCGATAACCGTTCGTTTACCGTCCATTCGAAAAAATAACATAACTTCAGCCAAAAGCAAAATGATTACGCGCCCAACATCTTCTTCCGTACTCCTTTTCCACCACTCCAGGTGATGGGTGTTCCAGCCCTACTAGCATTCATGCACCAGATTATGAACTGAATGTGTAATTTTCGTGTCTTTTAGTCAACCAACCTCACTTCCACCTCCCCCCGCCCACCCACCTCCATCCCCCTCCTCCTCTCTTTTCCCATTCACTCCCCTGTCCACATCCCCCCTCTGCACCGCATTTCCCCCCAGGTGGTGGGGCTGCGCGCGCTGCTGGCCGTGGTGGAGAACGCGCGGCACCAGCTATAAATCCGAGTCACTTTTGAAATTTCTCAAAAGGAGAACGCCCTGCACTGCACCAGTCCAACGCTTGAGACACCTCAAAAAGCATTCCTAATCCAAACCTCCCCCCCACCCCCTTATCTTTTCCCCCCAGGTGGTGGGGCTGCGTGCGCTGCTGGCAGTGGTGGAGAACACGCTGCACCAGTCCAACTTCTGAGGCATCTCACAATGCCCCCCAAATCCACCCCGTTGCTCCCCAGGTGGTGGGACTGCGTGCGCTACTAGCAGTGGTGGAGAACGCCCTGCACCAGTCCAACGTCCGAGACGCCTCATAAGGCATCTCTAATCCAAACCCCCCATCCATCCCCTCCTCATTTCCCCCCAGGTGGTGGGACTGCGTGCGCTACTAGCAGTGGTGGAGAACGCCCTGCACCAGTCCAACGCAGCCACCCTCATGGCCCCCGACCGCAAGTCCTCCGCTCTTGCTGGCTCTGCCAAACCCCTCGGCACCACTCGCCAAGCCCCCCACGTGCCCTTCTTCGGGGGACCAGGGGGAGGCGGAGGAGGAGGGGGGCTTCCCCCTGGACTCCCCGCCCCCCAGATGTCTCAGCAGCAGCAGATGCTCATGCAGCAGCAGAAGCAGCAGCAGCTGCAGAAGCAGCAGGGAGCAGGGGCGGCGGGGCATGCGGCGCATCTGAGTTCACGGTTTGGGTCGGTGGATTATGGGAGGCTGGGTGTGGGGCCGGCGGAGACGGCGGTGATGGCGCCGCACATGCCTCGTGTGCGCGCTGCTCTGGGGGCGATCATCAAGCAGTGCCATGCGGCGTTTGGGTCGCTGCTGCTCATTACGCCCAAGACCACCATTGGTACGTTTCCTTGTTTGTTTGTTGGTTCGCTGGCTTGTTCTTTGGTTGGTTGCTTGGCCGATGCAGAGCTGACTGCTGGCTCGTTGAAGGGACTAGATGCAAGGCTGACTGTTGAGTGAACTCAAAAGTCAGCCTTCTTCTCTCCCACCACTCTATATCCCCCCCTCCCCCCCCCCTTCCCCCCTCACCAGACATGATGTCGAAGGACAAGGTGCAGAGCTGGCAGGTGTTCAAGTGGGCATTACGCTGCATGCCGCACCTCATCCCGGAGCAGTGGCGCAACGACAAGATGACCGAGATCATCCCCGTCTACGCCATCTCCATCGACCCCCACGTGCGCGACGAGGCCGTGCAAGTGCTCTTCCGCACCGTCCGCGACCTGCCGCAGTGCCGCTTCCCCATCCTGCGAGGCATGGCAAACTTCATTCTGAAGATCCCGGACGAGTATCCCCACCTCATCCACTCCTCGCTCGTCTGCCTCGTCCAGTTACTCAACGCCTGGCGGATTTGCCTCGCGTATGAAGCCTCCTCCTCTGCCGCTGCTTCCGGGCACGGACCCGGGGGTCCTCTTGCTGGTGCGGGGGCCGGGGGGGGAGCGGGGGGAGGGCCTGGAGGGGCGGATTTGCTCGCCCGGACCCGGCAGGTGCTGGCGGCGCATGGGGGGGATGACGGGCTGAGGTTTGACCCGTCGGGGATGGACGCAGTGGGGTTGATTTTCCTGTGCTCCGCGGATAACAAGATCCGGAGGACGGCGCTGGAGCTGCTGCGGAACGTGCGCGCGCTGCAGCGCGACCTGGCGAGGCTGTTTGCGGCGGGAGGGGAGCAGCAGGTGGAGGAGGACCCACCGACTACGTATATCATTGACATTATGGAGGAGACCGGGGTGAGGGGGTGGACTGGGGGAGAATCGGAGTGGGGGGTGTTTGGGGTTTAGTTTTGGGGGCATGGGCTTGTAGCGAGCAGCAGGTGGAGGAGGACCCGCCCACCACGTATATCATTGACATTATGGAGGAGACCGGGGTGAGGGGGTGAACACGGGAAGGGAGAGGGAGGTGTGACGTTTAGATCTGGGGGCGTGTCTAGTGGGGCGTCTAGTGGGGTGTCTAGTTCTGGGCGTAAATCATTAACATCATGATGATCATGGACGGACGTTACGGTTCGGTGTGGCTTATAAATAGTCTGGAGGTTTGGTTTGGCCTACCCCCCTTCCTCCTCCCCCACCCCTCAACAGGAGGAGGTGGTGAGCAAGTGCTACTGGGACAGCGGGAAGTCTTTGGTGTGTCAACTCTAAAGCTTCTCCCTTCGTCCCCTTTGCACCAATCCACGCCCCCACCCACCCACCCCCTTCCCCCCACAGGAGGAGGTGGTGAGCAAGTGCTACTGGGACAGCGGCAAGTGGCACGAGCTGCAGCCGGAGAGCGATGCAGAGGCGCTGCAGGAGGTGACGCTGCAGCATATCCTCGAGGGCGCCGACCAGGCGCGCTGGGGGCGCTGCCTCAGCGATACCCCTCTCCCCTCCCATCTTCCCAGCTTCTTCCTCTCTTTCCCTCCTTTCCCGCACCCCCCCACCCCCCATTTTCTCTCCCTTCCCTCACCTCCTTGTGGCTTTCCCCTCCTCTCTTCTTCCCCCCTCCTCCCCCCTCCTTCCCCCAACAGGAGGAGGTGGTGAGCAAGTGCTACTGGGACAGCGGCAAGTGGCACGAGCTGCAGCCGGAGAGCGATGCGGAGGCGCTGCAGGAGGTGACGCTGCAGCATATCCTCGAGGGCTCCGACCAGGCGCGCTGGGGGGGCTGCCTCAGCGATACCCCTCTCCCCTCCCATCTTCCCAGCTTCCTCCTCTCTTTCCCTCCTTTCCCGCACCCCCCCACCCCCCATTTTCTCTCCCTTCCCTCACCTCCTTGTGGCTTTCCCCTCCTCTCTTCTTCCCCCCTCCTCCCCCCTCCTTCCCCCAACAGGAGGAGGTGGTGAGCAAGTGCTACTGGGACAGCGGCAAGTGGCACGAGCTGCAGCCGGAGAGCGATGCGGAGGCACTGCAGGAGGTGACGCTGCAGCACATCCTGGAGGGCTCCGACCAGGCGCGCTGGGGGCGCTGCCTCAGCGAGCTCGTCAAGTACTGCGCCGAGCTCTGCCCCTCCTCCGTGCAGGGCGCCAGGTGGGGAGGGGTTGTGGAGGGGAGGGGGGGCTGGGGGCTGGGGCAAGGGGGACTGGGGACTGGAGGATGGGGATTGAGGTTGGGGTTGGGAGTTGTTGGCTGGGGATTGAGAATTATCAGAAAGGAAGGCTGGGAGTCGTGAGTGTGTGTGCAACTCGAGGTGCCAGTTTGGCCGATCTGGGGGCGCTGCCTCAGCGAGCTCGTCAACGTCAAGTACTGCACCGAGCTCTGCCCCTCCTCCGTGCAGGGCGCCAGGTATGGGGGAGAGGGGGCTTGGGGAAGAGGGGACTGGGGACTGGAGGATGGGGGTTGATGATTGGGGTATGGGGGTTGTGGGCTGGGGGTTGTGGGCAGGGGATTGAGGCGTATTTTGAGAGCGTCGTGACCATTTTCCATCTCCCTCCCTAGCCCCCCCCCTCCTCCTTCTTCCCGCATCCCACCTTGAAAATCGTACCCCAACTCATCTTTCGAGTCGACCTAACTGCTTCCATCGATTTCCCATCTCTCCCATGCTGCTCCCCATCCTCCACCTGCCCCTCCTCCTCTGCACCTCCACCCCGCCCGCCCCTGCCAGGCTGGAAGTGGTGGCGCGAATGACCCCACTCTCCCCCGCGGACTCCTCCAACCACCACATCTCATCTCTTGTCCCCTGTTCTCCACACCTCCCGTCCCCCCCTCCCTCCCATCCCTCCCGCCCCTGCCAGGCTGGAAGTGGTGGCGCGAATGACCCCACTCTCCCCCGCGGACTCCTCCAACCACCACATCTCATCTCTTGTCCCCTATTCTCCACACCTCCCGTCCCCCCCTCCCTCCCATCCCTCCCGCCCCTCCAGGCTGGAAGTGGTGGCGCGAATGACCCCACTCTCCCCCGCGGACTCCTCCAACCACCACATCTCATCTCTTGTCCCCTATTCTCCACACCTCCCGTCCCCCCCTCCCTCCCATCCCTCCCGCCCCTCCAGGCTGGAAGTGGTGGCGCGAATGACCCCACTCTCCCCCGCGGACTCCTCCAACCACCACATCTCATCTCTTGTCCCCTATTCTCCACACCTCCCGTCCCCCCCTCCCTCCCATCCCTCCCGCCCCTCCAGGCTGGAAGTGGTGGCGCGAATGACCCCACTCTCCCCCGCGGACTCCTCCAACCACCACATCTCATCTCTTGTCCCCTGTTCTCCACACCTCCCGTCCCCCCCTCCCTCCCATCCCTCCCGCCCCTGCCAGGCTGGAAGTGGTGGCGCGAATGACCCCACTCTCCCCTGCTGACTCCTCCGCAAAGGCGGGGGCGGGGGGAGACGGGGACACGAAGCTGGAGCAGTGGCAGCTGTACGCCATGTTTGCATGCGCGTGCCCACCGGAGGATGCACCTGACGGTGGAGAGCAGAGCATCAAGGAGCTCGTGCGCCTCGTGCTGCCCATGGCCCGTTCGGGGGCTGAATCCTCTGTGGTGCGTTGGGAGGGGATGTGGTGCGCTGGGGCAGGGGATGGGTGCTAGTCTGCTGTGGTGCTGGGGTGGGGAATGGGTCTGTTGTTTTGCGTTGGGGTGTGCGGTGCTGTGGTGGATTGGGGTGAGGTACTGTGGTTCGCTGGGGTGGGATGGGGGGGTCTGGTGCGGGGAGTGGTAGGGACATCTGAGATTGCTGGAGGAAGTACGTGGTTCAAGTAACATATGAGACATCTGAATAATCTCCCCACCTTCCATTTTTTCTCCCCTCCCTCCAATTTAGAACCCCTACCTCCCATCTGATTTCCATCCTTCACATCTAATTCGTCGTTCTCGTCCATGAACCCCCTTGCTTCCCATCCAATCCCACATCTCGCCAGTACGCGGCGACGGTGGCGCTGGGGCATGCTCATGCGGGCATCTGTGAGGCGATGCTGACGGAGCTCATGATGTGGGTGGAGGAGCTGCTCGCAGAGATCGAGCAGCGCAAGTGGAAGGTAAGCTGCTGCTGCTGCTGCTGCTGCTGCTGCTGCTGCTGCTGCTGCTGCTGCTGCTGCTGCTGCTGCTGCTGCTGCTGCTTTTGGGCGCGCCTCAAAAGGCATGCGCATGCGGGGGTATGTGAGGCGATGCTGACACCCAGCAACTCATGATGTGGGTGGAGGAGCTGCTTGCTGAAATCGAGCAGCGCAAGTGGAAGGTCAGTGCGCTGCTCAGTCATGCACGCTGTGCCAGCTGCAGGCCGAATAGTTCTTTGGCATGCGATTGACAGTAGAGTTGTTGGTCATGCGGGTGTACATGCGATTGTATGCGGATGTACATGCAATTGTATGTGGGTGTACATGCGATTGTATGCGGGTGTACATGCGATTGTATGCGGGTGTTCATGCGGGTGTTCATGACACAGGTTTACCTCCTCGTTACCCCAAACCCCGAGACTCCTTATCAGTAAACCCCTTTCTTTCACTCCTTCCCTTCGCCCTCCCCTCAGAACTAGAAGGTGTGCATGGTGGAGGTCCACCGCCTCGTTACCCCAAACCCTGAAATTCCTTCCCTTTCTCCCGTCCCCTTTCCCTTCCATTTCCCCTTCCCCTTCTCCCCCGTTCAGAACCAGAAGGTGCGCAAAGAAGACATGCGGGTGTTCATGGCACAGGTCTACCGCCTGGTAGCCGAGAACCTCTGGCCAGGCGTTCTCCCCCAGCGGCCGTGGCTGCGGCAGCTCTTCCTCAAGTTCATGGACAGCACCGCGCAGCACGTCTCCAAGGAAACGGCTGCCGCGCTTCGCGCTCTGCTCCGTGGTCCGGTGCCTGTCCACCCACTCGTTACCCCGAAGCCCCTCCCAATAAACCCCTTCCTTGTCTCCCTTCCCCATCCCCACAATCCCACGCCCCCTTCCCCCCCACCCCTCAGAACCAGAAGGTGCGCAAGGAGGACATGCGGGTGTTCATGGCACAGGTCTACTGCCTGGTAGCGGAGAACCTCTGGCCGGGAGTGCTCCCGCAGCGGCCGTGGCTGCGGCAGCTCTTCCTCAAGTTCATGGACAGCACCGCGCAGCACGTCTCCAAGGAGACCGGCGACGCCAAACTGGCGACGGCACGCAGAGCTGCGCTTCGCTCTCTGCTCCGGCGTGCGCTGCCTGTTCACCACCAAAGTCCCTCCCAATAAACCCCTCTCCGTTCTCCCTTCCCCATCCCCCGCCCCCATCCCCCAACCTGCCCACCACCAGAACCAGAAGGTGCGCAAGGAGGACATGCGGGTGTTCATGGCGCAAGTCTACCGCCTTGTAGCTGAGAACCTCTGGCCGGGCGTGCTGCCCCAGCGACCCTGGCTGCGGCAGCTCTTCCTCAAGTTCATGGACAGCACCGCGCAGCACGTCTCCAAGGAAACCGGGGACGCGTTTCTCGACGCGCAGCCGCTGCGCTTTGCGCTCTGCTCTGTTGTCCGCTGCCTGTCCATCGAGCTCAACGGGTGCGCGTCGAAGCGGTTCGACATAAAGCTGCGGCGGCAGCTGTTTGATCTGATGGCGTCGTGGTGCGATGAAGCGGGTGGGCTGGAGAGCATGACGAGCGAGTTCCGGCGGGAGGTGGAGAGGACGAAAGCGGCGGCCATGGCGCGGACGAAAGATGCGGCGGAGAGAGCGGCCGTGGAGAAGGAGCTCAACGAGCAGGCAGATGCCATTCATGTGAGCGCCATGGGGTGGGATGCGGTGGGGTGGGATGGGGCGGGATGTCCAAGAGCTCGAGAATCTGTGCAGTAGAGCTGTCAGCTGGCACTAGATATCCATGTATGTCCCCCATTCCTCGATCCTACCGACCCACCCCACCCCATCCCCGTTCCCCCTTTCCTCTGTTTTCCCTCACAGGGAATGGTCATGCAGATGCTAGCAGCACTTCTCACTTCCACCCCCCTCCCCTTCCCTCTCTCCCTCTCCTCCTTCCTTCACAGGGTATGGCGATGCAGGCGCTGGCAGCGCTGCTGCACGGGCCATGCTTCGACGAGGGTCTGAGAAAGATGTCTGGCAAGGCAGTCACATGGATCCGCTCCCTCATGGAGTCCGCTGCAGGCACCGGCCAGGCCGCAGCCGGCATGGGCGGCATGGGCATGGGCATGGGAATGGGGATGATGGGCATGGGCATGGGTATGGGTATGATGGGCATGGGCATGGGCATGGGTGGGTCGCCTCGGGATGTGTTTAACAGGAGGAAGGGCGGCGAGGGCGGGCATGGGAAGGGCGTGGGAAACAGGGAGTGGAGGAGCTTGTTTGGGTCCCCGTCATGGCGGTCCATGCTGGGGAGAGAGGCGCTGCTGAATCTGCTCAAGACGAATCCTGACATCGTGCCTGCTATCATTGACCAGGTGCTGCTTCCCGTCTTGTTCCATCCCTCGCTGCTGCTCCTGCTCCTTGCTCCCTGCTCCTTGTTCCATTCTCCTTGCTCCTTGCTCCTGCCATTCCACCTTGTTCCTGCGGCTTGCGCCTGCTCTTACCTTTGCCACCAACCATATGCTGGGCGCGGGTGGGCCTGCCTCTTGTGTGTTGCGCCCTCTGCCAAACCTTCCCTCTCCCCTCTGCCTGCTCCCTCCCCCCCACCAGTGCTACAACTCGGACTCGGAGCTGGCAAACGGGTACTTCACGGTGCTGGCAGAGGTGTACATGCGCGAGGAGTGCCCACAGTGCGAGCTGCATCGCCTGCTCTCGCTCATCCTCTACAAGGTATGGCAGAATGGGCTTCCTTCATTCATAAGCATGGTGTTATCTTCCAGTTGGTTTAGAGGCAAATTCTGAGGCGCGTCAAGAATCACCACGAGCGGCACCGCCTGCTCTCCCTCATCCTCTACAAAGTTCCTGCCTTGAAGCAAAGCCTTCGTACCCACTTGCGCCTTTGTACCTGCCTTTCTTGAGGTCAGCGTGTACGTTTTTATAATCACACGTGCACTCCATCCATCTCTTCCTCCTTCCCTCCCTCCCTTCCCCTCCTCCTTGCTCGCTGCCTGCCTCCCTCCGCACCTCCCGCCCCTCCCTTTTGGCACCTCTCTTCTTCTTCTTCCTCCTCCTCACCTCTCCTCCCCAAACCTCCCTCGCCACTCCCGCAGGTGGTGGATCCATGTCGGAGCATAAGGGACGACGCCCTACAGATGCTGGAGACCATGTCCATGCGCGACTGGGCCGACTACACCTCCTCCTACTCCTCCTCCGCCGGTCGCTACCGCGCTGCCGTGGTGGGGTCGCTGCCCGACAGCTACCAACAGTTCCAGTTTTGAGTCTTCACACGCCTCTCAAAACCCCCTCCCTCGTTCTCTCCCTTTCACCCCCGTGCCATACTCTGCACCTCTCCCCTCCAAATCTCCCTTTCCCCTTTCCCCACAGGTGGTGGACCCGTGTCGGAGCATAAGGGACGACGCCCTACAGATGCTGGAGACCATGTCCATGCGCGACTGGGCCGACTACACCTCCTCCTACTCCTCCTCTGCCGGCCGCTACCGCGCCGCCGTGGTGGGCTCGCTGCCCGACAGCTACCAGCAGTTCCAGTTCCAGCTGTCGGCCAAGCTGGCACACGAGCACCCCGAGATGAGCGAGCTGCTGTGCGAGGAGATCATGCAGCGCCAGCTGGACGCTGTGAATATCATTGCTCAACATCAGGTGCGTGTCTTCTTGAGGCGCCTCAGAAACAATTCTAACTATCCGTCCACCAAGCTGGCCCACGAACACCCGGAGATGAGCGAGCTGCTGTGCGAGGAGGAGATCATGCAGCGCCAGCTCGATGCGGTTAACTTCATCATCGCTCAACTCAACATCAGGTGCGTGTGTGTTTCTGGCGCCTCACGTCACGTCCCACAGGTTCTTCTGCTGCTGACCTGAAGAGTTTCATGGGCTGAGAACGGCTTGAGGCATCTCACATGGCACTGCAAACTCATTTGGATTCTCTTTCTCCCCTTCTCCCCAACACCCTCCCCTCCCTCCCGTCAATCCCAACCCGTTCCATCCACGCTTCCACCTCCCTCCCCCCCCCACCCCCAGGTGCTCACATGCATGGCGCCATGGATCGAGAACCTCAAACTTTCAGCGCTGTGGGACAGCGGGTGGAGCGAGGAAGGCGTGAGATGCCTCCTCACCATTTTCCCTTTCCCCTGCCGCCTCTCTTACCCCCCCTCTCTTCTCCCCCCTCCCAGGTGCTCACATGCATGGCGCCGTGGATCGAGAACCTCAACTTCGCTGCTCTGTGGGACAGCGGGTGGAGTGAGCGGCTGCTCAAGTCGCTGTACTACGTCACGTGGCGCCACGGCGACCAGTTCCCCGATGAGATCAAACCGGTTCCAGTTCGGTTGCTGCTCGAGTCTGGAGACGCCTCCTTACATGCTGACGCATCCCTTCCCCTGTCTCTCCTTCCCCCATCCCTCCCGCCTCCCCATCCCCCCTCCGTCTTCCCCCCTTCCCCCCCACCCCCAGGTGCTGACGTGCATGGCGCCGTGGATCGAGAACCTCAACTTCGCTGCTCTGTGGGACAGCGGGTGGAGTGAGCGGCTGCTCAAGTCGCTGTACTACGTCACGTGGCGCCACGGCGACCAGTTCCCCGATGAGATCAAACCGGTTCCAGTTCGGTTGCTGCTCGAGTCTGGAGACGCCTCCTTACATGCTGACGCATCCCTTCCCCTGTCTCTCCTTCCCCCATCCCTCCCGCCTCCCCATCCCCCCTCCGTCTTCCCCCCTTCCCCCCCACCCCCAGGTGCTGACGTGCATGGCGCCGTGGATCGAGAACCTCAACTTCGCTGCTCTGTGGGACAGCGGGTGGAGTGAGCGGCTGCTCAAGTCGCTGTACTACGTCACGTGGCGCCACGGCGACCAGTTCCCCGATGAGATCAAACCGGTTCCAGTCCGGTTGCTGCTCGAGTCTGGAGACGCCTCCTTACATGCTGACGCATCCCTTCCCCTGTCTCTCCTTCCCCCATCCCTCCCGCCTCCCCATCCCCCCTCCGTCTTCCCCCCTTCCCCCCCACCCCCAGGTGCTGACGTGCATGGCGCCGTGGATCGAGAACCTCAACTTCGCTGCTCTGTGGGACAGCGGGTGGAGTGAGCGGCTGCTCAAGTCGCTGTACTACGTCACGTGGCGCCACGGCGACCAGTTCCCCGATGAGATCGAAAAGCTCTGGTCCACCGTGGCCGCCAAGCGGAGGAACATCATCCCCGTTATCAACTTCCTCATCTCCAAGGTGCGTGTTGGGGAATAGGGATATGGGGAAGAGGATGAGGGGAGGGGAGGGATTCTAGGTCGGGTGGCTTTGGTGAGAGTGGGTGGCGGACAGAGGTGAAAGAGGGCAGGGTGAAGGCAGTGAAGGAGGGAGTGTGGATGGTGGTGGGGGAGGAAGGGCAAGTGGGAGAGGGTAGACGGCGACCAGTTCCCCGATGAGATCGAAAAGCTCTGGTCCACCGTGGCCGCCAAGAGGAGGAACATTTTTTAGTCGACTCAAAAGTCTTCCCGGATGAGATCGAGAAGCTCTGGTTCACCGTGCCTGCCAAGAGGAGGAACATCATCCGTGTTATCAACTTCCTCATATCCAAGGTGCGTGCGGGGTGGAGAAGGAGGTGGGGGGGGGGGGGAGGAGGTGGGTGGGGGAGGGATCAGAGAAGGGGAGGCTTGTCGCTTTCCCACTTGTGTTGCTCGTCATTGCAGCTGCCTGCCACCGTGCATACATGCATACATTCAAACACCACATGTGCAGATTTTCAGGCGCATGTGTGTGTGTGTGTGCGTGCGTGTGTGTGTGTGTGTGTGTGTGTGTGTGCGTGCGTGCGTGTGTGTGTGTGTGCGCGTGTGCTGGCATCTGTGTGTGTGCATGCATGGAGAGCAGGGGTTGGAGGATTGTGACAGTGCAGGAGGGGAGATCACCGGAGCACTGGAGACCTACTTCAGTGTGGCCAAGCGCATCAGCCTCTACCTCGCTCGCATCTCCCCCCAGCAGACCATCGACCACCTCGTGAGTCCGCCCGCCTAACTTCTCATCTCAGGTGTTTTTGTACAAGTTGCTGTCTGTCACGCACTGAAACCCATGGCACCTAAACCCAAGTTGGAAACCCAAGTTGCTGGTGCGATATTGGACCTCGCCCGCATCTCCCCCGAGCAGACCATCGACCACCTCGTGAGTCTGCCACTACTGTCGCAATGCATGCATGCACACACTTGCTTGCACGTCTATGTACACGCTACACACCCATGCTTCTATGCGCATCAGCCTCTACCTTGCCCTCATCTCCCCCCAGCAGACCATCGACCACCTCATGAGTCCACCACTACGGTCGCTGCATGTGTATGGACATTTGTATCGTATGCATACATAGGGATGAGCAAGGGGCGAACACGAACATGTTCGTGTTCGCCCCTACACGAACACATCCGTTTGCCGAACCGAACACTGTTCGGTTCGGCGAACACTTTAAGCAAAAACAGGTGTTCGCCGTTCGCCTGTGAAGGCGTGTTCGGGCGATCTTCGAACACGTTCGTGTTTGTCGCGGGGCAAATTGCAGCAGCGGTCCGAACACGAACGTGTTCGGGCGAACCTCGAACACTGTTTGGCGAACACTTTAAGCAAAAAAAACAAACCTGTTCGAGGCGAACCGAACAGGTGTTCGCCCTTGTGCTCATGTCTATGCATACACACACTTGCTTGCACATCTGTGTACACACCCATGCCTCTATGCGCATCAGCCTCTACCTCGCTCGCATCTCCCCCAGCAGACCATCGACCCATGCTTCTATGAGCCTGCCTCTCTGCTGTCGCTGCATGTACATGTATATTTTGTGTGCACGCACATACTTGCATGCACATATATCTACACACCCATGCATCTTTGTTCATCTCATCTCGTCTCCATCTACTTACACATGCTGATCACATGCTGATTTTCCCTCCTTTCTCCCTCTCACCTTTCATTTTCCTCCCTCCCTCTGCGCATGTGTGTATGCTCTGTATGTATGTGTATGCTCTGTATGTATGTGTATGCTCTGTATGTATGTGTATGCTCTGTATGTATGTGTATGCTCTGTAAGTATGTGTATGCTCTGTATGTATGTGTATGCTCTGTATGTATGTGTATGCTCTGTATGTATGTGTATGCTCTGTATGTATGTGTATGCTCTGTATGTATGTGTATGCTCTGTATGTATGTGTATGCTCTGTATGTATGTGTATGCTCTGTATGTATGTGTATGCTCTGTATGTATGTGTATGCTCTGTATGTATGTGTATGCTCTGGCACCATCAGGTGTACGAGTTCTCACAGCGCATGTCAGAGGAGGATGCAGTGGACGCCTCCTGACTTTTGATATGTCTCACAAGTCTTTCCGTTTCCTCCCTCCCTTTGTGCATGTGCGTGCGTGTGTGTGTATGCTCTGGCACCATCAGGTGTACGAGCTCTCACAGCGCATGTCAGAGGAGGATGCAGTGGACGTCTCCTCCTCGGCTGACCAATGGCAGGAGGACATGTCAGAGATCCTCAGATTCTCCCACGGTTGCAAATTGGTCCGCCCGCTACTACCCACTTCCCAATATCTGCTGCTCTTTGCTCTCTTCTATCTGTGCTTTACACTCTCCCCTCTGCCCCCTATCCTCTACCCTCTACTCTCTACCCTTTACCCTGCCCTGCGCTATCCCATGCCAACCTCTCCTGTACGGATGCCACAAGTTTTTTTATATTCATGCGCACACGCATGCTCGCACACACATTCACATGCATGCTCGCACACACATTCACATGCATGCTCGCACACATGCACATGCAAACATGCGCACACAAAGCGTGCACTTGCACGTAAACACAAACTCACGCAAACACAGCCATGCACGTGCACCCACAGAGACCCACACCCACATGTCCACACTCACAAGCATCCTCACAACCATCCTCACAAGCATCCTCACAACCATCCGCTCCTGCTTCTCGCCCCTACCCTTCACTATCCCTCTCTCTCTCCCTCCGCCCCTTCCCTCTCAGACCGACACGTCAGCAGCAGCGCTGGCAGCAGGAGCATCCCCCCTCCCGCCCCTCCCCGGCCAAGTCGCATCGGCACACGCACACCACCAGCATCACCACCGCGCCACCACCACCACTGCCTTTGGCACTGTGCGCTCGCCCTTTGGCTCCTCCACTACCACTGCCTCTCCCGCTTCTTCTGACTTTCTCCGCTCCTCGCTCTCCTCCGCCTCCTCCTCTGCTGCTTCCACCCTTCGATCCAACAGCATGCACGTGAGTGGGGGGGGTGGTGGTGGTGGTTGGGGTGGGTTTTTTTGGTTATTGGGTGTGTGGATGGTGGGTTGGTAGGTCCTTTTATCTTTCCTTTTCCCCTCACCCGTTCTGCTCTCCTGGTTCTCCGGTTTCCCCGTTCGTCGACCCTTTCTCCCCCGTTCCCTCCATTCCCTCTGTCCCACCTTCCCCGCCTTCCCTGCATTGCCCCCGCAGATGATTGGCTCTCCATTCAACACTCTTGGCATCTTCACAATGGACCTCCATTCTCCCTTTCTTCCCTACCAACCTCTCTCTCGCCCCTCACCTCTCACTCCTCACCTCACTTCTTGCCCAATGTTCTCATCCCCCAACCTCCTTCCCGCCCCGCTTTCCTCCCCCGAACCTCCCCTTGTCTCCCTGTCCCACGCCCATCAATCCTTACCCTTGCCAGATGAACCGCTCTCCCTTCGACACCCTCGGCACATTCACAATGGACTTCCCGATCGCGCCGCTCCTCGAAACCACCCCTTCCGCGCCCCCCGCCGCCCCAGCCTCCGCCTCCAAGCCCTCCAACCCGGTCCCCAACGCCATGCTCATGCTCCCGCACGTCTGGCTAACCCGCGCCGACTTCGCCCTAATCCTCCTCGCCGAAATCGCGTACGAGAACGACGAGGATTTCCGAGGGCACCTGCCGCTGCTGTTCCACGTGACGTTTGTGCTGATGGACTCGAGCGAGGTGGTGGTGCTGGAGCATGCGCAGCAGCTGCTCGTGAACCTGCTCTACACGCTCGCAGGGCGGCACCTGGAGCTGTATGATGCGCGGGACCAGAGCGAGGGCGAGTACAAGCAACAGGTGGGGCTGGCTGGCTGGCTGGCTGGCTGCCTGGCTTTGTTTGCCCTTTGCTCTCTGTCGCGGCCCCACTTGCGTACCCTGACTCTTTCAAATTTCTCGCTTTCTTCCTCTCGCTCGAATTCTCTCTCTCAGCCACTCTTTCTGTTATGTGAATCTTGCCACTGTCGATCCGTTCTTACGGCCAGAATTATCTTGGCCAGCATATATATACCCTCCAGCCCTTCTAGCGCTTCCCATGTCTATCCCCTCCCGCACAGCTCAACCCTCCCACTCTTCCCCCCCTTTCCCGGCTGGCAGGTGGTGAGTCTGGTTAGTTACTTTCATTCAAAGAAATGCAATCTCATGTATCTCAAATTATCAGTCCGTCTCATAAATCCACACCCCCTCCCCCACTGGAACCAAAACCCCCGCTGGTAGGTGGTGAGTCTGATAAAGTACGTGCAGTCGAAGAAGGGCAGTCTCATGAGGCCGAGAGTCTTTATTCGACTAGAAAGCACACGCCCCTCGCTCCCCGATCCCCCCTCTTCTGCCTTGCTCCCCCCTCGCCCCCTTTCCCCCCTGGCAGGTGGTGAGTCTGATAAAGTACGTGCAGTCGAAGAAAGGAAGCCTCATGTGGCCCAACGAGGACATATCCCTCACGCACACCTGCATCCCCTCGGCGACGCTGCTCACCTCCCTCATGCACTCAGTCGTCGATGCCATCTTCTTCCAGAGCGACCTGCGCACGCGCTGGGGCGAGAAGGCCCTCAAATGGCTCCTCGACAGCGCCTCCCAATGCTTCCCATATACCTTACCTCTTGCTGCACCCACTGACCCCTTTCCCTTTCCCCCCATTCCACCCCACCCCCTGCATCCCCCCTCCTTCCCCCTACGTTTCCATTGGCAGGTGGTGAGTCTGATAAAGTACGTGCAGTCGAAGAAAGGAAGCCTCATGTGGCCCAACGAGGACATCTCCCTCACGCACACCTGCATCCCCTCCGCCACGCTGCTCACCTCCCTCGTGCACTCAGTCGTCGATGCCATCTTCTTCCAGAGCGACCTGCGCACGCGCTGGGGAGAGGAGGCCCTCAAATGGCTCCTCGACAGCGCCTCCCGCCACGCCGCGGCCCGCTCCCACCAGATGTTCCGCGCTCTCCGCCCCCACGTCACCTCCGATACCTGCCTGCTGCTCCTGCGGTCGCTCCAGCGCTGCTTTTCCAACCCGTCCCCGCCGATTCTCGGGTTTGTGATGGAGATTCTGCTCACGATGCAAGTGGTGGTGAATTCCATGGAGCCGGAGAAAATGATTCTCTACCCGCACGTCTTCTGGGGGTGCATCGCGCTGCTTCACACAGACTACGTACACGTGTACACACACGCGTTGGAGCTCTTTGGAAGTGTCATTGACCGGCTGTCGCTGCACGACCAGACGACCGAGAACATTCTCCTCTCCGCCATGCCGCTCCTCCAGGCGCATTCCGGGCGGGGCGGAAGGGGAGGAGCAGGGAGCGGGAAGGACGAGGAGGGCGGGGGAGGGCAGGCGCAGCAGGGCGGGGGGCAGACACAGGCTCTATCTCAGCAGCAGCAGGAGGTGGTATCCGGGCTGCAGTTCCAGAAAGTGCAGCGACTAGTGCTGAAAGGGATTCTCTCGGGAGTGTCCCACGGGGTGGCAATCGACGTCCTTTCCAAGATCACCATGCGCTCGTGCGATAGGATTTTCGGCGATGGGAACACGAGGCTGCTGGTGCATGTGGTGGGGCTGCTGCCGTGGCTGTGTGTGCAGTTGCAGTACGGGGCGGATGCGGCCATGGGTCTGCTGGTGCTGTCGTCGCCGCTGCAGCAGCGGCTGGATAAGGCGCGCGCTGTCGCGATGAAGATTGCCAAGTGGTGTGTGCAGTGCGACCTGCAGGTCAGTGCTGCCGCCGCCTGCCTCTTCTTTGCCTCCTCGTTGCGTCGTTGCCTCTGCTTTGAACCTCTGTTAGGCTTACAAGTGAATTGGGCTGAGTGGGATAAAACAAGCAGCAGATGCGGCTGAATTTCCCTCCTGTTCTCTTTCATCTCCCAGCCTCTGTTTCCCCTGATTCCCAACCCCCTCAACTTGTCCCTCCCCCATCCCTTGCTTGTTTCTCTCTCATCCCTCGCTTGTCCCTCCCCATCCCTCCCCCATCCCTCCCCCATCCCTCCCCCATCCCTCCCGCAACCCTCCCCCATCCCTCCCCACCAGGCGCTAGCCGATGTGTTCTTCTCATACGCCAACGCCGTAACCCTCACAGTTGACGAGCTTCTCGAGAGCGTCGCACCGCCCATCTTTGAGACGTCTCAAAATTACTCTCCCATCCCCCATCCCTCCCCACCAGGCGCTAGCCGATGTGTTCTTCTCATACGCCAACGCCGTCACCCTCACAGTGGACGAGCTTCTCGAGAGCGTGGCGCCGCCCATCTGCGCGCAGTGGTTCCCAGACCACACACTCTTAGCCCTAGGCCACCTGCTGGCCATGCTGGAAAAAGGCCCCATGGAATACCACCAAATGGTGCTGCTCATCCTGCAAGCTCTCCTCCGCCGCACATCCCTGGACGCCACACAAAGCCCCTTGCTGTACGCGTCTGTTTCGCGCTTGCTCGACAGCGGGCACTGCCGGGAGGAGGCGCTGGGGGTGCTGGAGGCGATTCTGGATAGCTGCGCTGCCACGATCCACCGCCCGGCCGGCTCGGTTTCTGCTGCGGCTGCTGCGGCTGCGGCGGCGGCGGGGGGGGATTATTCGCCGGGGTTTTCGGCCGAGTTGCTGCCGTCGCCGGACCTGGCACTGAGGCTGACTCAGGAGGCGCTGGCTCGGGTGTTGGACTCGTATGGAGGGGGCCGGCGCACTGGCAAGGAGGCTAAGCGGTTGGTGCCGTTTGTTGACGCGGGAGCTGGGGCTGGAGGGTCCACTGGGGGTGGGGGAGGGAGCGGTATGCATGGTGGCAGAAGGGATTAGTGGGGTTGGAGAGGAAGGCGTTTCGTCTCTCTAACTGGCGAGGGAATTTATGGCCTACCTTTTTTTTTTTTGGTCCGGGGAGGGAGCTGATGTGGAAGGTTTTGCAACTCTTGTTTGACTTGCTACTGTTGAATTGTGGTTCACGAGATGCCACCGTGTGTGTCTTGGTTCAAATGTGGTAGTGGCTTGGTATTTGACGAGCCTTCTCTGGATTTTTGTGGAGAAGTATATAATTGCTGATGATGGTGATTCTGACTGACTAAAATTTGTTACCGTATCAGGAGTAATCGTTGGTGGTTGGTGGAGTAGCAGTTGACAATTGAAGAGAAACGTGCGAAGATTCCGAGGCTACCTGCCGTACCAAATCGCCACACCAAACCGCCTTACCAGCCGAAGCTCTCGAAGCTGGGAGGGGCGACGGAGCCTCGATGTGCGTCATCCAGTGACTGTGGGAGCTTCCACCAAACCAAAACAGCGAGTGCAACACGCGTCGCCAACCTTATGGTAACCCCACTTCAAAGTCAACCACCTCAATGTTGAAGCTCGCGAACCAGAGTGGGTTTCTTTTCGAGAAGGAATCAGCGATTCTTCGCTCACCACGCAGCCACCAGTCAGCGATCGTTGCTTTATTGCCTTGAGAACTCCTTTTCACTGGATAAGAGCTCCAGCCATACAGAAACGCAAGAGGCCGAAAGCACAACAAACAGAGCACACCCAACTAGCCTCGAAGCTTTGATTGGGTGTTTTTGTGTGGTCGTCTGAAAGCCGTTGCAGCCATTGCTGAAGCAGTTCAGGGTTCTGTTATGTAGCAGCTGGTTCCAGGGCCAAGAAGACCAAATTTGGTTCATCCTTCCTAAGGTTGGTTGGGTGTTACCAGGTTAGCGACTGCTGTTGGTTTGACACCACACGAACCTTGTCGTGACCAAACACTGGACGAAAACACTGTAGCAACGACACCAGTTTGTTGGTTTCCATCGCACAATTTGATCGCCCAACTCCACCCTGAGGAGACATGTCAACCCAGGGGAGAGAAGCTCCATTCCATTGCCGATTTAATATACCACTGCATTGCTCACCGATCAAGCCGCGACTCTCGTACCCACAACGTACGCAGGGAAATAGCAAAAAATAAACCGTCTTATCTGAGGCATAACAACTTCAATTAGGGTATCACCTGCACGTCGCGAGGCGTGGCATACAATGGAGGAGCCATGGGAGGGAGCTGCGACTTGGGACGGACAGCCACAAGCCCTAGAGGGGGACTTCAGCAGAGGAGCGCCTGGGAGAGGCGCCGGAATGAACAGCGGATACGGTGCAAATAATGGCATGTTGGCGCAATCGCCGATGGGCGCGCAGGGAAGAGGGGGAAGGCAGTCCCTTTCTGTAGATTATACAAACCGAGCGTCGACTGCGCCGATGCAGGGTCGAGCGCCGGCGACGCGGCCGAACCAGTTCTCGCATATGCATTCCCCGCAGCAGCAGCAGCATCAGCAACAGCAACAGCAGCAGCAGCAGCAGCAACAGCAACAGCCTATGAAGTCGCCAGGACTCTACCCTGTGAATGTACGTTTCGCTCTAGCGTCTCAACCTTTCTTTGTACCCTCTTCCTCGCTACAGTGTGGAATATTTTAGCATTTTTTAAGAGCCTCAAAAGAAGAAAAGGAAAGGTGCTGTTTTTTCGCGCTTCGTATTTTCTCGCTCGCATCCTTCACATGTTGTTTTCCTGTTGTAACTCCTGAAGTTTTGCCCGTATTTTTTGCGATGTGTCCGACACACACACGCACGCGCGCGCGTACGTGCACACACACACCCTCTATTTCTCCTAGCACCACCTCCTCTCCTCCCTTCATACATACGCGCGCACGCGCACACACTCCCTCGCTCCGTCCTTCGCGGTTCGGTGCTGATTCGTGCTTGTCGTTTGACCGTGTAACGTACATGGTGAGCAGGAGCATGAGGTATCCAACGACTACTTCCGAAACTCTGGTGGCGCCGTTCCCGCACAGCATCATCATCATAATAATAATCAGCAGCAGCAGCATCAGCAGCAGCACACGCATCAGGCACCGCCACAGTTCCAGCAGTGGCAGCAGCAGCAGCAGCCGCAGCCGCCGCAGCAGCATCACGCAGGAGGTGCGATGAACCATCAGTTTCAGCAACCGCCCATGCAGCAACCACAGCTGCAACACGCACAGATGCAGCCGACACAGCAGCAGCAGCAGCAGCAGCAGCAGCAGCAGCAGATGCAGCAGATGCAGCATCGCAGAACAAGATCAGCCATGCCAGGCCATCACGAATCCTTCACCCCCACAGACCCTAACTTCTCTCCCCACTTCCCTCCCGCGCACACCCCCACCGGCGTCAACTCACCAGCGATCACCGCCACTGGCGGAAACTTCCCCTCACCTGCAAGCCACCCAGCCATGGCCCTGCGCCCGGGAACCGGGCCTGCGGGGTACAGGCTGGGCGGGTCCGCGGGTGCGGGCGGTCCCCCTGCTCCGGCGCTAGTAGCGGCGATGCAGAACATGAGTCTGGGGAGTCCTGCCATGGGCCCGGCGCATGCTCCTGGGGGGGGGAGCAGACCCGGAGGGTTTGGGCCGGCGAGTGCTCGAGGCAGCAGCAGCGGCGGCGGCGGCGGCGGCGGGGGCGGCGGGTTTGGGGGCGCTGGAGGGTTTTCTGGGCCTGGAACTCCCGGGGGGCCTGGTGCTGAGGGTGTTAACGCCCAGACCCAGTGGCAATCGGGAGGAGGCGGGGGAGGAGGGGGAGGGGGAATGGTAGGGGGAGGGGGGGGAGGGGGAATGGTAGGGGGAGGGGGGGGGAGGGGGAATGGTAGGGGGAGGAGAGGTAGGCGGAGCAGCAGGAGGTCAGCCCGCTCCTTGGGAGCAGCCTCCGGAGGAGACCTCCTCCTCAGACCCCCGTTTCAAGCCCAAGAAGATCCAATCCGGAGGGCACACGTGGGAGATGTTTTCCGGGCCCAGCATGAACATCCTGAGGCGGGAGGACGATGCGGATCTCACTCCGAACGAGCTCGCCACGCTCGTCGCCGCGCCCGTGCGCCCCACCGGCCGCCACAGGCGCTCCAGGTCTGCCATGCCCGTGCAGGCGCAGCTGGCGCAGCTGCGCCCGCCCTCCACGCCCGAGGGGCGCGTGCCTGGCGCGCTTAGGGCGGTGGCCGCGCTCGGCGCAGGCGGAGGCGCAGCGGGCGCGGCAGGGGGCATGACGGGCGGGGGGATTGGCGCAGGTTCAGGCGTGGGTATTGTCGCAGGGGCGGGAATAGGCGGGGGGATGGGCGGAAACATGGGCGCGGGGATGGGCGCAGAGACTTTCGTGGTGGACTCGGAGCAGGAAGGGCAACAGCAGGAGGAGGAGGAAGTGCCGGAGGTGGCGCCGTGGGATACGGGCAATTCCGGCCAAACCCACCAGTCAGAATCCCTGCTCGTGACAACGGAAGAGCCCGGTACAGCAAGTGGTGCCAACGGCAGCAGCAGCATGGGTAGGCCTGTGGTTCCGGGTGGAATGCGAGCGGTTGGCAGTAGCAGTAGCGCCGGACTCAACCCGCCCTTTGATGGTGCTGCAGACGCTGGGGCTGGGGGTTTTGCTGGTGGTGGAGATGCTGGTGGTGGTGGTGGTTACAGCATACCAGGTGGTAACATGGTTAGTGGTAACGTGCATGGCCTCCCTGCACGTGCGTCCACGGCAGGAGGTCGGCCCAGTGGTAACTTCCATTTTCCAGGCCCGCGTCAGCCCCAATCGCCCTTCCCTGCACACACTCAGCAGCAGCAGCAGCCGCAGCAGCAGCATCCGCCGCCGTATCATCAACAGCAGCAGCAACCGCAGCAGCAGCAGCAGCAGCAGGCAATGCAGGGCATGGGTACAGGGTCCAATCAGTGGACAGGGAACGCACTGGCGGCAGATCCGCGGATTGCAGCGGTAGCAGGACGGCCTCAAACGCGTACGCCCCCTGCGGGATACAAACGCACCATGAGTGGAGGACTAGAAGGCAGCCCAGGAGGGGGCGGAGGGGGAGGAGGAGGAGTGGGAATGGGTGCAGTGGGAGCGCCAGGGATGGGGTTTGGTCCGGGTGGTATGGGAGCTACTGGGGGTGGGCGTGGCCTGTCCCCTCACAGGCGTTCTCAGTCTATGAGTATTAACGGATTTATGCAGGTGCCGTCTGTGATGTCAGCACCCGTAGGCATGTCTGGGCCTGGCTCTACCTTTGGCCCTGTGCCTGGCGGTGGGGGTGCGGGTGGGGGTGGGCCGCCTGGCAATCGTCCTGACTTGAGGCAAGCGGGCCGGGCGTCTAGCTTTGTGGAGCAGACACACCACCAGCAACAGCAACAGCAACAGCAACAGCAGCAGCAACAGCAACAGCAACAGCAGCAGCAACAGCAACAGCAACAGCAGCAGCAACAGCAACAGCAACAGCAGCAGTATCAGCAGCAGCACGGCCAGCAGGGGCAGCAGGGGCAGGTGTTTTCCCCTGCTGCTCGCCCCAGCGTTCCAGTCAGAGGGGCAAGCTTTGGTGCTGGTGGTGCTGGTGGTCTTCCCAGGCCGGGATCCGGCCATGGGAGCATGGGGATGGGGCAAGGCCGACCCAGCAGTCCCCTGGTTCTGCGGCAGGGACAACAGCAGCAGCAGCAGCAGCAGCATCAGCCACAGCAGCAGCACCCGCAGCAGCAGCAGCAGCAGTTTGCACCGAGTCCCAGAATGGGGCCTGGTGGGCCGGGAGGTGCAGGGCGAGGCGGGGCAGGCATGGCAGCAGGCGGGGGCAACAACATGGGCATGCGGATGGGGCCAGGGGCGGGGATGGGGGGAATGGGGATGGGGGGGATGGGGACGGGTCCCCCCCCTGGCAGTCCCTCCGGGGGAGGGCGAGTAGGGGCGGGGTTGGCTGGTGCAGGGCGGGGGGGATTGCCAAATAGCCCAGGGGGAGGCGGAATGGGGGGGAGGGGGGGAGGAATGGGGGGTGACGGGGGAGGGGGAGGCGGAGGGCGCGGGAGAGGGGGAGGGGCGGGCATGGGGGGACCTGGGATGAATTCGGGGTACCAGATGGGGGGAATGGGGCATAGCCCGTTGGGAGGGACGGGACAGGGGAGAGGGGGGATGGGAGGACCAGGAGGGATGGGGGGAGCAGGAGGAGGAATGGCAGGCATGGGGGGGATGGGGGGAACGGGGGGGATGGGGGGGATGGGTGCGCCTATGACTCCTGGCGCAGGGCACGTGGGCATGGGAAGGGGAGGGGCGGGAAGCATGGGGGGACCCCCCAGACCTGTGTCTGCTGGCGGTAAGATGATGTCGGGGGGCGGAGGGGGGATGGGCGGCGGAATGGGTGGGGGCATGGGCGGAGGAATGGGTGGGGGAGGAGGGAGAGGAAGAGGACCACCACGAGGTGGGGGTATGGGGGGAGGGATGTTCATGGGAGGGAGAGGAGGGGCCCCTGGGAGGGGAGGTGGAATGGGGCGAGGAGGAGGAGCAGCAGCAGGAGGAGCAGTAGGAGCAGTAGGAGGAGGAGGTGGAGGGGGGTTGGGTACGGTGTTAGGAAGGCCGTACGTGGATGTGAATGAGTATTATATGCTGGAGGGGGGCGAGGTGGGGAGGGGGCGCGTGGGCAGCATTCGTGTGTGCGTGGCTCGCGATACGGGCGAGCAGTTTGCATGCAAGACAATCGCCAAGGACAGACTACAGGTGAGGAGAGGAGAGACGCAGGGGTTGAGAGGGGTTGGAAGAGTTTAGAGGAGGATGCAGGGTCTACGAGGACATTGGATCAAGGATTGTTGGTTTGCTTCCTCTCTTGATCTTCACTTTTCCGCCTCTCTCCCATCTACCCATTTCCTCCCCTCCCGCCCCTCCTCTTCCCCATCCCACCCTTCTCTCTCCCCCCACGGCAGTGCGAGGAGGAGGTGGAGGACGTGCGCAAGGAGGTGGCGGTGATGGAGAGGCTGAGCAACCATGTAATAATTTCCTCCCTCTTGTTCCCATATTCCTCCCATCCTACTCCCCATCCCGCCCGTCCCTCTCCCCCCATGGCAGTGCGAGGAGGAGGTGGAGGACGTGCGCAAGGAGGTGGCGGTGATGGAGAGGCTGAGGGACCACCCACATGCCGTGCAGCTCGTGGCCACGTTCGAGGACGCTCAGGTGCGGTGCTGGATGGTGCAGAGGGGTTGATGATGGCCATGGTGGCATGTGTAGATCGTGCCCACGTTCAAGGTCGTGCAGGTACAGGACGGATGGCAAGTGTGATGGGGGTTAATGGGCGGTGATGGGGGGTGACATGGGGGGGGGGGGGTGGGGGAGATGGGTGGGGATGATAGTGGCAGGAGCAGAGAAGCGCATAAAGCCGTGGCTCTCTCTCTATCCCCTCTTTTTCCTCCCTCCCTCCCCTCCCTCTCCACCCAAAACGCCTTCCGTCCCTCTATCTCCTCTCCTCCCCCCACCCGCTCCAACCCCATCCCCCCCACTCCCCCCAACCCCAGAGCGTGCACCTGGTGATGGAGCTGTGTTCGGGCGGCGAGCTGTGGGAGCGCATCAAGCAGCGGCGGTGGTACGACGAGGGCAGTGCGGCAGCGGTGCTGCGTGTGGTGGTGGAGCTGCTGCGCGACTGCCATGCCATCGGGGTCATGCACCGCGACCTCAAGCCCGAGAACATCCTGCTCTGCACCGAGGAGAACGATGTTGATGTGAAGATCATCGACTTTGGCGTCGCCGTGTTCTTCAAACCTGGTGGGTTGCTGGTGAAGGGTGGGTGAAAGGGAGTGGGAAGCAGGTGTGAAACGAGGGTTGGTGGGTGGGTAGGATGGTGTGGGGAGCGTGTGAGAGAGGGAGGGGGAGTGGAGGACAGACACAGACACACAAACCAACACACTATAGGAGAATGAAAGAGGGCAGCGGTGCTGCGTGTGGTGGTGGAGCTGCTGCGCGACTGCCATGCCATCGGGGTGATGCACCGCGACCTCAAGCCCGAGAACATCCTGCTCTGCACCGAGGAGAACGATGTTGATGTGAAGATCATCGACTTTGGCGTCGCCGTGTTCTTCAAGCCTGGTGGGTTGCTTTTGAGGTGGGTGGGAGGGAGAAAGGGTAGTGGAGGTGGAGACGGGGATTTATGTTTCATTCACAGTTCATGCATGCACGATCAGGCTGGTAAACTGCTCCGGAGTGCACATTACCGTGCTCAACCACCTGTACTTGTAAGTATGAACCTATGGACCGAACTTATGGACCCGTCGTTAACTATCTTGTCACCACCCCATCCCCGCTTCCCCCCCCATTACACCATACCGACATGCCGCTATGCCTCAGGCGATGTGTACTCGGACATCGTAGGCAGCCCGCTCTACATCGCGCCTGAGGTTCTGCACGAGGCGTATGGGCCAGAGTCGGACATCTGGAGCGCAGGAGTGATTCTCTACGTGCTGCTAGCGGGCGTGCCTCCCTTCCGCGGGGACAGCGACGAGGGTGTGTTCCAGGCGATTCTGGAGCAGGAGCCGGACCTGCAGCGCGGCCCCTGGCCTGATGTTTCCGACGAGGCCAAGGATTTGGTGCTTCACATGCTGACAAAGGACCCCGCCCTGCGGATCACGGCTGATGATGTTCTTGGTGAGTGTTGGTGTGCAGGTTGACGTGGGGTGTTGGAACTGGGCTTGTGCAACGTATTGGTTGGGGAGGGAGCTTGTGATGTAAGGTGTAGGGTGTTTGTGTGCCATTGCCCGTAAGCTTCATTGTCTCTGTTCTTCCTTTCCCAGTACATTTCTGCTCAGATGCAACTCTTGTTCATGTTCTGGTTTCCTCCCTGCACCTGTTTGTGCACCAGACCACCCATGGCTGAGCATGTAACATCGACACCATCTGATCTGATATGGTACTGGTAGATGTTGAATCTGAACACTAACTAGATTAAGTTATAGCATGTTTGGGCTCGATGTGATGTAGATCCTGTCTGAACACATGCCCTTCAACAGGCTGGCAGATTTACATTATTAGATGTGAAGCACTCATTGCTGGGAGAAGAACAGATTACGTGATTAGAGAATGCAGATGCGCACAAACCGTAAGGGGGAACTGTACAGGCTGGATATTGGAATTACGGTATGCAGCCTCCAGTGCTATGGCCTAGTCCTTGACTTATGGGAAAGCATCGTAGAGTGTCCGGCTTTTGGCATGACAATGTAATGTGCCATGCTTGTTGTTTGAGAATCGAGAATCTAACGGTAGCTTGCATGCATAGGGTCGGTTAGTGGCGCAAGAATATTCTCGAGCCTCTCATTTCTCTGGGACCCTGCAAGTGTACGAGCTGGTGAAGGTGGTTGTGATTGCGGACCCAATTCGGAAATGGAGGTGGTTCAAAGTTTGGAACAGCTTCGATGAATTTTTTGGTGACCTCGAGAACAGAGATGTCGACGTGGATGTCGAGCCCCTCCATGTGGGCTCGGGACATCCCCTTAGTGGCGCAAGGGTCAAAGCCACGTACTCAACACACGAGATTCTGCTGACTTGTCAATATATTAACGGCTGTTTCGATGCCTCGGCAGCCACATTGTCTAATCAGAATGAAGTAAGTTTTGCGGTGACCTCCAGCCTTCGCGGCCCGCCTGTGTTGCATCAGCACGATGCCTTCTCGTGGGAGGCTTCTCGCTCGCCTTATCCAAAGGCTTCCATTGGTTATCCAGATCGCTACCTGCCCGTTGCAGTGTTCCCCCCGAAATCCCACAGTCCAAGCCGTTGGCATGTTTGCGGATCCGGAACAAGTGCTCGCTTTCTGCGCTTGCTCGTCCCCAAGCTCGCAATGCGGCGCAATGTCCGCCACCACATTCCGCACAAGAACCATCGAACGCTTCCGATTGGTCTTCAATAATGTACACCTGTTGTGACCTCGAAGAATTCGACCACGTGGCAACCTTTAGAAGGTTCTGCGTGCAGATTGGCTTCCTCCAGCTTTCCGCGGCTGCGAATTTAGGGGGAAGCGGAAATATTCCTGTTTTCCCCACACCTCGTCCCCCTTCTCCCCCCTTGCAGGGAGTTTTCTATGCTCTGCAATGGGAAGTGTAGCTCTCAGCCAGCTACAGTGGAGGATTCCCTTCCCTCGCATTGGTTCTGTAGATTAGCTGCCTATACCCCCCTCCCACAACTCTACTTTCTCCATTCAGTCTGCTTCTTGGAGCAGCAGTAGTAACCTGTTCGTCGGAAACGGCGACTTCTAGGCGCATCCTCAGCCGTCTCCTCCCACGCGTTGGAGGGCTTGTTCAAGACTCACCGGCCTCTCCGTCCCAACCTCAGATTCCAGTCGTTCCGAAGCCGGCTAGCGTCCACGCGCAGCCGTTTCTCTCACGACTTCATCGTCTGCTCCCTCCTTGCGATTTCTCCACCGATTCGAGATCCTGCACATCGTCGCATAAGGAAACTTTTAATCAACGATCCGCAATGTCGCCGACTGAGGAGATGATTTCGAAGGTCCACGAGCTGGATCCGCATCTGTCGGTTCACGACGCGTTGGAGCAGGTCAATGTTAAGGTTGGAGATGACGATATCCTCGTGGAGGACGAGGAGTTGCTCCTGGATTGTTTCCTCGATATGCTCAAGGAGCTCGAGGAGAATGAGCTCGCCGAAGCTGTGAGTTATCTGTCATCGTCAGTCACATTATTGAAATTTCTCACCAGTCCGCGGACACTATCTGAGTTACGACTGAATGCACGTGCGGAACGATATGCGATATTTGTACCAGAGCGAGAGAACAATGTGACTGAGCCTAGTTATCGTCTTTTTCGCATATCCGAGAATGTGTTGTCTAAATCTATTTCATTCTTCCGGTACATTCGAAAGTGTTCAGATACCTTCAATTCCGTCCTTTCTTTTGTCAGCAACAATCAACATCGTTAATGATTGATTCTTAACAAATATGTGTGCTTGCAGGTCCAAACATGTCTGGGACTGTCGTCCCAGTACAACGCGAGCAACGACCCTGAGGATCTTAAGAAGCTAGAGGAGGTGGTCGACTCCCTCGACCCGGCCGAATCTATCCTCTTCGCTTCCGCCTTCTCCCACATGCTCACGCTGGGAAACATTGCGGGTAGGCATGCCTACGTTGTCGCATTCCTGTCGCTCCTTCATTTCTCCATTGTTTTTTTATTTCCTGTTGACACTTCTTGGATCCCCTTTGTCCATGTTGCTTCAACCGCAAATATTAATCTGTACTGACATTTCTCATCTCTACTGAGCAGAGGAGATTCAGATGGCTCATCGTGCGCGGAAGAGCAAGGTCGGGTCCATTGAGGAGGAAGGAAGTGCTCTTACCGAGTCCAACATATCGGAGACGTTCCAGAAGCTGATCAAGCTGGGCAAGTCGCCCGAGGAGATATTTGATGGGCTCAAGAATCAGCGCGTGGACCTCGTGCTCACCGCTCACCCGACACAATCCATCCGCCGCTCCCTGCTGCAGAAGCACGCCCGGTATGTGCCTGATTTCAGACTCTGGACACGTTATTGATTGGAGATCTTCAATTTCCCACACGTATATGCCACGAGAATTGAATCATTGCACCGTGTTTGGGTTGACTCGTTGTGGGATGAGCAGCTAATTTACGGCACCGTGTCCGCATTTGCTCGAGTAATTTGTCGACGGGCCTTGAAAGATTACCCCGTAAACTTCTCACTATTATTCCTGTGCTCGCGTTTTACCCTGTGGCCAGCATTCGCGCCCTGCTGTCTCAGCGCCACGCCCAGAAGTATACGAAGGAGAGGCAGCAAGAGCTCGAGGAGGCTCTCAAGCGGGAGGTGCGTAGGTCCAATTTGACCGTTGCGTCCGAATCTTTATTTGCGGGAGAACGACATTGTTTTTGCCCTTTTCTTTCGCCGATCTCCATGGCTGATTTCTCCCTTCATCCGCAGCTCTCATCGTATTCCCTCCTGTCTTCACGCCTTCCCGTGCTGTCCCTGCTCTCATTTCTGCTGCCTCAAATACGGCAAGAACAGATCCAGGCGGCGTGGCGCACGGACGAGATTCGGCGCACGCAGCCGACACCGCAGGACGAGATGCGCGCGGGAATGAGCTACTTCTACGAGACCATCTGGAAGGGCCTGCCCGAGTTCCTGCGCCGCGTCGACACCGCCCTGCGCAGCATTGGCATTGAGGAGCGCCTGCCGTACAACATCCCCATCATTCAGTTCTCGTCCTGGATGGGCGGCGACAGGGACGGTGAGTGAATTGCCTCCCCCTTCCGCCTTTCCCCTTCCTCCTTCCCCACCTCCCCCGACCCCCACCCACCCTTCTCCTCCCACCTCGTGCCGTTTCGGTTTGGGCCACCTTGTTCCGGTTCGTCTTTTATTAAAATTGATGTAAATGCATATGAACTTAAAGAACAAGGTGTTTGCGAACAATAGGAAGACGGGATTGGCAGTCTATGTTCTCCTGCGCTATACGGCACGCGCAGATCGACCTGCAGATTTTCTCACGAGTGCGTTCAGTTCGAGCAATTGTCACTCAACGGAGTGTACGGTTACTTCCGCCTCGTTTCATTGCTCACCTGTCTAACCTTCGCATGATTTGATTACTCACAACAGGTAACCCCCGTGTGACGGCGTCCGTGACGCGCGACGTGGTGCTGCTGTCGCGCCTCATGGTCGTCAACCTCTACATCTCGCAGATCGAGGAGCTCCTCTTTGCGGTACGCATACGCCTCATCAAGATCCTCAACCCTCGCCCCAGGGCATGGACTATCTCCTGTCCCTTCCGCTTCACCCTTGAGCCAGTCCCACGGATAGTCTTACATCGCGCGTGGATTTGATCGTTCCTTTCGTCTCGCTTGGTTCGGTTGATTCCTTCACACCCCTTTTTATATCCCCTAACCCTCGCCGCTCCCCCGTCTCTGCCCATTCTCCCTTCGTGTCCCGTTCCTGTTCCCCGCTGCGCGACCTTCGTTGCTCCACCAGATGTCCATGTGGCGTGGAAGCGACGAGCTCAAGGAGAGGGCGCAGGCAGTGCAGGCCGGGGCTAAGAAGCACGGCAACCACTACATTGGTGAGTTTCACACCACTGGCAAAGAGTCATACCAGTGGCAACTGCAATCTACCGTGCTTGTCGCTCTTACCGAGTCCCTTCCCCTCATCCCGTTGCCCGCCCTCGTCCCTTCCCTCCCCGCCTACCCTCGTTCGTGTCGGTTGGCTTGGTGTCTCTCTTCCTCTTCGTTTCATTCCCGCTCTATGCGGCCATGCTTCCGTCTATCGTCTTATAAACCCTGTGTCTCACCGTGTAGTGCGTGTGTTTGTGCGCCCCCCCTGTGTGCGTGCCTACTTGTGCGTGCATCTGCATCCGCACTCGCATTCCCGTTCGTGCATCTCCCACACCCGCACGCCTGTATTCTGCAGAGTTCTGGAAGCAGGTGCCGGGCAACGAGCCGTACCGTGTGGTGCTGTGCGAGGTGCGCGACCGCCTGTGGAACACGCGCGACCACTACCAGCAGCTCATGGTGGACGGCCACTCCACCTTCGGCACCGAAGACATCTACACCTCCGCCTCGCAGCTGATGGAGCCGTTGGAGCTCTGCTACCGCTCCCTGCACGCCTCCCTGGATGGAGCCATTGCAGAGGGCCAGCTCCTTGACTTCCTGCGCCAGGTCGCCTGCTTTGGCCTCTCCCTCGTGAAGCTCGACATTCGCCAGGAATCCGACCGTCACACTGACGCCGTAGATGCTATCACGCAGCACCTCGGACTGGGGAGCTTCAAGGAGTGGAGCGAGGAGAAGAAGGTGGAGTGGCTGATTTCGGAGCTGCAGAGCAAGCGGCCGCTTTTCGGCGCCGACATGCCCATGTCGGATGAGGTCCGCGAGGTGATCTCGACTCTCCACGTGATTGCTGAGCTCCCGGAGGACTCTCTCTCGGCTTATGTCATCTCTATGGCGACGTCTGTCTCGCACGTGCTGGAGGTGCAGCTGCTGCAGAAGGCGTGCGGGGTGACCCCCGCCCGGCGCGTCGTGCCGCTGTTTGAGCGCCTGGACGATCTGAACAACGCGCCCATTGTCCTAGACGCGCTCCTCAGCATCCCCTACTACAAGGAGATTATCAAAGGCCGACAGGAGGTCATGATTGGGTACTCCGACTCAGGGAAAGACGCTGGGAGGCTTGCTGCCGCCTGGGCGCTGTACAAGGCCCAGGCTAGCCTGGTGGAGGTGGCTCAGAAGCACGGGGTGCATCTGACGATTTTCCACGGCCGGGGTGGGACTGTGGGTCGCGGTGGCGGCCCCACGCATCTGGCTATTCTGTCGCAGCCGCCTGGGTCGGTGGACGGGTCGCTGAGGGTGACGGTGCAGGGAGAGGTTATTGAGCAGTCGTTTGGCGAGGAGAACCTGTGCTTCCGCACCCTGCAGCGCTTCACTTCTGGTGAGCTGATGGGAGGGGAATGGGGAGGGGAAAGGGGGAAGGGGGGTAGGGGGGATAGAGGGTTTGGTTTGGAAATAGGGAGGGAGGGGACAGGGGAGGGGGACAGGGTTTTAAGAAGGGCCTCAATGGGGGGCTAGTATTCATGGATGGAGGTGGTGAGGAGGACGAAGCAGGGCAAAATTTGGGGTGTGAGGGTGAGGGGGAGGCGCGGATTGCTGGTCTGGTTGGTGGTGACTTAACAAATTGGTCTCTTCACTTCTCACGTCTCCCTCCTTTCAGTACCCGCCCTTAACATCTCTCTCCCCTTTCCTAGATTTTGAAACCCCCACCCTCCTCCCTCAATCTCTGTCTCCTCTGGCTTTTACTTAACCCCCTCCATTTCTATCTATCGGCGTCTGAATGTTGGTCCCATCTTATCTATGTTCTTCCAGCCACTCTGGAGCATGGCATGCATCCCCCAGTGTCGCCCAAGCCTGAGTGGGTGGCTATGATGGACGAGATGTCACCGCTCTCCACCGAGGAGTACCGGTCCATTGTCTTCAAGCACCCTCGATTTGTCGAATACTTCCGATCCGTGAGTGCCGCTCCCTCCCCTGTCGCTCGCTCACATCCACGTGATCTCGTCCACCCTCTCCCGCTCTCCTCTCCTCTCCTTTCCTCTTCCCTCCTTTCATCTTATCTCATCCTCTCCCCCTCTCTCTCCCTCTTCCTGCCTTCCGTGTGCATCACCAATTGAACCTCGCTGCATTCCCCCTCACCCCCCTCGTCCCCCACCAGGTGACCCCTGAGACTGAGTTCTCCCGCATGAACATTGGCAGCCGCCCGTCCAAGCGCAAGCCTGGTGGCGGTGTGGAGACCCTGCGTGCCATTCCCTGGATCTTCGCCTGGACACAGGTACTGCTTCCAGTCTCTTTGTGAGGTGCCTCAGATATAGGCGCCTGGGCACAGATACTGCTTCTGTTTCCTTGTGAGGTGCCTTGACACAATTACTGCTTCCTTCTCTCAACCTTACTGACCTAAGGCTCTTTTTTGGCACGCCTTGTAGCTCAGCATTTCGGGTGCCCCCTTCAACTCATACCCCCCACAAACCACCCAAACACTAGACACACACACTAACAAGCGCACTCACGCGCACAGGTACACTCATATCTGCACAGATGCATGCATGCACACCACACATGCACACACCCACACCCACACCCACTCACACACACAACACAACACCCCCACCTCATAACCCCTCCCCTTCACACCTCTCAACACCCACCTGCCCCCCACAGACGCGCTTCCACCTCCCTGTCTGGCTGGGTCTCTCGGCGGCCTTCCGCGGCGTGCTGGAGCGTGACGCCAAGAACCTGGAGACGCTGCGCGACATGTACCAGAACTGGCCCTTCTTCCGCGTCACCATCGACCTCGTGGAGATGGTGTTTGCCAAGGGCGACCCCCGCGTCGCTGCGCTCTACGAGAAGGAGCTTGCGAACCCCGAGCTGCACGAGTTTGGGACGGAGCTGCGCCGCAAGTACGAGGAGGCCCGCGAGCAGATCCTCAAGGTGAGAGGCCGGGGATGGTGGCGAGAACGAGGGAAGGCATGCCGAGGAGGGGGGGGGGAGGGAATGTGAGGGGGAGGGGATTCTCCCTCACCAGAGCCAATAGCAGAAGGGAACTGCAGTCTCATTGCCTTTTTCTTGTTCGCAAACTGCCTTTGCTTTATCTGTGAGCAGATTACTGGTCGCTCGGTGGTGCTGGAAGGGAACGCACCGCTGCGCCAGCGCCTGCTCATCCGAGAGCCGTACATCACACCGCTCAACGTGCAGCAGGTGCTCACCCTCAAGCGCATGCGCTCGGGCGCCCATGCCTCTGCCGATGCTATCGGCCTGTCAATGGCACGCACCAGCAGCGGGAGCAGCGGCGGCGGCGGATCTATGAAGTACAATAAGTCTTCTGAAGTAGTGACTCTGAATACGGCTTCGGAGTATGCGCCTGGGCTGGAAGACACGCTGATTATCACTATGAAGGGAATTGCGGCTGGCATGCAGAACACTGGCTAGGTGCTTGTTTGTCTCGGTCGACAGTCTTGGTTCCTTGTTACTTACGTATGCTTTCGTTTAAGCCTGGTGGCTGTAGACCTCGTAACCACCTAGTGCCATCACTCTTTGTGTCAATGTTGTGTGGTGTAAACCACGCTTTACCTTGACTCCAGTGTGCAACTAGGGAAACTGGAGTGCCGCTCGAGCAGTGAAAGAAGCTTGTGGGATGGAAATAGGTAGGCAGAGGAAGAGCCATCTCCTATGCAAAGATTGTCCAAATATTACTCCCATCCAAGTTCTCACACTGTGAGGGTCCCTAAGTACCGTAAATGAGAAGATTAAAACACAGAACAATGGATGTGGCACCGTAACATTCTTTCTTGAGAATGCAAGCAATATAGCAGAGTATAGAGGCGAAGTTCCCGCCTCTTTTTTTTTTTCAATAACATACCGGTACCCTGAACCCACCCACGAGAATCTACACCAAGTTTTGTACTCTCAGTTTATCAGTAGTCAGGATGTTTCATGCGTTCGGGTGCCAGGCTCCACTACGTAATACTGGAGGACTGCAATAGCGAGGTACTTACATCCTGAATTTCCATCAAGACTGACAGAATCTCGTCTTGCCAAGTCACAGCCCAGCCGACATCAGGATTCAGCATACTTGACGTCGCACAGCTGAAGCGCTGATATTCTAATATCCTCACAGTCACGCCATGGCATTAGCAGCGCTAACCCCGCTCGTTCGGCCCGTGTCCGCAATGTTGCGCTGCGCGCCCGCCAGGCGCCATTCCGCCTTCTTCGGCGCCGCGGTGCCCGCGGCTTCCGCCGCTCCGGCGCGTTTCTGCCGCCGACCCGCCGCAACTCCCGCCGTTGCCTCCGTCGCGCCGTCGGGGTCAGAGTCGACGCCCAATGCGCCGCAGTCGCTCGCAAGCGGGTCGAAGAATATGGCTACCAGCCGCACGCTCACCACGCGTGCTGCGGCTGCGCAGGGGGAGGTCGTTGCTGGCGCAGGTACTTATCACGCCGCCGGCATTTTCTGGCGCGATCAGGTGTTTATCTAACACTTCGGGGCACCGGCATTTTCTGGGGCAGGGATTTTCTTGTGCCGGCGCCTTCTGGTGCATGCATTTCCTGCTGGTGAAGACATCAGGTGGTACCTACTAGCGGGAACGGGCGTGGGGGCTTAATAACGGTCACATTTTGTGGTGCGATGTGGCTTACACATTCTAGTTAGCAAGGCACGCACGCTAGCACTTGCACAAAATCAGCTCTGTATGGATGTCGCTTTGTTACATTGCTGGTTGATTCAACTCAGTATGGGAGCGTGTACGCCCTCCTTCAGGTACTTTCTCCTCATTCAGATTTCCGTCTGAATTCCAAATAGGGCTTTTTGTTTGTTAATTTCTCCCGCATTACCACTGATTCCTCCTCATACTCCCCGCGCAGTGGCGTCCATCCCCACCATCGGTTTCCTCGGACTGGGCATCATGGGCAGCGCCACGGCGCTCCAACGCTCCCCCTGCCCCACTCCCCATACCCCCCCCCCCCCCCTCGCCCTTCCCCCTCCCCCCGGTGCACTCCTCGCGCAGTGGCGTCCATCCCCACCATCGGCTTCCTGGGACTGGGCATCATGGGCAGCGCCATGGCGCTGCAACGCTCCCCCCGGCCCTCTTCCCACCTCTATCCCCTCCCCCCGCCCCATCAACCCCATACTGTCTGTGTGCAGTGGCGTCCATCCCCACCATCGGTTTCCTGGGACTGGGAATCATGGGCAGCGCCATGGCGCTGCGGCTGGTGCGGTCGGGGTATCGCGTGACGGTGTGGAACCGCAGCCCCAAGAAGACGCGCCCGCTCGTGGAGGCCGGTGCTGTGTGCGTGCAGTGGGGTAGAGTGGGGTGGGATGCGGTGGAGTGGGGTGGGGCTTGTTGGTAGGGACTTAGGGGATGGTGGTTTTGTGTTGTGTTCGGTGGGGCTCTTGGGGTGGCTGGTGCGGTCGGGGTATCGCGTGACGGTGTGGAACCGCCCGCTCGTGGAGGCCGGTGCTGTGTGCGTGGAGTGGGGTGGGATGCGGTGGGGTGGGGTGGGAGGGAGGGTGCGAGTGTGAGGAGGGATGGTGGTTGTGTTGCGGTGGGTGGGTTTGTGGTGGCTTGACTGGTGCGGTCGGGGTATCGCGTGACGGTGTGGAACCGCAGCTTCAAGAAGTCCCGCCCGCTCGTCGAGACTAGTGCTGTGTGCGTGGATTGGGTTGGGATAGAGTGCGATGGTGTGGGAGGGTTGAAGTGTGCGCGTGAGGCCTGTCGCGTGTCTGTGTGTATGTCTGTGGTCCGCACATGTTAATGCGACGAGCTTTGTCCATCGCATAACACTGTTACTAACCTCCCCCTCTTGCTCTCCCCCCTTTCTCCTCCCTCCCTTCCCCCTCCCCATCCCCGTCCCCCTTCCCCGTCTGCCTTTCCCTCACCCCTCCTCCCTTCCCCACCATGGCAGTGCGGCGCCATCAGCAGCAGCGGTGACAGCAGCGTGTGACATCACCTTCGCCATGCTCTCCGACACTCCCTCCCCCTCCTCCCCTCCAAACTTCCCCCCTCCCCTTCCATCCACCATCCCCCCCTCCCCCCCCACACATCTCCCCATCTCCCCTTCACCATGGCAGTGCGGCGCCATCAGCAGCAGCGGTGACATCACCTTCGCCATGCTCTCTGTCCCTCCCCCCCCCATCCTCCTTTCCAAACTTCTCCCCTCCAAACTTCTCCCCTCCCCCCGCACACATCCCCCCCCCTCCCCCTCCGCATGGCAGGGCGGCGCCATCAGCAGCAGCGGTGACAGCAGCGTGTGACATCACCTTCGCCATGCTCTCTGACCCTGCTGCTGCTGTGCGTCCCACCGCTAGTCCCACCCCTCTGCGAGTCCCATACACACGCACACACACACACACACACACACACGCACACTCACACACGCACACTCCCACATGCACACTCACACATGCACACTCACACACTCACATATGTACACATGCAGACTTATGCCTGCTTTCCCTTCGGTAGCACCATCATCTCTTGTCTCTCGTGTCCTCTCACCAGCTTTACACGTACCCCGCCTTCCTGCCTCTGTCCTCTCACGTATGCGCGAGATGTGTGTGGATGTGTGTCCCTGTGCGTGTGTGTGTGTTTGTGTGTATGTGTGTGTGTGTGTTTGTGTGTATGTGTGTGTGTGCGTGCATGTGTGTGCGTGCATGCATGTGTGTGCGTGCGTGTGTATGCGTGCATGTGTGTGCTCATGTGTGCGTGCATGTGTGTGCGTGCATGTGTGTGTGTGCATGCATGTGTGTGCTCATGTGTGCGTGCATGTGTGCGTGCGTCTGTGCATGCATGTGTGTGCATGTATGCGTGCATGTGTGCACACATCCACGCATGCAGTTGGAAGTGGCATGTGGGCCAGATGGCGCAGCAGAGGGATTGAAGCCGGGAAAAGGGTGAGTCCAAGTCATGCAGCCGGCACATACTGAGATCGTTTTTTGAGTCGACTCAAAAACAGCCGGCACATACTGAGATCTTCTCACGCACACGCATGCATGTGGTTGCATTGCATGGGTCTGCGTGGTCGCATGGGTGTGTGTTCCATCTTTGTAACCAGTATGCCACACTCCATACCTACAATGCCCCACCACACCACACCACACCACACCACACCACACCCCGCCTCTTCCCCCAATCCCGTGCGGTCAAGCAGCTACGTGGATGCATCAACGGTGGACGTGGAGACAGCTGTCCGGGTGGCGCAGGCCGTGCGCGCCACTGGCGCACAGTTCCTCGAGGTGAGGAGGGAGGGAGGGTGGGGGGGAGGGTGAGAGGGCAGGGCAGCTTGATTGCAGGGAATCTGGTGGACTAGCAGTCACACCAGGCCGTGCGCGCCACTGACGCACAGTTCCTCGAGGTGAGGAGGCAGAGGAGAGGGAGGGGGAGGGTGACGGGGCAGCAAGCATGATCGCAGGGAGTATGGGGTTTTCTGCTGCTTTAGCAGTCACACCAAGCCGTGCGCGTCACTGGAGCGTTCCTCGAGGTGAGGAGGCAGGGGGGAGGGAGGGAGGGTGAAGGGGCAGCAAGCATGATTCAGGGAGGTAGGTTGCGGGATTTCTGCTTTCTAGCTGTCAGGGTGGTGCAGGCTGTGCGCGCCACTGGAGCACAGTTCCTCGAGGTGGGGAGAGGAGGGAGCCTTGGAGGGAGGGAGGAAGAGGAGGAACGGAAGGAGGAACGGAGGGAGGCGCCCGTGTTGGCATGAAAGATTCATCTTCAGAGTCAACTCCTAAGTTGCCTTGAAGCTCCCTCCCTTCCCTCAAAATTTGACTTGCTCCGCATTCCCTGTTTCCCATCCCCCCCACAGGCGCCCGTGTCCGGGTCAAAGACGCCAGTGGAGAACGGCAAGCTCATCTTCCTGATTGGCTCAAATTCAAGTTGATTTCTGAGGCGTGTGGCTTCTGAGTATTCTTGAAGCTCCCCCCCCCTTTTCGTCCCATGCACCTTCCCCTTTCCGTCCCCCCGCACAGGCGCCCGTGTCCGGGTCGAAGACGCCAGCGGAGAACGGCAAGCTCATCTTCCTGGCAGGAGGCGACTGGGACCTGTACGAGCGCGCTACTCCCATGCTCAACATTATGGGCAAGGTGAGGGCGAGAGAGAGGGAGAGAGAGACGGCTCAAAGGACATCTTCCTGGCAGGAGGCGACTGGGACCTGTACGAGCGCGCTACTCCCATGCTCAACATCATGGGCAAGGTGAGGGCGAGAGAGCGAGAGAGAGAGAGAGCCTTTGAGACGGCTCAAAGGTCATCTTCCTGGCAGGAGGCGACTGGGACCTGTACGAACGTGCTACACCCATGCTCAACATCATGGGCAATGTGGGAGAGAGCTCTCCTTTCGTGCTACAGCCGGGTGCACATGCCACAACTGGGTGCACGTGCTACAGCCGGGTGCACATGCCACAACTGGGTGCACGTGCTACAGCCAGGTGCACATGCCACAACTGGGTGCACGTGCTACAGCCGGGTGCACATGCCACAACTGGGTGCACGTGCTACAGCCGGGTGCACGTGCTGTCATCCCAGGTTAAAATGTATCATCCCGCCCTCTGACTAGGTCTACCAAGCCTTTGCTTCTCTTCTTGCACCCATCTGCCGCTGCTCCGTCCGTCCACGTACGTACCTGCCTTCCCTCTATGCCCAATGCATTCTCTCTAACTCTGTCCTCATTCTTCTCTCACTGTCTCAACGTCTCTTCTCCCTCCCTCCTTCCTTTTATATATCCCTTTCTGCTGCTTGTCTGGCATTCGTCTCTCTCTCTCCCTCTGGCCCCCCTCCACATGCAGTCCACGTTTTTCCTTGGCCCGGAGGGCAGTGGGGCGGCTATGAAGCTTGTCGTCAACATGGTCATGGGCAGGTGGGCTCTCACTCGCTCGTGTTGCTCTTGAGGATTCTCAAAAGCTTGTCGTTTGAGTCGACTCAACAGCCCTCCACATGCAGTCCACGTTCTTCCTGGGCCCGGGCCCCGGAGGGCAGTGGGGCGGGGCGGGGCGGGGCGGGGTCGCTATGAAGCTCGTTGTCAACATGGTCATGGGCAGGTGGGCGCTCCTCTCGCTTGTGTCCTTGTTAGAGCGGATTTTCAAGGAGGAGTTTATGGGAAAAGCATCTGAGTATCGATCGAGAGAGGAATACCTACTCTCGGTATTAATCTGTCAACTGACTCAGTGTACTCTCTGTCTGCCCATCCCTACTTCGCCTTCTCCTCCCCTCTCTCTCTCCGTCCGTCCCCCTACCTTCCCCATCGGTCCCCCCCAACCTCAGCATGATGGCTGCATTCGCTGAAGGGCTAGCACTGGGAGAGCGAGTGGGGCTGGATAAGAACACCATTCTGCAGGTGAGCTCTCCTAGAAAACGAAAACCCCAGACCGCTTCTGAGACGTCTCATAATAACACCATTCTGCAGGTGATTTTTTTCTCGAAAACCCCAGACGACTTTTGAGACGTCTCATGAAAAACATTATTCTGCAGGTGAGCTCTCCTAGAAAACCCCAGAGGGGGGCCATGTTGTTCTTTGTGTGACCACAATAAAGTCTCAAACGCTTAGTATAATCTCACCTTTCTAAGATTTAAGGGCGAGCGTATACATTTGCACGCATTGTCACACATGTGCATACACACCAACACGCATACACGCATGTGGCATATCAATGATGGTGTGGTGATCCCTCATCATCAGGTGATAGAGCAGGGAGCCATCGCCAGCCCCATGTTCTCTCTCAAGGGCCCTCTCATGATCGACGGCAACTCAAAACAACACACCCACATGCACACATGCACACATTTGGCATACCCATGTCGATCCCTCATCATCAGGTGATAGAGCAGGGTGCCATCGCCAGCCCAATGTTCTCCCTCAAGGGCCCTCTCATGATCGACGCCAACTACTCACCCGTTGGGTCCAAATATTAATTTTGCATGTCAACCAGCCGCCTGCATCTCACTTTCCATTCTGTGTGTGTTCTGTGCGCATTCGTCCTTGCATCTTGTGTGTTACGTTTTGCATTCGGTATTGCATTTTGTGTTTGTCCATTCTCTGTTGTGTGTTCATGGCGATCCCTCATCATCAGGTGATAGAGCAGGGTGCCATCGCCAGCCCAATGTTCTCCCTCAAGGGCCCTCTCATGATCGACGCCAACTACTCACCCGCCTTCCCACTCAAGCACCAGCAGAAGGCAAGTTCCTTCCACCTCACTGCCTCATCGGTGCCTATTCTTGAGGTGCCTTAAGAAATAGGGGAGCCCATGTTCTCGCTCAAGGGCCCTCTCATGATCGACGGCAACTACTCACCTGCCTTCCCACTCAAGCACCAGCAGAAGGCACGTTCCCGCCACCCCCCTCCCTTACTACTGCCGCCTCACCTGTGCCACTGTCCCTGTCTTTTGCTCTCTCCCTGTCTTCTGCTCTCTCTTTAGTTGAATCCTTTGACCCTTGGTCTATCTTCCCTCCCCCACTGCATGCTCACTCTGTATCCTCCTCCCTCCACGTCATTTTCTGATTCTCCCCCTCTTCTCATCTTTCTTTCCTTTGCTCAATCCCTTCCCTCCCCTCTTCTCCCCCCCCATAAACATTGGTCCCCCCATACCCCCTTTGCTCAATCCCGTCCCTCCCCTCCCTCCCCCTCACCCCCTTTTCCCCTTCCTCGAATGCTGCCTTTACCCCTGCTGCTCACCGCAACTTTTTTCCCATTTAAATTGCAAACGTGCTTTTGGGCCACCTCAAACCCCAACTTTCCAACTCAACCCCCAACTGTCAAACCCAATCTCCACCAACTCTCAAACAAGATCCACAACCTGCGACTTCTCACAACACACACAGGATCTGTGTATGGGTCTGGGTCTGGGTCTGGGTCTGGGTCTGGGTCTGGGTCTGTGTATGGGTCTGGGTCTGGGTCTGGGTCTGTGTATGGGTCTGGGTCTGGGTCTGGGTCTGGGTCTGTGTATGGGTCTGGGTCTGGGTCTGGGCGATGACTTGGCTGGCACTGCCACTGCCCGTGGCTGCCACAGCCTGTTGAGGCGCCTCAAAACTCAATTTCCAGCCCTCTAATCCTGATTCCTGAACCCACAACCCCACAACACACGCAGGATATGCGTCTGGCTCTGGGTTTGGGCGACGACTTGGCACAGCCGCTGCCCGTGGCAGCTGCGGCCAACGAGGTGTACAAGAAGGCGCGGCGGGAGGGGCATGGCCGGGACGACTTCAGCGCCGTGTTTGAAGCCGTGAGGCTGCAGCAGCGCGAGGACTGATGATACTGCTCATGCTGGTGGCGCTGGATGGCAGGGAGCTGTTTTTTTTTTTTTTTGAGGTGCTTAAGAAACAGCTGCTGGGACGACTTCAGCGCCGTGTTTGAGGCCGTGAGGCTGCAGCAGCGCGAGCGAGGACTGATGATGGTGGTGGCGATAGATGGCAAGGAGCGGTGGGTCAAAGGGAGCTGTTTTTGAGGCGCCTCGGAAACAGATGGCATGGCATGGCAGGGAGGGACGTCTTCAGTGCTGTGTTCGAGGCTGTGATGTGAAACTGCAGTAGCGTGAGGACTGGCTGATTACCGTATCTGAGAGCTGCTTGCAATGTTTCCAGAAGTATACGAGAGAAGGCTCACACCCATACTTGTTTTTACCAATTTTGTATGACTCATTCCTAAGCTCTTGGGCTATTTTGTTGAGCGTGAGTAGGGTAACTGAGAAGCTTAGTAAACTGACCACCAGCCTAAAAGAGACATTTTTGTACTTTAGGTATGTAGAAGTACCGGTCATGAAGTACACAGCTATATAATACGGTAGCATGAATATACATCACTGTTTGTTTACGCCCAAGAAACTGTTTACGAGTGAATTGAGGTGCCATGCCATCCTCTAAATTCGTTGCATTGCACGTCATTCCTCCCTGGGATCCAAGACATCAATCGAACCATGCCCTATCCCCCCACGTGTTACATCCGTTTGTGCACTAGCAGCATACATCCCTGCATGTGCATTCACATGCGAGTGCACAGCGTGCGTGTGTGTGGGATGTGTGATGCTGCTTGCACTGCTACCAGCAACATGCCCACCGCCACCAGCAGCACCGGAGCTACTGCCTATGACTATACCCGTGGTGACATGGGAGAGGGGTGCTCGTCTCGTGAAGCGAACCGCCAAGGGAAGCAGCAAGCGGTAGAAGAGCCAGACGAGGAGAGGGGCGGTCACCAGCCATGCGAGCACCTGATGGTGTGAGAGGAAGGGAGAGGGCAACAACTTTGAAACGCGCCAAAAGTTTGGAAGAGCCGCATGAGGAGAGAGGCTGACTGTCAGCAACCATGCGATGAACCTGTTGGTGTGAGAGGGAGAACAAAAGAGCAACAAATTTGCAAACTGCCTTAAAAAGACAGAAGGGGTGCAGCAACTGGCAGAGGAGTCACATGCGGAGCGGGTCTGCAACTGGCGGTTAGCAACCATGAGAGCATCCCACTGATACCATGGACCTTATTTCACTGGCCGCATCGCACTGACTAAACATCCCAGCGACCCACCCCCACTGACCGCGTGGACAAGGCCGAGGAGGAGGCGCGCGGAGGCCTTGCCTCCGGAGTGAGAGAAGGAGAGCGCAGCGAGCAGTGCTGCAGGTGATTTTTGAGTCGACTCAAAAGCTCCCCCACACTAACCGCCCCTTACTGACCGCGTGGACAAGGCCGAGGAGGAGGCGCGCGGACGCCTTGCCTCCGGAGTGAGAGAAGGAGAGCGCAGCGAGCAGTGCTGCTGGCGAGATGGCGTGATGGTCAGACCGTGCTAGGCACTCTCCCAGACGCATGTAAGGGATTATGAGGCTGCTTGCAGGGAGGGGGAGGAGGGAGGGTGGTTGGGGGAGGAGTTGTATAGCTCATTAGGCAGGGTGCCAGACGCCCTGCCTCAAACGATCACTCGCCGGATTCATGTAGGGGATTCTGTGGCTGGTTGCAGGGAGGGGTGGGGAAGGGAGGGGTGGAGAGGAGGAAACCGGTAGGGAGAGTAGGACGAATGGGGGAGAGGGGGTGATGGGGGGCGGGGAGAAGGTGAGGAGGTGAGGCAATAGCGTGAGTTGACAGGTTTGAATGAGGATTTACTCGCAGCAAAAAATGCGTCGACTCAGAAGTCATATCGTTCAGTGATGATCACATGCATTGTTGTTGTTGCTAGTCGTTAAAGGAGTTGGGGGAACAAACGCATGTTGATGTAATCATGCTTGCTGGCTCGCGCATGTGCTGTGCAGTGCTGTGCTGCGCTTGCACGCATTGCAGCGTGCAGGCAGGCAGCAGCAGCAGCTGACCTGACTTCCACAGGCGTGGCGAGGAACGTGGCAAACATCATAGTGGGCCCATGGCTCCTGGAGCGCAGTACATATGCCACCACCGCACACAGCGCTGCCGTCAGACCTGAGCGGAGAGAGGGGGAGGAGAGGGGAAGCGGAGAAAGTTGATATTTGAGGGGCCTCAAACGGCTCCTGGAGCGCAGCACATATGCCACCACCGCACATAGAGCTGTTGTCAGGCCTGGGAGGAGAGGAGGAGGAGGAGGGAGGAAGGGGAGGAAGAGTTTGGGGGGCGGGTTGGTAAAGGATGTGAGATGAGAGGGGAAGTTGGGGTGGAGAGAGGAGAGGGGGGGAGTGGGGGAGCAGGGAGAGGGGAGATAGCGGGAGAAAGATTTGGGCAAGATAATGATTACAAATTTTGAGGTGCCTCAAAAGGGCGCGGAGAAGGGAGAAAGCGATGAGAAGAAAGGCACGAAGGAGACGAGATAAGGAAGTGGGGTGAGAAGTGGGGTGGGGGAGGAGTAGAGAGATATGGAGAGTGGGTCCATGTACAAGAAGGAAGTGAGAAGAAGCGGTGCAGATCATGCATTTGAGATGGAGCGAGGGAGGAAGGAAGAAGGCGAGGTGGCATGGGTGTACTACCACAGAGAGGGAAGAGGCCGGCGATGAAGGCAATAACATTCAGGTGTGTCGTCGACTGGGAGAGCTGCAATGCATGCGTGCGTGCGTTTTGGAAAACCTCTTGTAGCATAGAATCGAGAGTAGAGTGGGTGTACCGCAGAGAGGGAAGAGGCCGGTGACGAAGCCAAGGGCGAGAGAGAAGGCGAGCTGCTTTGGATCTGCTCCCCTGCACACAGGAGGGAGGGAGAGTGAGTGGTTGTGGTGGGGAACGAAAAGGGAAAACGGAAGGGTAGGGAGGGGGGGAGGGAGGGAGGGAGGGAGGGAGGGAGGGGGGGGAGGGAGGGAGGGAGGGAGGGAGGGAGGGAGGGAGGGAGGGAGGGAGGGAGGGAGGGAGGGAGGAGAGAAGGAGGGGGGAACAAGGAAGTCCAGTCGCCTAGGAGTGGCGTGTGTTGCTTGCATGGAAGGTTGTGACGTGATTGTACCGTGATTGTACCGTGATTGCATGCTGGCAAGGCCTTGATACAGTGCATGTCACCAACCATGGAGCAACGGAACCTGTGCTGCTCTTCTCGCGACTATGACTTAAAAAATAGCATGTCTTGACGACTGAAATGGAATTCCAACGAGTACTGTAACTGCTGCCACCAACTTGCATCAGTCCCTCACCACTCCCACCCTTCCTTCCATCTCCCCCTTTTCCCCACCTTCCCCCTTCCAGACCTTCCCGCAATTCCTTACCTCCCCCCTCCTCTTTCCCATATTCCTCTCCCTCCTTCCCACCGCTCTACCCCTGGGCCTTCCCACCATTCCCCTGCTCAGCCTTTGCACAACTCCCCCTCCGCCATCCCCCCAGTACCGGCGGAAGATGGCGAGGCAGGGGTCGACAACGGCGGACTTTCCCCACCGGCTGATGCGCCACCGCCGCCACCCCGCGAGGAACGCGGGCGCGTGGAGGGTCTCCGATACAAGCCCCGTGCCCATTGCTGCTACTAACGAGCCGGCGGCTCTCCACGTGGCGCTCAAGAGTGGCACGTTGCCGCCGTCATCGGCGGGCAGTGATTAAGCCACGTGTGGCCATGCATGCGGGGGATACGGCGGCGGGTGCAGGTTGGTGTGAGCCGAGAGTTAAACAAACACCATGTCCGCGCCGTAGAGAAAGGGGCTTCTAGCGGATTTTATTTGAAATAGAAAATCTTCTACAGAAGTCAGAGCGGGTAGCTGGGGGCGGGAGACGCTTGGCTAGCCGGAATGCCTGTCTTGATTCGCTATTGTATCACTTTTGTGACAGCACATGCACAAAGCAACGAAGCACGGCGAGTTTGACTATTACTGGCTTGGAAGGTTCATGTAACTGGTACTGATGCGACGCCAATGCCAGACTACAAGCTTGCTTGCTGGGCTAACTAGCTTGAGCTTCACAAAGAACTAGTTTGGGCTGTCAAGTTTCTCTTTGCTGCTTGAATTTCTTTCACAACTCGAGAAAAATGAGTTCCAGGGCACTTCGGAAACTCCAAGGTATAACCGCAACATCGGTGCAGTGGGATGGGAGGCTCCGGCTGGTCTGTTAAGTTCGGTTCGCTGATTTGGTTTCCGGTTTGGTGCGAAACGAACCGGCAGTGGAGGTCAGTGACTGACAGGGAGGACGCCAGAGGTGTCCTTGGAATTTCAGTAGGCAAGGCAGGTGTTGTTTCCTCGTCAGACTTGCTCGAGCTGGAGCCGCGGTCGCGTGAACAACGGCACGGTTCTGCCCGAACCAGCTCCCGGATGGTTGGTGAAATTCCCTGTACAAGCGTTGGGAACGCCTTATCGGGTCTTGGCTTTGCTGTTTCGAAGTCCTTCACAAACAATGAGCTAACTGGTGCTGTAGAAACTTGTACGGTATGACATGGGAATAACATGCTTGAATAATTCAATGAGCTGCATAACGTGTCATCCAAAAAAATGCATCAACTGGTACCGTACGATGTGGAAGAAGCGGAGTTCATGTGATCTGGCCCTGGCTATGCAGCAAAGCAAACCTCGTTGATTCATACCCGTGACCTGTAGCTCTTGAAGGAAACCACGAGTCAGATTTGGTACGGCACAGTCAGATGGATACATTCAGGGCACATTCGATCCTTGACATGTCCACTAAGCAAGCGTCACAAAAGCAGCGTACCGCTCTGCACCGCATTACACCGGAGTATCAAACGTTTCCACAGCACTGTATCTAGTCTTTTGCGACACGGGGCTTTTGTGACGCGCTTCCCGAATGTACCCTCAGAAGCCTGTGAAGAGCATTGGGTACGTCCGGCAAAGTCCAGAGGACCACAGCTGCATAGATGGGATGGGATGGGATGGGATGGGATGGGATGGGATGAAAGGCGAGGTGAGTAAACTGCTTGGCAGTACTACCAACAAGCTAGCTAGCAAGCATCAATACGTTGAAGAAGCGTGTGAGGCTGAGCTCACAAATAGAAAGGACAGCTGGGAAAGGTGGTGTGATGTGATAGGAAGAGAGTTCGTTCGCAACGAAATGAAGGAGCAGGGAAGGGGGGGACGGGAAGGTGGGGTGTTTGAAAGAGTGGGTGAGGGGAGGCTTACAATGGACAGCAGAGCTCCATGCTTGAAGTTGGGACGGAAGGACATGGCAAGAGGTGCAACTGGTTGCTCCCCTGGTCGTGTCACAGGTGGTGATGGTGGTGGCGGTGGTGGGGAGGAGGACGATGATGCTACAGGTTGCGGTGGTGGTGGTGGCGGTGCTGCTGTTGACGGGCCTCGAATCACACCCCTGCGATTATGGAGGGGAGGGAGGGAGAGAGGGAGGGAGGGAGGGAGGGAGGGGGAGTCGAAGATAACACAAGTGGGATTGGCAGCAGTCAGTGGTAAGGGGGATGATGACAGTAGGGCGGTGGTGGCGACGCACGCTGCTACTTATGGGCTTACACAAATGGGACAAGTTGGGGGTAGGAATTGACGGGAGTTGATGAAAATCTGTGTATGCGATGTTGGCTCTCATGTCACATTGTAAAGTATCCTTTCGTAAGTGGGAGTTATGAGCAGATGGCAGGACAGGAGGAGAGATGAGACGGGACGAGAAGAGAGATGAGAAAAGAGAAATAGGAGAGATGGGGAAAAAAGAGAAAAGACGGGAGAAGAGAAGAGAAGAGATGAGGCTAGGGAAGAGGAAAAGAGTGGGTGGGGAGGTGGGGAGTGTTACAAGAGGGAGGCGGTGAGGATGGGAGCGAGGTGAGTGTCAAAGAGCGCCACCAGTCCAGCTGTGTCCATGCGACCCGAGGAGAACGAGAGTGCCAGGCGCCTGCCCGTGGGATCCCATGCCATGTCCTGCACTCCTCTGTTTGAGGGCGGAAGGGAGGGATGGGAGGGGTGGGAGGGGTAGAGTGTTCGGTCAGTCTGGGAGTGGCTAACGCACTGAGCTTAAGCAGAATCCAGTGTCAGCAAGGGAAGGCGATTCCCAAACCAAACGAAAGGATATCAGACCAGCGTCCAAGGCGTCACACATCCACACAGACAGACTCGTACAGACTCGTACAGACTCGTACAGACTCACCCAAAGGTGGATAATTCAGGGGGCCCCATGGGATCGACCATGAGGGAAGCGAGGTCTGGCAGCTCGAGAGGCAGCACGTGGATGTCTGGCGCAGGAGGAGAAAGTGGAGAGGGAAACACAAAAGAAACGCAAAGGTGGATTATTCAGGGGGGCCCATGGGATCGATCATGAAGGAGGTGAGGTCTGGCAGCTCCAGAGGCAGCACGTGGATGTCTGGCGCAGGGGCAGGCACGGGTGGAGAGGAGAGGGGGACAAAAGTAACACAAAGATGGGCATGGGTTCTGCTTGTTTCAGCTGAACGGTCGGTTTCGAAACGATGCTCGTCTGTCAAATTTTCGAGACGTGTGAAATGAAAACGGGTGCAGAAGTGTAGAGTAGAGCATGGGTGCGTGGGGCTGTGTGTAGCCAGGGCCCGCACTGGTGCGAAGAAACAAAGAACAGCAGTGGGTTTTAAGGTTTCTGAAGTTTCTGAGTAGCGGACAAGGTCGAGGGAAGGGGGTGGGGGGAGATGGGGGAGGGGGAAGAGCGGAGGATAAGAGGACGGCGTGGAGTGGGATAATGGAGTGGGCGGCTTGTGATTACCGAGTGCGGGGGGCGAGCGGGCAATGTGCACTGCAGCAAGAGTGGGCGTGGAGTGGAATGCGAGGAGCAGCACACGGCTGTCAGGACTCCACGCTGCTGCCTGCACAGAGGGGAGGAGGAGGTGAGGGGAGTGGAGAGGCACTTATGAGGCGCCTCAAGAGTGGAATGCGAGGAGCAGCACACGGCTGTCAGGACTCCATGCTGCTGCCTGCACGGTAAGAGGAGAGAGAGGGAGGGGAGCAACGAACGGTAGGACGGTCAGACGGTAGCAAAGAACTCTTTTCGAGGCGCCTCTAGGACATTAAGGCCTCCTGCAAATTCGTCTCCAGAAGGGAGAAAGAGAGAAGGTTGACAATGGATACTGGAAGAAGGAGGGCAAGGGAGGAAGGCGAGCGGGCAGACGTTTACTAGTTTGACAAGGCATGGATGGATGGATGGGAGGGAATGAGCTCACGGTGATTTGCTGCGCGCCCACAGACCATTGCTGACATGTCCACGACTCTGCCTCCCACACATGGAATGTGCCATCGCTGGTGGGGTGCAGCGCGGTTGCAGCCGGTGGGATGCGAGAGCGGGAAAGAGAGGGAGAGGGACGTAGAGGAAGGGGAGGGAGAAGAAACGGGAGGCGAGAGGTGAGGTGAGCGAGGCAGGGCTGGGTATGCTGTGAATGAAGGAGTGACATGCGATGGAGCGACATCCAGCGAGCAAGGAGGGTCTGGAACGTATGTATGTATGTTCCACATGGGAAACGTATGTATGCATGTTCCACATGGGAAACGTATGTATCAAGGTTAGTCCCACCCACCCACATGGGTTAGAGAAGCGCAGGAAAGAGCCAAACGGGAAAGAGCAGAACGGGAAAGAGCAGAACGGGAAAGAGCAGAGAAGGGTAGAGAAAAAACAGGAGTCGCACAGGAGGCAGCTGAAGAGGCAGTCCCCGCGGGGAGACCAGCGCAGCATCTTCACTCCCGCGAAGCCACGGCGCAAGGGCGTTGCCACGCCTGGTGTGGACGGGTGGGCGAGGTGACGAACGAGGGCGAGCAGGGTTTAGGGAGGGAGAGAGGGAGGGAGGGAAGGAGGGAGGGAGGGAAGGAGGGAGGGAGGGTGGGAGGGAGGGAGGGAGGGAGGTTGGGGGGCAGATGGGAGCAGTGAGTCGTGGGAGAGGAGCAGCAGCAGCAGCAGCAGCAGCAGCAATAAGACACGTGATGATGGAGTGGCAATGAATGAATGGTTGAACATGAATGAACGCATGTTTGAGCAAGCTAGCAGCGGAGAAGGTGCAAAACTTCAATAAGGAATCTGACAAGAGTAGGGTGTATATAATAAGGTACCTGTGGCAACGTCCCAGATCAGGATGGTTGATGATGCATGTGATGCTGAAGCTAACAATGTGTGACAGAGCAGCACCAAGAAAGATCGTGAGTGGAGTGGAGAGCATTGGGGATGGAGGAGGAGGAGGAGGAGGAGGAGGAGGAGGAGGAGGAGGAGGAGGAGGAGGAGGAGGAGGAGGGGGTAGGAAAGAAAGAGGAGGAATGCGCAGGCAAGAAGGAGAATATAGCGAGTTAAGGAAGAACAGGTAGGTGCATGAAGGGAAGTGGCAGGAAAGGAGCCGGAAAGGACGGGAAAGGCGGCAAGGAGCAACAAGGGGAAGCAGAAAACAGCAATGGGAAAGAAAAGAACGAGTGAGGAACAGAAGCTGGGAGTGGGCCAGGGATAGAGGGGGAAGAGAGCAGGCGGCGGAAATGAAGCAGCAAACGAGAGGATTGAGCAGACAAGGCCGAGAAAAAATAGCAGGAGAGCAGAGCAGAGCAGGGCAGAGCAGGGCAGAGCAGAGCAGAGCAGGGCAGAGCAGGGCAGAGCAGGGCAGAGCAGAGCAGAGCAGGGCAGAGCAGGGCAGAGCAGGGCAGAGCAGGGCAGAGCAGGGCAGAGCAGAGCAGAGCAGGGCAGAGCAGAGCAGAGCAGGGCAGAGCAGAGCAGAGCAGAGCAGAGCAGAGCAGAACAGAGCAGAGCAGAGCAGAGCAGAGCAAAGCAGGGCAGAGCAGAGCAGAGCAGAGCAGGATATCTCCCACACGGGCTGAACGCCACACTAGTGACCGCCCCTTGCTGCCGCTGCGGCGAGCTGGCAAGAAACTGCATGCACGCCGGCACCACACACCCCCTCCCACCGCTCCCCACACCTCCACCTCCTCCTCCTACTCCCCATCCCCCCCCTCCTCCCCCCACTGCTCCCATGCTGGCCCCTGTGATGCCGGATAGAGCTGTGTCGCCCCCAGATGGCCCCTCCACCAGGAGAGGCCCTGCCAGGTTCCACAGGCAGATGCCCGCCCTGAGAGCAGCACGCAGTGGTGGTGGCATGTGGAGGGCGGGGGTTGTGTGGCGGGGGAGGCGGGGCGGGGGTGTGGTGGGGGGCCCGGGGGAGGTGGGGGACATAGAGAGGGGGAGGTTGCAGACGAGTGATGGAGGAGCAGGAGGGGGGCACGTAGAAGGGGGAGCATGAGAGGGGGAACAAGGAGTGGGGGAACGGAGGAGGGGAAGGAAGGGATAAGAGGAGGGGGAAGATACGAAATGAAAGAGGAGGAACGCCTTGCAATGCCAGAATGTAAAGCCACCCCATCCCATGTCATGCCCCATCCCAATCATCCCATTCCATGCCATCCCATGCCATCCCAATATCCCATCCCATCCCATCCCATCCCATCCCAACCATCCATGACACGACCCATCACCCACCCCTGTCCCCTCCCATTCACTCCCCCATATCTCCTCGCATCTCCCAACACCGCTTTCGATGCCTCACCTGCACGCCACAGCCAGAGTGGCGCCTGCCTTGGGCCGCCAGTCAACACACGACACGTGGCGCTGCAGCTCGTGCAGAAGGATGGAGGGCGGTGGGGGGGAGAGCGAGGGACCTGGGAGTCAACAAGGGAAAGGAGAGCAGAAGTAAAAACGGAAGAAGTGGTGAGGTGAGAAGGGGGAAGGGGGAAGGGGGGAGGGTGGACGGGGGGGGACGGGGGTAAAGGCAGGCAGGCCGGACATCTTGGCTGGACTGGCCTGCTGTCCCGCCTGTATACCCTTTCAAAGAGCAGCACAGCAGACAGGCAGTGAGCACACAGGTGCACTGGCACATGCGCTCATGGGCAGGAGGGCAGGCGGGCGGGCGGGCGCGCAATAGATGCGAGAGGTGGAGGGGGCGGAAGGGACAGGGGTACCAAAATAACGAGAAAGGGGAGAGGGAAGTGAGGGAGGCAGGCTGGCAGGTGGGCGCCTGAGTGAATTTTTGAGAATTCTAAGGAATCTCTCACCTGAGTGCAGAGCAGAAGCATGGAGGTCGAAGAGAAGAAGGCGGTCGAGAGGGCCCGATGCGAGAAGGCGTGGTGAGAAGCGGTGCCATGCGATGAGTGGACGAGTGGGGGGAGGGGGAGGAGGGGAGGACGCGAGGAACGCAGGCAACTGCACGGATAGATAGTAGGCCGGGAGGAGGGGGGAAGGGGGGGGGGGGGGGGGTATTGTGAAAGAGTTAAGAGACTTCGCATAATTTGGCTGTGTTTTGGGACGTCATAGAAGGTGGTGGGACGTCACAGAAGGTGGTGGGACGTCACAGAAGGTGGTGGGACGTCCCCAGAATGTGTAGGTAAGTAACCACAAGCACAAGGTGGTGGGAAGGGGAGACGGAGGGACGATGGAGAGTGGGATGCTAGGGGGTCCCTTCTCATTAGCAGAGGAAGGAGAGCAAGGAGAGGTTGAGGTCCCTCCCAATCCCAACCCCTCGCCCCCCTCACCATGTGCTATAACCGCATCACTGTGTCTGTCTGCTGCAGCATCCATCCAGGCGCCCCCATCTCCCTCTCTATCCCCCAACCCCACACCCAGCTTTCGCCCCAAGACATGACACCGACCGCAAAACTTTGAGTCGACTCAAGAATCTTCCGCCTCACTCATTCACTCACTCACTCACCATGTGCTGTAGCCGCATCACCGCATCCGCTGCAGCATCCATGAGCGACCCCCCACTCCCTCTCTCTCCCCCGCCTCCTCCCCCGGACCGACCACCAGACGCCACCACCGACGGCGAATACGGCGTTCCTGCTGCTGCTTTCCGCGCACTGCTGCTGCTCCTCTCCCCATCCCCTCCGCCCGCCCCTGCTGATTCCGAGGGAGGCGTGGAGGGCGTGAGGGGAGTGGATGGGGATGCTGGAGCAGCGGCGGTTGCAGCAGGAGTAGAAGGAGGCGGGGTGGCCGGGGCAGGGGATGTGTGGGATGGAGTGGTGGAGGAGACGCCATAGCCAGCAGCAGCAGGGGCACCGCCAGCAGATGCGGCAGGAGCAGCAGTGGGAGCAGGAGCGGGAAGAAGGGAACCGTTGATGATGAGCAGAGGAGTGGACTCGAACGCGAGATCCACTGGGTTCACTGCAGCCAGAGGAATGTCCAGTACTGCGTGGTGCTGTGCGGTGCAGGGAGATGGGGGCCGGTGGGAAGAGAGAAGGGGAGAGGGAAGAAGAGAGAGAGTCATGAAACGACAAGGGAAGATGTGTGGGGTCGATGAGAAGAGTATTATGTGATCAGAAAGAAACAAGGCTCAAGAGTGGATGCACTGGATTTGCTGCTGCTGCTGCTGCTGTTGCTGCTGCTGCTGCTGCTGCTAAGATGGTTTCTGATTATGTATAGATTTGTCATAAATTTGACATAGAGAGCTCATGAAAGGGAGGACAACGGCAGGGACGAGGGACGCCTGGAGAAAACAAGGAGGAGAGCGAATGGGAGACGAGAGAACGGACGAAAGCACAGGAAGGAAGGTACGGAAGGAAAGGAAGGGAAGGACGAGCGCAAGACACGGAAGGCGGTGGTGAGGAGGGAGGGAGGAGTGCCGGTGGATACCATGAGATGTGTGTAGGCGTCTCGTGTGCTCGCATCCACATCTCTCCTGGATGTCACTGCCGTTTGAGAACATGCCGGGGAGACATTCGCATGCATGACATGGGGTAGGACGAGACGGGATGGGAAGAGAGCTGGAACGGGTTGTTATCATGATGCATGGTAGAGTGTGGCGTGGGGTGGTGTGGTCCGGTATGGTGTGGTCTAGGATGAGATGATGTGAAATGAAATCGTCTTCAGCCGGAGATCTCCGTATGTAGAGAGAAATTTCAGATACGTTATGCAGAAAGAGGCTCTGGTCTGGAGCCAATCCCGCCATGAGCGCGAGGCGAATGCCGGAACGAGGCGGCGAGAATGCGAATCCGACTTTTGAGGCGCCTCAAAAAGCGTGAGGCGAATGCCGGAACGAGGCGGCGAGGATGCGAATCCGTTCATTCATTATAATGCCATGTCATGCCCCATACGTTATAATGCCATTAGAGAACCCCGACGCGACGGCTAATGAGTCGACTCCCGAAATCGAAATTCAACCCGATTCATCCATCCATGCATCGAGCTCGCAATCTAAGCGAACGCACGAAACCCACGGAAGTACTGTAAGTTTGAGCAGTAACGCTTACGCAGAATCCCGTTCACTTCGCCGATCGTCTCCTCGCCCATCCGCGGCAGCATCGCCATGGCCGGCAAGACCGCTAACCCACGTATTCTTGGGAACACTTTAGCAAACGTTCAGGATCGTCGTAAAATCCAGGGACTTGGTACTGCTGCTCAACTCAACTCAAAGCTGGACCAGAGTTGCCCAAAGCGTGGTGGTGGAAAAGGGGGGTGAAGAGAATGTGTTTGTGTGCACTGCAAGCGGCTCCGCGTTCCGATTCTACAAGTTCTATAGAATGATACACTTCCACCACTTACCGTATAAGTAGGGTGGTAATTGTTTATATGCAGGTTTATGCAGCTATTTCAACCAGATCACGTAGAAGGGAGTGTGAGTAAAAGCCGCCTCGCGCATCCCCGTTATGGGACAGAACAAATAGAGCAGAACCGCGATTCTTCGCGGATTCAGGCAAGCAGAATGCAGAGAACACAATCAATGGCAGATTTCGGATCATCCCACTAGTTACGCAAATCTGGAATGGGAGGCGTGGTGGAGGGGAGGTAATGTGGAGGGGGACTATCTCTTCCCGCAGCGGAGCAATGGTTTAGCGTATCGACGAGTACGGAACGGAAGCCTTTGGTGAGGGCTTGATGACCGGCTTTTGAAACGTGTCAGGAGTTCGATCACTGTCCGTCTCGATCTCTATCAATGGCGGCGACAACTCGGCGCGCTGCTAGCGTTGAGGACTTTCACAGCGGCAGCGGCAGCGGCGGCGGCGGTGGCGGCGGAGGCAGGAACTTGTACCACGTCGTACGCGATATAAAGCGCGCCGAGTCCACCGTGTACAACGCGCTGCGCTCGATCCTTTTAGACGCGTCGTTCGTGCGCGAGATCCACGCCCTCTGGCCGTCGTTACCGTTGCTGGCGAACCTGCGCTGCGGGCTGTGGTACGCGCCGCCCGATGACGTGGCTGCCACGTGTTACTTCAAGTCGACGGATGGACACACGGGGAACTGGGATTTCAGCGCGACGCGGATGAACCTCCACGTGGCAGACATGGCAGGTCTAACCCCTCTTGTTCCACCAATTATCTCTCCGCTTTCGCAGTCCCCCAACTCCCCGTCTCTTCCTTCCACCCCACCTTTCCCCCCGCACTCTCGTCACACCAGTCCTTCGACCTCTTTCCCCCTCAAGCCCCCCCTCCCCCTTCCCCCCGTTTCCCCCGCTCTCCCCTTCCCTCTCTCCCCGTCCTCCGTCCCCCTCTTCTCCCCCAACCCTTCCCCTCTCCTCCTCTGCTCCCCCTTCCCCCCTTCATTTTCTATATCCCGAACGGCAGCGCGCAGCAGCGGCGCGATGATAGTGGACGCGACGCGGCGGGGAAAGGTGTTTCCCGACAGCCTGTCCAAGACCATCCCCATCTGGGCGTGCGTCGTTAACCGCGCCGTGCAGCGCGTGCGCGCGCAGGGGAGAGCGCGGGAGGAGGGGGGAGAGCGGGGGAGGAGGGATGAGAGGAGGGAGCATGGGGAGAATGGGGAAGCTAGAAGCTGTGGGGAGGGCAGGACGGATGATACAGTCAGGGCGCAGAAGGGGAGCAGGGCGCATGGGGAGGCAAGAGATCAGAGCAAGCAGTGGGAGCAGAACAACAATGAGCTGAATCATGTCAAGTCCGACTCACCACCACCACCACAGCCGCCACAACAACAGCAGCAGCAGCAGCAGCAGCAACGCGCACATGGGGGAGGAAACACCGCTGCGGCCTCACCTGAGTCATTGTCACCTTCACCCCCGTGTGAGTCAACCCCAGCATGGGACGAGGCATTGCACCTGCCGCGGTGGGTGTCGAGCACAGAGCAGGCGAGCATAGAGCAGCGCCTGGATGCTTGGGTGGATCGGCTGCTGCTCATGGCTCCCCCTGCTGCCCTGCATAGACTGGCGTTTGGGGAGACACAGGGCGCGGAGGGAGAGGAGGGGGAGGAGAGAGGGGAGAGGGAGGAGGGGCGGGATGGGGATGGGGGAGAGGAGGGAGAGGAGGGAGGGGATTGGGAGAAGGGAGATGGGATTTGGGAAGGGCGAGAGGCGACAGGAGGAGCAGTAGAAAGGGAAGGTAACAAAAGCAGCAGCAGCAGCAGCAGCATCAACAGTGCTACCACCACTGCGAGTAACAGCAGCGCAAGGAGAAGAGGAAGAGGCAGCAGCAGCGTGGGTAGATTGCAGAAACCGCTGCGAGTGCTGTGGGTGTCCCAGCTATCACTCATCTGGACGAATGAGGTACCCTTGCCTGACTCCCTCCCCTTCACTCCCCTCCTTCTCGTCTCTGCCTCCGCACCCTCCCCCTCGGGCTGCCCCCCTCCCTGCCCCTCGTTGTTACCCTTGGGCGAAGAGATAGGAACGATGGGGCGAATTGGGAGAGTGGGGCGGGTGAGGAGGAGCACGAGGAGTGGGGAGAAAGCGGAAAGGGATGGTGAGGAGGAGGGCGGAGAGGAGGTCGTGGGGAGAGTTGATAGTTTTGTCAGTGACAATGACAAGGACAGCAGCAGAGACTGTGAGAGCGATGAAGAGATGGAAGAGGAGGAGAACTCATGGTATGACGAGCCGTGGACGTATATTCAAGGGGCAGGTGACGACGAGGAGAGCTGGGCAAGGGGGTTGACTCCGCAGTTGTTCTGGGGGAACTGCAGGGAGGTGCTTGGGGTAGGGGCGCGCGCGTGCAATGCTGCTGTTGCTGGCGTGGTGGAGAGGGAGAGAGTGAGGCGGCAGAGGAGAGGGGAGCATGCACCGCAGGTGAGAGTGAGAGAGAGAGGAGGAAGGGAGAGAGGGAGGAGGGAGGGGGATGAGACGGGGAGAGGAGGGGGGGAATGTGGGGGAGGAGGTGCAGCGGAACGGATGCAGGGGGTAGGAAGGGAGGAAGTTGGCAGGGGGGAGGTGCGACGGGGGGAGGTAGGCAGGGAAGGGGGAGTCAGTGGTTGCAGTGTGGGGCCAAGTTCAAATGACGACGAGAACTCGGTATTGAAGAGAAGTAGCAGTAAGTTAGGAACACAGGTGGGACGACAAGGGAACGAGCAGGAGCAGCAGCAGCAGCAGCAGCAGCAGCAGCAGCAGCGGGCGGATGAGCATAGAGGCAGCATGGGTTCAGATGGTGGGGATGGCGTGCACTGGATTGCTCATCTGCCCATGGCTGTGGCCGCTGCAGGTGAGCTAGTTCAGGCCCAAAGGGCCATGCGCTAGCATAACTTAGGACTCCTCCGGCTCTTGTGCTTGCTTGCTCTTGCTATTGCTCTTGCTCTTGCGCCTACACTTACCTCCACATTACTCATACTCACTTACCCTAACGCTCCTTGCGTGCCGATCGTTCTTTCCTCCCAGTGCTCTGTTACCGATCGTGCTCCTCCCGATCGTGCTTCAACTCCTTGCCCGACTCTCTCTCTCTCATTTCTCTCTCCCCGCATCCCCCTCTCGATCAGCCAAGAGTGCAACTCACACCATCTATTCCCTTTTTGACTTCACTATACAAAATCATCTCCCCCTTCTTTTTCCCCCCATATTCATCTCAATCAGCCCACAGTGCAACTCACACCATCTATTCCCTTTTTGACTTCACTATACAAAATCATCTCCCCCTTCTTTTTCCCCCCATATTCATCTCAATCAGCCCACAGTGCAACTCACACCATCTATTCCCTTTTTGACATCACTTCAGAAATCATCTCCCCCTTCTTTTTCCCCCCATATTCATCTCAATCAGCCCACAGTGCAACTCACACCATCTATTCCCTTTTTGACATCACTTCAGAAATCATCTCCCCCTTCTTTTTCCCCCCATATTCATCTCAATCAGCCCACAGTGCAACTCACACCATCTATTCCCTTTCTGACATCACTTCAGAAATCATTCTTTCCTTTTTCTCTCCTCCTCTCCGTCACACCACAGCACAAGTCCCGTCGTCCTTCCCGCGTTCCCTCCTGCCTCTCGCGGTGATAGCATGTGGAGTGGACCTCCCTCCTGGGCTGCGAGCGCTGCTGGACAGCCAGACGCGGACCCACGGTGCAGCGTCTGGAGAAGGGGTTGAGAGAGAGATAGGCAAGGGGAATGTGGAGGAGAGTGGGGAGCAGAGTGTGAAGGAAGGCGGTTCAGAGCTGATACTGAAGCAGCAGCAGCAGCAGCAGCAGCAGCAGCAGCAGCAGCAGCAGCAGAAGCAGCAGCAGGAGGGTGGTGGTGAAGGCGTCTATGATGAGCAATTTCACATCTCCCTACCTCTCAAGGTACACTGAAGCTAATTCCTCCCATTCTATCCATGAGGCCCGTTATAAGCGTCCCTTTCACTCCCCCTCACTTGCACTCGCACCCCTCTCTCCTCTCCCAGACCTTGCCATCTGAAACTCGCATCTCTCTATCCATTTTCACTGCTGTGTTGCAGTCACTTTTGAGAAATCTCACAAGTTTATCCATTTGCACCGCTCCCACTCTTCAAAGATATTCTCGGAGTAAATTCAGATGTTCTCACCTGCCGCTGCCACTCACCTTCATTTCTCCATCCTTCCTTCGCTTCTCCCCCCCTCCTTGTCCCATTCCTCCTCACCTCTCCTTCTCACACTCTGCTTATGAAACTGCCTCCCACCTCCTGCATCGCTTCCGTACCCTGCTTCTTCACATATATCCCCCTCCGCCTTTCCCCCTTCCCTCCCCCGTGCATTCAATCTCTTTTGAGCAACCCCAACAACAACCCCCACATGCCTTCCTCCCTCCTCTTCCCTGCCTACTTCCCTGCTTCGTCTCAGCTTCATCTCGCCTCTCCCCTCCCATCCGCCCCCCTCCCCTCCCTTCCCATGCGGTCATCCAAGTACGACCGTCTCCGCATAGCGCACCACATACCGGCATGCTTCCAGTCGACTCAAAACGCACTTTCCCCCATCCCCTCCTCCCCCCCCTCTCCCTTCCGTCCTCTCCGCCCCCTCCCATCCCATGCAGTCATCCAAGTACGACCGTCTCTGCATAGCGCGCCACATACCGGCGGCACTGGCCTTCGCTCGCAAGCACCTGCTACTCCGCCACCGCCTGCTGCTCATCTGCCCCGACGGTACGCACTCCCCTCCCCCTCTCCGTTTCTGCAGTCTTTTCCGGGAACACTCCGACTGTGATGGCGGTTGTGCTTTGTGGGCTGTGTGAAAACGGTATACCCCTCGTCTGCCCTGGCGTTATGCCATCCCTCTCTACCACTCGTCTGCCCTGGCGTTATGCCATCCCTCTCTACCGCTCGTCTGCCCTGGCGTTATGCCATCCCTCTCTACCGCTCGTCTGCCCTGGCGTTATGCCATCCCTCTCTACCGCTCGTCTGCCCTGGCGTTATGCCATCCCTCTCTACCGCTCGTCTGCCCTGGCGTTATGCCATCCCTCTCTACCGCTCGTCTGCCCTGGCGTTATGCCATCCCTCTCTACCGCTCGTCTGCCCTGGCGTTATGCCATCCCTCTCTGCCGTGCAGCTGTTCAGCTATTCAGGGGTGTTCCTCCCTCCCTCCCTCGAATGACGGTTTGAACGGGACTTGGCTGTTCGATTCCAGCAGTTAGTTCCCTGAGCTGAGTACCTGCAGGTTCTCTTGTGCGGATTGGACCCACGCCTCGTTTTGAGTCGCCAAAAAATAACCTGCATGCTTTTCTCGCGCCTCCGTTCTGCGCTCCTCTTATCGAGTGATTATCGGGTGATTTTAAATGTTCCTGAAACTTCACCTTTTCTTCACCACCGTTTTGATCTCTTCTTTTCCTTCACCACCCCTTGCATTGGCATTGGCATGGCATGTGCAGGTGTGGACTTGAGTGTGTGCATGTGTGCTGCGCTCCTCTTAGCCCTGCCTCACGAACTCTCTCATGCCTGTAAGTTCTTTTTTCAAAACTTCTCGAGTCTCTCATTCCTCCCCTTGCTCTCCTCAACCATCATTGCATGCCCTTCCCACCCCTTGTTTCGTCCATCGCTTCAATCGTCTGATAACCGCTTCGTTGTGAAGTCACACTCCAACCGCACATCAATTCTGTCTCTCTTCTCATATCCCCACCTGTCGAAGCACCACACAACAATACTACGTTCTCGTCTCTCCCGTCTCCCTACTCACCCACAGCGGCAGCACCGCCAGCAGCAGCACCAGCAGCAGCAGCAGCAGCAGCAGCAGGGTCTGCCAGCGGCCAGGCGTATGCTGCACCTCCGCTCTTCCCTATGACCAAGGATGGGCTCAAGGCATGCCTGGCGTTCCTCTGCTCGCATGTCTCAGCCGCCATGCCATCCCGGGGCAACTTGAAGCAGGTGCTGCAAGCGCTGCTCCCCTCGGCTCCTCCTCATAGCAGGACAGTGCAGGAGGATTAGCGAGTTTGTAACACTGGTTGTATCGTATCGTGTTGTAACGCCTGACTTGAGCACCACCAAAGTGTGTCCTCCTGGCTCCTTACTTGAGCACCATGAGGCAGCAACACCAGCGGCATTCCTTTCTGACATGGAGCCCATGTTTCTGGAATGAGCAGAAGGACTGTGCCAGCTGGCTGATTCTCTGAAGCTCAAAGGGTGACACGTAACAGAAGCAGATTGCACTATCAAAAAGATGTACAAATGAATAAACAAACAAATGAGTAAACAAACAAATGATAATTTGGCAGCCCCCCCACCTAAAGAACTGGGTGCTTTTCCACTGAGAATACCACATCCTAGCTCTATTGCATGCATGCTCTAACAGGACGCACTATTCGAATCGTTCAAAAATAATTCCTCCCCTCATCTTCACACAAGCCGAAGAAAGTCACGGAGCAGCCGCGGATCCCGGAGCAGCAGCCGAGCCAGGCGCGCTCACCGAACCAGGTGCGCTCTCCGAACCTGGCGCACCTTCCGAACCAGGGGCGCCGGCTCTGGCAGCCGCCTCTGCTGCCTCCGCGGCAGTCTCCGCGGCCTCCGCAGCTGCTGCCTTCTCCGCCACAATCCTGTCCGCCTCCGCCCTGCGCGCCTGCGCGGCCTTCAGCACCGCCCGCAGCTTCGTCAGCCGCACCGCCGCGGCCTTCGCCATCTTTTCCGCCGCCTTCGCCGCGTCCTCCGCTGCTTTCGCGTCCGCCTCCGCCTTCGCCGCCGCCGCCTCCGCCGCAGCCGCTTTGTCCAGCAGAGCCTGCTCGTCCGGCGTGAGGGTCACCTTGAGAATCCGCGCCGCCTCCGCGGTGGCCCTGGTTGCCTCCGCGCTCGCGGCGGACTCTTCTGCGGATGCGCTCTGCGCGTCCTTATTCAGCTCTGCCGCCTTCTTTTGCTCCGCCTTTGCCTTCGCGTCCGCCGCCTTCGCCGCTCCGCTGCCTTTGCCCTTGCTCTTGGCGGCGTCCGTTGCCGCCTTGGTCGCGTCGTCGGCGGTCTTCTGCTGTGCGCCTGCCGCCGCTGTGGCCTTGTCTTTCCGCGCCTTCGTCTGCGCGGCCTTTTCCAGCGCCTTTTGCGCCTTCTCCTGCGCCTTCTGATACTTGTCGGCAGCTTCCGCTTTCTTCTTCAGCCCCGCGGTCGCCTGCTTCGCGTCCGTCGCGTTTTTCCGCGCCTGCTTCGCGGTGGCCTTTGCAGCGATTGCCGCCGCTTTTGCCGCCTGCCAATCCGCTGCTGCTTTCACCGCCGCCGTCTCCGCTGCTGCCACGTTGGCGGTGGCAGTTGCTTCTTCAGCGGCGCGAGCATCGGCTACGGCCTTTGCTGCGTCCAGGTCTGCAGCAGCCTGATCCGCTGCGGCTCGTAGGCGAATCGCGATCTCCTCCAGCGTTTCCTGGATCTCCGTAAGACGAATGCGCCTCGCCTCCGCAGCACGAGGTGCAATCGCCAGAAGGAATATGACGCAGAAAGAAAGGGTTATAGCGAAGCTTGAGCGTGCCATGATGGTTCTACGGGATACTACTAGAAGGGATTTTTGATGTTGCTGAGCCTTGGTGAAAAGAAAGTTGGGACGTGGTGAGTCGATTTGTTGAAGCTCGAATTGTGAAGCTGTGAGGGACAGAAACTATGGAGGTGGGAATTTGTATTCTCAGCAAAATCACATGTGCGCTTCGGCACAGTGCTCCACCAAATTCTCTGGTGGCAGCGCGTTGACGAAAAGACAATTCGGGTAGATTCTGCTTCGCCAACACAACACGGTCGCGAAAGAGCACGTTTGTGGTCGAGCCGTCACAATTTCCCTCACAAATCCCACCAACCGTGTTTTTCAAGGTGCTCCACCGGAACCAGTGGCAGGCTGGGCCGCTTGAAGCTCGACGACTAATATTGGGTGGGTTGGGGGGAGGCGATGCCAGCAATAATGTCGTTGTCGACAGTGTAACACAACGTGGCCACAGGTGGACCCGCCCCGCGTTGCCAACTCAAGACAGCTGAGTCTGAAAACAACGTGGAACTCGCTACTAGATGGCGCACAAGAACGATAAATATTCTGATTGCTGTAAACTATAGAGATGCACAGTCGTCCGTTCATAAACTGAATTGCAGGTATAACCATAAGAGCATAGTGAACGTACTTGTGGTTTTAATATCACAGACATATTTTTGTACCAATGCATCGTATCTAATAAAATTTACTGACTGGAATGGTGTTCTCCACAATCAAGGTTGATCAAAATAATACTGGTTGTGCCTTGCGAACATCCTCTCCTCTGATTAACGAATCTTTCAAAAACGCTTCTCTGCCCAAGCCGCGTGTTTGCGCGGGAAGCACCCGCTTGGTCCCAGGCTTTGTCAGAAGGAAGAGTGATTGCAATATACTATACGCGGTTGCTCCCTTCACGCCGACGTACACCTGTATAAGATTGGGGTTTCGCCTCCATATTCTAGCAGTGCGAAGAACGCTGTTGATCATTGATTTTCTCCACTCGTGGCTTGCTTTCTCTTTAGATTTTTGCGTACTACGTAGCGTGACTGATGTTTAAGTGTGTTCAGCCAAATTTTTCTCTTTAGGGGAGTATGCAGAATTGACTCTCTCCTTCAAGCCTTCTGGGTGCTATGTACGATTCTTGCTGCTTGGTTGGTTGGGTGCTATGTACGAGTGTTGTTGCTTGGTTGGTCTGCTCTGCCGGCCAGTAATCTAGACCAGACCCTTCCCAGATCAAACAGGGTTCCAGGCCATGCAGGAAGGAGATGCACGCAACTATCAGGCTTCATTTCACGGATCGGTCTCCCTTCCCTACGCTATACCATGAATTACGGTCATTCGTTCGCTCAAACCGGATTCTAGTCGAGCTTTGCTCCAAGGTAAACGTGCTTCGTGTTTCCCGCCTCGCTGCCAGCCATGCCTGCCAGTCACGCCGAAGCGCTGTCTCCACAACGAGTCGCATCGAACGGAGGCGCACAGGCTTCTCTGATTTGCCACAGCACGGTCCCTCCAATCATGACACAAACCGAAGGTAACTGCCACTGTGCGACTCTTCCAGCGAACGATCACCGAGATCACGAAGTTGCGATGATCGCCGCCAGAGGCAACGTCGCGTCGCCGGCCTTCGCACCGGAAACGCCTTCGCGGAGCCAATCAGCTAGGACAGGAAAATTGAGCCCTAGAATCTCGAGTCCAGAAATCCAAGGGATGCGCAACCACGCCCTTTCCGAAGGGTCGGCAAGAGACTTCGGCGCATCGCATTCGTTTGGTGCGGCGGTTGAGGTAGCAGGTCGAGACCAGCGCTCACAGATCGGCGGAGCGGAAGGGGGAGCAGAAGCGGGAGCGGAGAGGGGAGCGGAGAGCGGAGCGGAGAGAAGTGCGGAGGGGGAAGCGGGGGGGGCCACGGGGGAAGCGGAAGTTAGGGCGGCGAAGGGGGAACCGGAAATTAGGGCGGTGGAGGGCGGCGGTAGTACCTCGAGTCGAGGCCGGCAGGTGCTGATTCGGGTGAAGCGGAAGCGCGGGGAGGCGTCATCTGACGTGATCGTGGTGGAGGCGGCACCCAGGGGCGGCAGAACCAAGCTTGCGCGCAGCCACGTGGAGGCCCTCCGGGCTCTGAGTCTGGGCGGGGGAGGCGGGGGAGGCGGGGGAGGCGGGGGAGGCGGGGGAGGTGGGGGAGGCGGGGGAGGTGGGGGAGGCGGGAACGAACGGGATGCGCGGGTGGCGCGGGAGGGACGGGGAAGCGCGGTCGAGGAGGCAAAGACTCTGGAGGGTCGAGGAGAAGACGCGTCTGCTTCCACTGGTCCACGTGCGTCGCCGCTCATTTCTTCCCCCGTCCTTCCCCCTTTTTCGCAACCTCCCCCACCCTCCGCTTATTATACATCCCCTTCCCCCACATTTTGTTCCTGTCTTCCGCTGTTCTTCCCCCCCACCCCGGTCTCCCATCCTCCGCCCGCTTCCTTACCCCCCACCCCTTTCTCTCCCTTTCTACCTCCCCGCTTTTCCCCCACCCCTGCGCCCCCTTCCCCTCTCCCCTTCCCCGCATCTGATCCCGCTTTGATGCAGCGCCCGCGCGCGGGGGCGCGTCGGCGGGGCGGCGGCTGGTGTTCCGGCGGGTGGGGTCCATGCCGTGGGCGAGCCTGCGCCACGCAGGCGCGGCGGACAGAACGTTCCGCCGGGTAAAGCTGCAGCAGCAACAGCAGCATGGGGAAGAGGGTGCGTCTCATCGTGCATCTCCTCTCGAGCAGCAGCGGCGGCGGCTGCAGGGGCAACCAGGTGGCTTGTCCGGCGCTGCTGCTGATGCAACGGTTCAGCGGCAGTTTGCAGCCGCGTCCGCGTTTGAGGCCGTCCCGTTTGAGCAGCAGCGGCGCAGTGCGAAGGGCGGCAGCCCGCCCCGACTGCGCGTGGCGGCCAGCCGAGCGAGAGAGGTGCGGATGGTGCGAATGATGCAACTGATGCGACGGGCATGGGCGGATATGGCTTGGGGAAGAAGGGGGAAAGGGGGAAGTGGGGAGTGGGAGGGGGGAGAGGGAGGGCTGGGAAGAGGAGAAACGGTTGATGTTTCGATGGTTGGAAGGCTGCATGGGTTGAGCCGCTCGGGTTGGGATGCTCCTTTGTATGAAAACACTGACTGACTGTTGTGCCTGTCCGTCCCTTCCTCTTGTCCGTCTCTTCGCCCTGTCTCTTCTCCCGTACCTCCCTGCCCCAGGTGTCTAGAATGCAGCGCCATGCTCTGCTGCAGCAGAAGAGGGAAGGCCCTGTCTTTTCTCTTCCTGCCACCGCTGCTACCCCTGCCACTGCTGCTGCTGCTGTCGTTGCTGGAGGGAAGGGAGGAGGAAAGAAGGAAGAGGACAAAAGGGATGGGCATGAAGGTTCAAACTTGGGAAAGGGAAAAGGTGTTGAATACGGTTCTTTGGAAAGGGGGGAAGGAGGGAAAGGGATGGAGGCTGCGGAAGGTGGAACAAGAGGGGATGAGAAGGAGGAGGCGGAGGGGGAGGCGGAGGAGTGGATGCGGCTGTTCAATGTGGTGGATGCAGAGCAGGTGCGGGCAGCGGAGGAGGAGGCTGCTAGGAAGGCCAAGAGGAGAGAGCAGGCACTCAGGTGTGTGTGTGCTCGCGCGCGCGCGCACGCGAGCGCATGCTTGCGTGCGTATCCTCGCTCGCATTGTCCTTCCTTCCCGATACGCTGTACCATTGAGGCGCATCTCAAGTCGCCCGCACTCCTCTGACTGCCTGCCTGACTTTCTTCCTTCCCTCCTCTCTCCCTCCCGCCCTACCCCCCTTTAAAAAAAAAACAACGTACGCCGCATGGTGGGGCAGGGAGCGAGAGGCGAGGGAGGGGCAGCTGGCGTGCAACTACCTGCCGTTGCTGAGAGAGTTCCTTCCAGAGGCTGCACGGGAGATGGAGGAGAAGATGGTGCAGGAGCAGCAGCAGAGAGGCATTTCTGCTGATGCTGCCACAGGTAAGACCTCCTTCCTTGCTTCCTACGTTTCTGAAGTATGCGCTTCTGTACAGTTGGTGTCACATCGGTCTTGAGTCGCCTTAGTCAGTCTCGAGTCTTTTCTGTGTTGTGATTCTTTGTGAGTCTTACGAGTTTTGTGAGTGGTGCCATCAATGAGCTGACGACAACGACCAGGTGATGACAACAATAATCGTGATGCATGATGATGATCGTGATTGTTACGGTGTCGAAACATGCAGTGTGGTGCATGAAAGGGATGTGCATGTGTGCGCAGTCACGCATCCCAAAACACAAAATGACAAAAGAAATCCTCCTAATTTTTTATACCACCCTCCCGCATCAGGGCAATGGGGTCTCCAAAATTCCATTGCTCCACAGCAGCAAGCTGAGCAGGAGCAGCAGGACACGGATTCAGACGATGTGTGTGACCTGTACTGCATGGAGGGGTGCCTCTCTGATGACGATGACGACATGGATGGACCGCTGGGCTCGTACCTCCACCACCACTCTGCACCGTACCCAACGTGAGTGGGCAGTGAGCATGGGCAGCAAAAGCATAGGACATGGGGCCAGCAGCACAGGCCTGCTCTTGAAACAGCAGCATGCAGAGGTGCATGCGCTTTGTGGGGTTGCAGATAAGATTTCGAAAGTGGAACGTGATTTTTCTGGGTGGGAACGGAGGGGTTTCTTTGTGGTGACTGGAGAGCCTGCAGAGACTGCTCGTCTCAAGAAAGATATGTGCTCTTGGTGCTCTCACAATGCCTCACAACATGTTTTGTTTCTTTCCCTTCTGCCCTCGGTCTGTGTCCTCTGTCCCAGGCTGCGCATATGTGACAACCACGTGTTTGACGAGAGTGGGGAGCCGTTCCCTCTCAGCAATGTGACCGCGGCCGCTCTCACAGTGTCACAGTGCCTCTTAACAATGCTTTCTCTCTTTCCCTCCTGCGCGCTCTCTGTGTCCTCTGTCCCAGGCTGCGCATATGTGACAACCACGTGTTTGACGAGAGTGGGGAGCCCTTCACTCTCAGCAAAGGGGACGCGCTTATTTCAGACGGTGACA